ATGGAGAAGATCACTGAAGCCATGGGAATTGATGAGACCGCTGAGAGAGTAACCTGGGGTTGTGAACTCAGCTTTTTAAAACGATTTTGATAGCTGTATTTCAATATACTTAATTTCCTTTGTAATCCTTTGTAGTTCATTTTATGCCGTTTAGAAACTTGATTCTGAGAAGGGGTCGACATACGCACATACTGAAGATGCTTTGTTAGAGGGAAGGGAAGAGGGCCTAGGACAGGAGACACCCACAGTCAGTGGGTGTGCTCTGCATGAAGTCCCAGGAAAGAGAAGGTCAAAAGAGAACAGGTCAGATGGGCAAGAGAAGAACCAGGAGAGAGAAGTGTCAGGAAAACCTAGAAAGGAGAGAGTACCAGGCAAAAGAAGGTGACGGGCAGTGTCAAAGCTGCAGAGAGGTCAAGAAGAAAGAAGACTGAGGCTAGGCTATTAGATCTGGCAATGAAGAGATAGATCATTAGTAACTTCAGAGAGAGTGGTTTCAGCTGAATGATGGGGTAGGAAGCCAAAATACAGAGAGTAAATAGCTTTCTCAAATCCTAGAACATGGAGATGGTCAAATCAAATGAGGATTTTTTTTTAAGGACGGAGGAGACATGGGCCTGTTTGTGGGCAGCAGGGAAGAAAAGAGCAGATAGGAGACTTCAGAGATTAAGGGGGTGATGATCTGCTGGAGAAGAAGGGAGGATCTGGCATTGAGGGATTGGCCTTGGCAAGAAGTACCACCTCTTTCTCTGAGATAGGAGTGAAGGAGATTATAAAGGATGATGTCTGAATGTTAGGTGAGCAGGAAGGGAGCAGAGGCCTCGATTTTTTTAGTGAAGTATGGGTCAGGATGGAGAGGAGGAGAAGATGGAAAGAGCGTACGTACCTTTGGAGTCTGGAGGAGAAACAAGAAGGTTTGGAGCAGGATAACAAACTGATTAGAAGGAGTAGAAGGATTGCCTTGCTGCAGCGAGGGCCCGTTTGGGAATAGGTAACATACATTTGTAGTGGGCCCAGTTTTTGTGATTTCCACCAGCTCTATTCAGCAGCACATGAGTAGGAGTGAAGAGAGATGTTAGAAGTAACCCAGGACAGGGGTTTTTTGAGGAATGATTGGTGTCACACAAGGAGGCCAAGGATTCAAGAGGAGGGGATGATGTAGAGTTGGATGAGTTTGCCTAAGGGGATAAGATAGGAAAGGGAGGAGAGTATAGTTTGTGCAGGGATGATGACCTGGCAAAGAGCTGGAAGCTAAGGGACTGGAGGTCATGGTGAGGACAGAGGTCAGAGGGAAATGTGGAACGGCGAAGAACCATGAAGCCAAGGGCCTTGAGGATGGCAGTGCCCCCCAGACCGCCAGACCTGATTCCAGCCTAGTTCCTGCAGCCGTCGTTAAGGGGAGAAATCATTGTGGAGAAGGGGCCCACCAGCAACAAACTCTGAGCCAACTGCTTTTTGGTTGTTATTCAATCAAGTCCAACCCTTTGTGACCCCCTCTGGGGTTTTCTTGGCAAAGACACTGGAGCGGTCGGCCATTTCCTTCTCCAGCTTATTTTACAGATGAGGAAACTGAGGCAAATTCGTTTAAGTGACTTGCCCAGGGTCACACAGAATTTGGTGCTGTCGTTTTAGTTGTATCCGAATCTCGTGACCCCATTTGGGGTTTTCTTGGCAAACACACTGGAGTGGTTGGCCATTTTCTTCCCCTCATTTGACAGATGAGGAAATTGAAGCAATCAGTTTAAATGACTTGCCCAGGGTCACACAGATAGGATGTGTCTGCAGCTGGATTTGAACTGACTCCAGGCCCAGGGCTCTATCCACTGTGCCACTTAGCCAACTGCCACCAACAGTCAGAGTCACAAGAGCCCTGGGAGGAGCAGCACGCCCCAGACCTGCTTCTATGCCCTCACGGCCATCATCTCAGAAGGGAACTCTCATGAAGAAGGAGCCCACCACCCCCACCAGCTGCCAACTGGCCACCACCCACAGGGAACAAAAGCAGCGAGGCACCCTGAGGGAGACATGGGCGACAGCAGGGGCAGACAAGTCAGACCACCACCACCCGGACCACCATCTCTCTAGGACCCTGACGGACACAGCCCAAGACCTTGAATGGCAATGCCTCCATCTCAGTGCCTGCAGCCATCGTCCCGGGGAGCAGCCCCTTGGTGATACAGCTTTGCCACTGCCCCGTGCAAAACACCCACAGAATGACTTGGGGAGGCTGACTCCAGCAGCTTTGGGTCCAGGACAAGCAGTGCTGAATGCAGACCCTGAGCCATCTCTTTTTTTTTTCTTTCTTTCTTTCTTTTTTTTTTTTTTTGCTTTTAGGCAATTGGGGTTAAGTGACTTGCCCAGGGTCACACAACTAGTAAGAGTAAAGTATTTGGTCTGAGGCCAGATTTGAACTCAGGTCCTCCGGACTTCAGGGCTGGTACTCTATCCACTGCGCCACCTAGCTGCCCCTCTGAGCCATCTCTTGATTTTCACCCCAGATCATTTTGTTACCAGTAGAAACAAATCCTCCAAAATCCCCAGAAGCTCTCATGGGGCCTCTATGGCACGGCGAGCTGGCAGCAGGCCTGCCAGCTGACCTGGTTCTGTCCAAGTTTGGTTGGGGACTCAGAGTGATACAGAGCAGAACAAATCACCCAGAACCCAGCATCCCACAGCCCCACGGGAGCTAAACTTGCCAAAGGGCTTGCATTCTACCCTGAGGGATACAGCAGTTCAGGAAGTTTTCTGAGTTCAAATCTTGCTTCAGTCACTTTGCTCTTGTGACCCTGGGGAAAAGGGAACAAGCATTTATTAATTACCTACCTTGTTCCAAGCACTGGCTAAGCACTTTACAGATACTATCTCATTTGATCCTCACAACAACCCTAGGAGGTAGGTGCTGTGATTATCCCCATTTTACAGGTGAGGAAACTGCAGCAGGTACAGGTTAAGTGACTTGTCCGGGGTCACACAAGCTAGGACGTATCTGAGGGCAGATCTGGAATCAGATCTCCCTGACTCTAGCTCTGCCTCTAGAGAGATGAAAATACTTAAGGCCTCAGTTTTCTCATCTGTAAAATGAAGGGGTTGAATTTGACCTCCAAAGCCTCCTCTGGCCCTAGATCTAAGGTCATATGACCCCCAACTCAAAGCTAACCTGTTCCCTCAGCAACGGTAACTTCACAACGGAGGGGGCAGAGCCCAGGAAAATATAGCCCCAGGGCTTCTTGTCTTCCTTCAGAAACAAATGGGGAATGGCTTTGGCCATGAATAATGAATAGGGCCAAGCACAGAGAAGCTGATGGCACATGAACCCTGGTCCCATGCCCAAGCCCAGGGCAACAGGGACTTTCTTTGGCTGGGGCAGCATGTCTGCAGCCTCTCGACAGATGCTCATTTGGGAAGCTTTCCAAAGAGATTCGATGTCTCCACTCCCGTCTCGACTCATTGAAAACTTCACCAATTTACCGGCACGAGCAAAACGGCAAGCTGATACTTCCTGAAAGAATGCACCCTCAGGTCCTCTTTTCTCATTTGGTTTTCCTTTTAATCTTTCTCTGTAAGCCTAGCCCGAGTCGCAGAGGGAGGGGCCAGATCAGAGTTCTTAACCCAGGGTCTGTAAACTGGACTTTTTGATATTTGGGTGGCCGTAGTTCTACGTAATTGGTTTCCTTTGGAATCCTATGTATTTTATTTTATGCATTTAAAAATACAGGTCTCAGAAAAAGTCCATACACTTCAACAGGGGTCTGGGATACCAAAAAAAAAAAAAAGACTAAAACCCCCTGGGTTAAAGGAAGAGGAGAAAGGTACAGGATCTGAGCTGGTTTCTATGCATCTAGCCAGCAATTCACAAAATCACAAGATCCTGGCTACAGCTAGAATGGACCAGCTCCCCCATTTTGCAGATGAAAAAACTGACTTGCTGGTACTCTTCTAGGTGCTGGGTATACAAAAGCAAAAATACAAATAGTCCCTGCCCTCAGGTAGCTTTTACTTGGAGCAATGGAATGATGCTAAGGACTCTTAAGGAAGCCTCATAGATATAGCTCTATGGGGCCCAGGGAAGGGGGTGCAAAACAAGAGCAAAATGACTTGTCGAGGCTGACTCCAGCAGCTTTGGGTCCAGGCCAAGCAGTGCTGAATGCAGACCCTGAGCCATCTCTTGATTTTCACCCCAGATCATTTTGTTACCAGCAGAAAAAAACCCTTCAAAATCCCCAGAAGCTCTCTTGGGGCCTCTATGGCACGGCAAGCTGGCAGCAGGCCTGCCAGCTGACCTGGTTCTGTCCAAGTTTGGTTGGGGACTCAGAGTGATACAGAGCAGAACAAATCACCCAGAACCCAACATCTGTCTACTTAGTATTTAAAAAAAGGAACACTCCTCACCACCACCCCCAAACACACTTGCAATACACACCCAAATCACTACTGACACCCATAGCTCTCAGCTCTCTGAGTTTGGCCCCAGCTTCTGAACAGAGATGATCATTGTCTCTGGAAATTAAGAGGACTGGGGCCTTCACCATAGATGCTGCCACTCCATGAATAATTTACCTTTTTTAAAAATGTAATTGTCTGGAAACAGCCTGGGGAGGCAGCCTAGTTGTCACTGGTGAGTTTCTGGGCACGGTGGACCAAACAGCATCCAGATGCTGCCTGGCCTCCACCTCCAAGCCATGCCCTGGCCAGGCTTTTCTGAGTGTGGGCATAAATCTGGGCCAAAGTTCCATTCCTCTCCTGCAATAGATCCAAGTAGCTGCCTGGGGGCAACTAGTCCCTAGGGCATTTGATACCCTGATGCCACATTTCTCCCTGTTCCCCTCCTGGAGAGGCTAGGGCTGGGCCCCTCACGATCATCCCTGCCATCCCTGAAACGGCACCAGCACTCCCAGATCGCAGAGTTATGGTGCATCTGGTTGTCATTACCGAGTTGGCTTCAATTTTCTGTGATTTCCCCTAATGGCTTAATGAAATCCCTGTGTCTCCATCTTGTTTTGCAGAGCTGAAGTCGTCCTGGGAAATATCATTAAGAGGAAGGGATGGAGGTAAGGAGCGTGTGTGTGTTCTTTGTGGTCTCTCCCCCTGCTCACATCTAGCAGAGAAGGCCTATTTGCAGACCATGGGGAGGAGGAGAGCTTTTTGGAGGACAAAACTCAGAGACAGGCTGGAAACCCAGCCTTGTGGTCCCTGGGACCAGCAGACCTCAGTGGTGCCTTGAGGCTCCCAAGCCCCAAATTCCTTCCTGGCAGGAAGAAGGAGAGCAAGATTTCCTTTCTCCTTCTAATTGCCAAGCTGAGTTTCCCAGGGATACCCTGGCCAGTTCATCGTGCAGACAAATTATCTTCAACTCGTAAAAACCCTGAGGGTTGCTGTCTTTTTGTTTTTCTTCTAATGGGAGATGCTGATGGATATGGCTTCTTCCTTCTTGGGGAGGGAATGGGCACCTCTGCCAATAGTGAAATCCTCCCACAGTGAGCAAAGCAAATAATGACCCATTACCATGGTGACCGTTTGTTTCACTCAGGAGGGTGGGAGTTCTTAAAGGCCGCTGCCCAAGATGAGGAGATAATGTATTATTAATAGGTAATAGCTGGTATACATAGAGTGCTTTAAGGTTTATAAAGTGCTTTTACAGACGGGATCCTATGTACTCCTCACAACAGCCCTGTGAGGTAAGTCATATGGGTATTGTTATCCCCATTTTACAGATGGGGAAACCAAGGCTTATCCGTGGTCACATAACTGGTAAGTGCTGAAACAGGCTTGGAATGGAAGTCTCTGCTGATTCCCAATTCACCATTGTTTCAGCCACAATACTCTGCCTCTAATTTAGCATTAGCATTTAGAGAAGGGTTAGAGTTGGAGAACTCCTAGCAGATCTGCTAAGCTAACTAACTAGTCTGGAAACCTCACTAAGGACTTGTACCACATCCTACCATCACAGAAGATTAATTCAATGGAATTTAACAAGCATCTATCAGGTGCCCACCAGCGTGCAAACATTTATCGGGTGCCTGCTGGCACACAAACATTTATTGGGTGCAAGTCACTGTGCTAGACTGAGGCTACCAAGACAAAACAGAGCAGTCCCTTGAATGGGGATCTCACTCTTCGGGAGGCTGGCTCCAAAAGGCTAAATCCTGGATTGGAAACTTCCTAAGGAAAAAAAAAAACACGCTAAAGTATTAGTATACTTTCCCCTGTACATTCATTTCCTCCCTTCCTCCCTAAGGGGTCTCCAGTTTAAAAGCTCCCCTCTTTGGCAGTTGACACACAGAAGCTAGATTCAAAGAGTTTCTCCTTTGTTCTCATTGGTGGGTCAGTGGTTGGCATCTAAAGCACTTCAGAGTCTACCTCTGGCCTATCTCTCTGGACAGATTTCCCGGTGCCCCCTGTACGCACTCTGTGTTCCACCCAAGCGCATCTGCTTGATGTCCACACATAACAACCCATCTTCCCACCTCTGTCCCTTTGCACATGTTTCATCCCATTAACTCCCTCCTTACCTCCCTTTCTTGGAATCTCTAATTTCATTCAATAGTAATGAAAGTTGCTAGCATTTATATGGTTCTTTACAAACATCACTTCATTTTATCCTCATAACAACACTGCAAGGTAGGGGCTGGTGTAACCCCCATTTTACAGATTAGGAAACTGAGGCATACAGATCACACAGCTAGTAAGTGTCTGAAGCTGGATTTGAACTCATATCTTCCTGACTCCAGGTCCAGTGCTCTGTGTACTGTGGCACCCCCTAGTTAGCTACAGTTCAAGGGGCTCCTCTCACCTGAAACTCCTGATGAGCCCCCTTGCCAAGCTGTCAATGTCCTTCACCTCCACCCCTTGAAATTACTCGATATATATTTGTGTCGGTTTGCCTGTAGTTTCCCCCAGTAGAATATGAGTTCCTAGAGGGGAAGGACTGTATTATTTTTGGCTTTGTGCTCCCAATACCAAGCCTAGTGTGTAGGAGGTGCCTAAAAAATGCTTGTTAAATTGAATTGAATCATTTTCATAAGATCGTAGACTTAGAGCTGAAATTTAATTGAATTCACAGGATCACAGATTTAGAGTTGGAATTGAATTCATAAGATCATTGATTTAGAGTTGGAATTCAATTAAATTCATAGGATCAAAGATTTAGAGTTGGGATTCAATTAAATTCATAAGATTATTGATTCAGACTTGGAATTCAATTGAATTCATAGGATCATAGATTTAGAGCTGGAATTGAATTGAATTCATCAGATCATTGGTTTAGAGCTGGAAAAGAATTGAATTAACCTCACAGAACAGCAGATTTAGAATTGGAATGGTACTGCATTGCACTGTAGCCTCACATCCGCATAGCTAATACCCCTCCCTCTAGCCATTCTCCATCTCAGCTGTTTCATACCCAGGCCAAGCCAGGCCAGGGTTCCCCTCTGTCTCTCCTTTGTGCACAGCTGTACGTGTCTCTTCAGGTGAACGTACCTGGAGTTTCTCAAGGCCCACTGCCCTCCTTTCGTGCTGTGACCTAGCTGGGTGTTTGCTAGTATCTCAGGTCCTCCAAACCACTAGATGTGATTTCCTCTGAAGTGGCAAACGAGCACAGTGGTTAATGCGTCTTTATTTTCAGAAATGTCACAAGTAATTAGGATGCCGTGCCTTGTCTCCTTCCTTTCCCTCTCAAGTGCCATTTAAAATCTCAGCCGCTGTTCTTCAAGAAGCTGCCACAGCTCTAATTATTTACACCCCTCCTCGGGTCCCATCAAGGTTGTTTCTTTGCTATAATTGATCCTAAAATAAATTCCTCTCCACTCCATAATTAAAGGAAATTGCACTTATTAGCAAATCTCATGATTATGTCTTAGGTGAATACATATGGAAGTAAATATTAGGTCATCCTCTGGGCCTGCAGGTAGTGCTTGCTGGAAGCAGCATGGTGATGGCACCGGCCATGGTAGAGATCTCTGGGCCTCCTGGTTGCCCTTGGCTTCATGTGGGGATATGGCCCCCAGGGGGAAGACAATAGCTGCCATCCAGAGGACTTTCCTGTGCTGACCTAATCCTTTGGGGAGCTTTGGCAATTCTCATTGACCCAGATCAAGACCCTTCCCTTGGCTTTGTAGAGGATCTCTGAGAACTGACATGGCTGAAATACAGAGACCCCTCCAACCTTAGCCAGGCTGGTCCTAGGCATTCCCTGGGCCCTTTGTTTATGTCCTCTTGAGATGCCCCACAGCATGGAGGTAACAGCACTAGATTCCAAAGGCTTAGTCGGTGAAGCACAGTCTCCAGTGGGTCCTTCTGAACTGGAAAGATGCCAAATTGGGCCCTGTCTATATGTGGCTGTTAAAATCTAAGGCCCACCCTTTTCTTTGGTTCTGTATGGCTCCTGTTCAACCGTTCTTGGGGAAGAAGGCATTTGTGTTTCTTCACCAACTTTCATACTTGTTTTTAAAAGTACATTGTGTATAGATGATTGCAAGTTAGACCATTTATAAATTGGCCACCCTAGTCAGCCTTTTTTATTTTAAAGACTAATAGATTGATGGTGACAGGGGTTGGTTGGGATCAGCACTATGACCAATCCATACATATGTATGTATGTACGTACGTATGTATGTACATATATAGTGTGTGTGTGTGTGTGTGTGTGTGTAATCAGACCCATTCATGATAGGAACATGACCTCTTTTCTTCTGTTTTACAGACGATCTAGCCTGGTCATTACAACCAAAATCTTCTGGGGAGGAAAGTAGGTCAATTTATTTATTTAGTTCTTTGTTTATTTTGTTTGTTCGTTAGACTGTCACCGATCCCATTGTCACCCTTCAGTCTTATGCGATGATCAATAGGGTATTCTGCCCACAATCAAGATCGTCCTGGGTTCTATCCATTAAGGGGAGCCCCCGGTCAGACCTCCAGAAATGAGAGCCTGCTGGCTCAGGGTCAAGATGGAGGGGGAGGCTCCTTAGAGAATCCAGGCATGGTCAGAAGCCTCTGCTAGGCCCTGTTTATGTCCATGGGCAGTACAAAATCTGGGTAAGGGGTCAGAAGAAATTGGATTTGTGATTCATGCATGCCATTGACCTGTTTTTCAGAGCAGAGACTGAGAGAGGTCTGTCCAGAAAGCACATCATAGAAGGTAAGTCCCAGGGTCACCTCCATTAATCCATTGGCCACGGTTCTCAAAGAATACAAGAGCAGGAGGGGTAGCTCCTGCTTTTCAAAGGGCTTGCTGGTCACAAAGTATTCCCACAGGTGTTTTCTCATCCCATCTTCATTAACCACCCTGTGTGGTAAGTAGTGCAGGGATTATTGTTCCCATTTTTCAGATGAGGATGCTGAGGCTTGGCAAGAAGGGATGGCTAACTGATGGACACCCAGCCAGTTAAGTGGCTGAGCCAGGACTAACCCAAGTCTTGTGACTCCTAGATCCGAGGTGCTTGCCATAGCCTATTTAGTAGAGACCTCAGATGCATGTAATACAGTCCTCTGCCTCTGTGGAGAATCACAGGAACCTCGAGTAGGAGGGACCTCTCAGACTACCTGGTCTGACATGTGCCTGACCAAGAGTCCCCTCTCCCATACCAGGCTCTGCTTGAAGCCATCCAGTGAGCAAGAAGCCCACAACATGCATAGGCTTGCATCCACTATGGATAGCTCTCAGTCTACCTCATAGCTCCCCAGTAACACTGCTGATCCCTCTTTCACATAATAGCCCTCCAAATACTTTATTCATGCCCTTCTCCTCACCTGCCCCCACCACACACCAGACACATGCGCGCACACACACACACACACACACACACACACACTTCTTGTCTCATCCCCAGTTCCCCATTCTTCATATAGCATCATCTCCATTCCTGTTACCATCCTGGTCATCTTCCTTGGTACGTGATGGCACTTGCCAGTGTGGCCCCCAAAACTGAATACAATACTCCAGATATGGACTGACTGTGGCAGAGGACAGCAGGACTGTGTCAACTCCTTCCTTCTGGATACTCTGCCTCTATTATGAATGAATGAATAAATGAATAAACCTCTAGAGTGAATAAAGCATCTATTAAGCAGTTACTGTATGCCAGGCACTATGCAAAGGACCAAGGCCTCAAGGAACTTACATTTCTAATGGGGGAGCAGCAACACATAAAGGGTGAACCTTTAGATTTTTGTCACATTGCTTTATTGACTTTTACAGAGATTGAAGTCCCCTCAACTCCCTGCCCCATCTAAATCATTTAAAACTTAGACTTAAGACTTGACTGGTTTAAGACTCTAGTAGGACCCTACCACTCTTTGGGAGGAATAGGGGGGAAATAATACCCAGTATAGGGTAAGTGATTTTTCTGGAGAGATGTTAATGAATCAGGAAAAAACATTCTGCCATAGTGAGTTATTTGTCCTATTCTCAACCACATCATGGAAAGGGATCCTGTGGCACCCCTTTTGCAGGACCCCTCTCCTCCTGTGCTTTCTTATCCTGTGCCCAAATTCTTTTCTTCTCTGCATTAAACAGTCCCTATATCTCAGATTTGGAGAAGATCTCAGAGGCTATTGGGCCCCAAAACCCATGCCTCCACACATATCTCCTCTACAAACTCAGATAAGTGGTTATCTCAGTTTGTCTTGAAGACCTCCAGTGATGGGGAACTCACTACCTCTCAAAGCTGCCCATCCCCTTTTGGTTTTTTGTAGGTTGGTTGATTGGTATTTTTTCAATCAACCTTTTTGACAACTCTAATTGTTAGGACATTTTCCTTTCATTTCATCAAGGCTAAAGTGACCTCTTTGTCCCTCCCTTTCTCCCCTTCCCACATTGCTCCTCTAGATTCAATGAAAGCCAGTCTAATCACTCTTCCATGGTGTAGCTCCTCAAATACTCAGATAGCCATCAGCTCCCCTACAAGCCTCCCTGTTTTCTAGACTAAACATGCCCTGTTCCTTTGGCCAAACCTCACGAGTTTGTTGAAGTTATCTTTCTAAATCCTTCTCCCTGACCCTTCCATGGTAGCCAAGGAAACATAACAGCTGAGCATCCCCACAAAGGCCGATATCCTACAGTCACCAGGGTCCCCCAACACATGTAAGGTTTGTCTTTGAGACCAAAGACCTGGGAGACAGGAGTCCTGAATTCCCCCTTGGGCTCCTTCCATTCCTGACTCCTTATCCCTTGAGGACAAATCATAAGCCAGTATTTCTTCTCAGGGAGTAGGGCTCCTTCCCTAAGTCACAAGGATATTGGGTTCCACCCACTGACCTTTGATTTCGTAGGTGAAGCCTTCCTAGGAAGTGAGCAGTGGGCCTGAGGCATTCCTGACTTTGAGGATGAAACATCTGGACAAAAAACACCAGACTGCCCTAGGAATTCTCATCCTTACTCTCCCCGCCTTGCTGTGCTATCTTGCATAACTTTTTAGTCTCTACTTTTTTATTTATTTTTTATTGTTTTTGTCACCTAGCATGGGGCCTGGCACAGAACAAGCTCTTGATAAATGCTTGCTAATGGCTTCATGAACCCCACCGTGAATTTGTGCAAAATTAATCTCTTCTGCCTTTCAATCTGCCAAAAATAAGCCTGGGCCCCTTGTACAGGTGTCCCAGGCCCCCAGTGGGTACTTTATTGATGGTCCTGGTGTCTTCCTCACTAGGTCTGAAAGCCTCTTTGGAACGGCTCCAGCTAGAGTACGTGGACGTGGTGTTTGCCAACAGACCTGACCCTAACACTCCCATGGAAGGTAGGTCTTCTTGATAAAACGCCAACCGCCATCTCCCCACCCAGGCCCAGGTTTGACTGTCCATGAGATGGAGGCATGTTGAAAGGGGGTAGCTGATCCCACAGCCCGGACTCCAGAAGGTCACCAGACCACATGGGGCAGGCTCAGCGTGGGGAGCCAACCAGCAAGCCACGGAGACACTTTTTAACCTTCCATGTCCGTGGCTTGGCCAGGGAAGGTGGGATTTCCCAGGCCTGGAAGTGACAGGGGTGACTAGGCCGGGTAGAGGGCCAGACCCTTCCTGCTGGAAGAGAGACCCAGGCATCTCTCCCCCTGGCACCCCCTTCCTCAAGCCCTGCTGCCAACATCTCTTTGCTAGAAGAACGGACGGAGGTTCTGTCCTTGCCTCTCTGGTTTCACATCCAACCTTGTGCTCCCCTTCTATGTTTCTTAATTGCATGGAATGTTGAACTCCCCCCCCCCAAGTTAACATCTCATTAGTGAAGCAGGGTCACAACTAATCCTGCTATCTGTCCTGTTTGTGTTTTGTTGGGCATCCTAATGTCCTTTGCTTTGGGGTGGAATGAGTCAGGCATCCTCTCTCATGTCCAGGGAGCAGTGTCCGGTGCCACAAGGGCAGTTTGGGTTGGCTTATTTTGGTCTTTGGTTTTTTGAGCCCACCCCTCGGCCCCCCACTCCTCCACTGCAGCCCCCTCCCCCCTCCTCGGTGCTTCACTGCTTCAGGAACATAGAAAATCAGGCCTCTGAGATGTGATTCCCAACCATCCCCCATCTATTTATTTATACCTATATATTTTCCTTAAAACAAGTGGTCTTTGAAAGGTGATTTATGCCTCCCTCCCCTCCCCTGCTGCCCCCCTTTGTCATAGCGTGCCTTACGGTATTCCAGCAGTTATAAACTCTGGTCTCTTTAAATCTTTCTTTTATCACCAGGGGACCCATTTAGTTCTTCCAAGTCAAGAACATTCATCATAGAAGGTACATAGTACCCGCAGTCCGACTATTGACTTCTGTGTCCAAGTGGCATTTTATGAGACAGATTCTGTATTTTTATTTACACTACTCCCTTACCCCCCAGTGACAAACTTCTCCATAAAATGCATAAAGAAAAAAAACTGCCCTCTGAAAACATCTTGCAAGTAAAGGGAAAAAACCAGCTAGCCTCTTAGTTCCTAGTATCCCCCTCCTCCTCTCCCCCGGTCCATGTGGTCACTTCATTCCTTTTTTCCTCTCTTCCGCTCCCTTTTTCTGCATGCCTGCCCCTACCCTGCCCTCACCCCTGCGTGCTTGTATTGCTAGAGAGCTCATCAGGTGATGGTTCTGCCTGGGGGCCTCCTCCCTGTTGGGGGGGAGGGGCAGCAGAGGAGCCCGAGGACATCTCTGCTGCACTCAGGGGGCACTGGCTGGAGGAGTGAGCGGGTGGGCTTTGACGAGGCATGAACAGGTCAGCGGCCCCTCATCCCCATTTTCCCAAGACCTTGACATTTGCAAGACCAGGGTCTCTGTTCAGAGGCGTAGCGCGGAAGCTGGTAAGTCTGCATTTCTCGCCAGATGGCCGACTGGTCAGTGCCAGCTCTCCCTACGGCAGACTCCCCGTAGGCTTGCTGGATATTTGGTTGGCCCTGCCGAGCGATTGCTCTCCAGCTGCTGGGCTGCCTGCTGATTGGTTCGCCCCTTTGCCGTGTTACCCGATCTCTCCACGGAGAGGTGACTGACTGTATCCTTCTTCTCCCAGAGAATGAGTGCTAGAGTTGGGCAAAATTTGGAAGAAGCCAGTGGCATTTGGGGCCGGACTTCCACTCCATGCTAAATCCCTGCGCCCTCCCCAAGAACGAGGCAACGTAGCATCCGTGCTCCGTGTGGGTTACCACCCCATTGCCAACCGGCCACTTCTGTTCCTCATTCGTAATGTTGGGCTCTGTCCCTTTTCTCCTGTTAAATAATATCAGATATTGAATAGAAAGAAAACAAATCATTGGGCTCTTCTGGCCAACCTTGTTTCTGGGGCTGCTGACATCAGTACCCTGACATACAGGGCTGGGCTCAGCCCTGCTCCTCAGGGGTGTCCTGGGGCACCTTCAAAACCAGGCTCAGACAAAAGTTGCTTCTGACAGAATTGTAGCCTGGGCACAGATATTGAAGGCCCTGCTGAAACCTGCTTTCAGATGGAAAAGCCAGGAATCCTTTTGCCCAGCTCTAGTCAGGGTTGTGTGCGCTCGCTCTTTCTTCCTCTTTCTCCCTCTTCCTCTCTTTCTTCCTTCTTCTCTTCTCTCTCTCTCTCTCTCTCTCTCTCTCTCTCTCTCTCTTCCTCTCTCTCTCTCTCTCTCTCTTTCCTCTCTCCTGTCCTTTCTCCTCTCCTCTCCTCTCCCCCTCCTCTCTCCTCTCCTCTCCTCTCCTCTTCTCTCTCTCTCCTCTTCTCTCTCCTCTCTTTCTCTCTCCTCTCTCTCCTCTCTCTCTCTCTCCTGTCTCCTGTCCTTTCTCCTCTCCTCTCCCCCTCCTCTCTTCTCTCCTCTCCTCTTCTCTCTCTCTCCTCTTCTCTCTCTCTCTCTCCTCTCTTCTCTCTCTGTCTGTCTCTCTCTCTCTCTCTCTGTCTCTCTGTCTCTCTCTCTCTCTCTCTCTCTCTGTCTTCCTCTCTGTCTGCTTGTGATAGAGTGACATTGTTTTCTTTTTCGGAAGTTAGCAATCTTGTGCAAAATATTACCAACCTGTCAGCTTTATTTCTACAGGAATCATGCCTTCCCACAAGCCTGCACCCTGATATAACTTCTTACCTTGTCATTGCATGGAAGGGACATTTCAATGCATTGTGCCAGAGGTCCCTTCGTGGGATGGATTTTTTTTTTTAATTTGGGAAGGGCAAGAAATATGGGTGCCCATGTACATGAGAAGGTGATAGGGAGGCGTGTGGGTGTGAGTGTGGGTGTGCGTGCTTGTGTCTGGGTGCATGGGAGTGTGTATGGGCATGCATCCAGTGTTTTGTTCTTCTGTCCCCTTTGGCTATTTTCTTGAAGGCATGTGTAGTGAGAGTCTTGGCTGAAAAGAAACACAGGAAGGGGTTCTGCATGGTAACTGTGCGGCTGATTGCCTGAGCAGGTATTCCTGAGAGTGTTTCTAAAAATTTAACAAAAGCAAGGAAAATATAGAATAGAACCCAAAGCCATGGGTTTGGACAGTGAGCACAGACCCTCCTGTAATAAAGGGATACCACCCCACCTCAGCCTCTCCATGTTAAAAACAAAGTTATCATTGGAGAACCCAAAAAACTACCACAAATGGGAAAATGAGGAGTATCTCATTGATACATAATAGTAGCAATAATAATTACTGACATATAGCACTTTAAGCGTATCCAATCTGGTCTTCCTAACAATCCTATGACTTAAGTGCTACAGCTATTGTCATTATTATTATTATCATTATTACTACCCATTTTGCAGATGAGAAAACAGAAGTTTAGAGAAGGGAAGTCAGCCAATCGGTAGGCTTTTATTAAGCATTTACCATGTACCAGTGACTTGCCCATCTTCATGCTGGGTGACTGGTCAGTGTCAGAGATAGGATCTTAAACCCACAGCCCTTCCGACTCCAGTTCCAGCACATCCAAATTTGGTGCTATCAGGAACCACTGCACATCAGTCAGAGTTCGTGATAGAAAGCAGATTAGAGCATGCTCCCCAGCAGGGGCGGAAGTTTACATGTAATCTCTCCAGACTACTTTGCATGAGCCATATTCATCCTGAGACTAGCTGAGGAAGAACACCAGCCCAGAAGCACCAGCTATGGGACTTGGGTCTTCTTGGCCTATCCCTCCCTATAGATGGATGTCACCCAAATCAGGAATTAGGCAATTAACCGATGAGAACATGCATCCCAGAGTTAGCAGTGACTACAAACGTCCGTGTGGCAAAGCCTTCCTGAGGCACAACGCGTCGACGGTGGCATCCCTGCCAGCTTGGGGACACCTAGCAGAGAGAGGCTGCTCAGGCCAGGTCTGAGGTCCTAGGCTCATAGAGTGTAATGCTGGAAGGGGCCTTAGAGATGTTTTACTCCAACACTCTCATCGCAAAGATGAGAAAACTAATAGTTAAATTCTAAGAGAAACCAGAGCCATCGTGATATTAGGGAATATTTGCCTGAAGTAAGGCTTAATTCAGGTTTGGGGGCAAACCTAACTTCCCCTCCTTTTCAGTGACCTCACCTTCCCCACCCTGTGATAGTATAAAAGGAGTTGTTGAGCCATGAGAGTAGATAGGATTCTGAGGCGGTGAAATGCTAATGACTTGTTTTTAGAAACACTTGTTCTCAAACTGTCATTTCCACATTACGTTTTGCAATCTGCCTTGCAAGCACTGTATCTGTGGGGCCATCTTCCCTGCCCAGCGTCCCAGAAGTCCTCTGGAGACCTTCCGACAATCCAGTTGGGATGACCCAACACCTCAGTCAGCACATACCAAGGTTAGGTGGAATTAGAACAATTGGAGGCCGACTTGTCCCCTCTTAAATGCTGCGGCTCGTCCGTGGGGCCAGATCAGCCAAAGGAGGCTCTCCCATCAGCAGGCTCCTCCACAAAATTCAGGCAGTAGGGAGATTCCATCCTGTCAGTTTTCTTTTCTTTTCTTTTCTTTTTTATGCCCCCTCTCCCACCTTTGGTTTGTTCCTTAAAAGAGCAATTAGAGACTGCCAAGTAATTCTTCTTTGGGTCACCAGGATCCCCAGTGGCTGACTCAGGGCAAGCCCAGAAAGGAGGTGTAGACCCCACTGAATCCTCAGTCCCATCAGTCATCTCCCTGACTGTCTCGATCAGAGCTATACTCCTCCCCAAGGACCTGAATTCAAGAGTTGCCACTTCTCCCCAAGAATCTGCCATTCTGTGATGGAATTTGCCTTAAAGATGGAAGGGAAGAAAGAAACGGGAAGAGAAAGATGAACAGTCTTCCAGCTCTTGCCCACGAAATGCCATTTGTATCTGAATAAATGGAATACACTGGGGGCAGCTAGGGGGCACAGTGGATAGAGCACCAGCCCTGAAGTCAGGAGGACCTGAGTTTAGATGTGACACTTACTAGCTGTGTGACCCTGGGCAAGTCACTTAACCCAATTGCCTCAATAAATAAATAAATAAGCAAACAAACAAGCAAATAAATAAATGGAATGCACCCTTGTCATCCAAGGCCACTCCTACAAGATTCCTTTCCCAGGCCCCTGTCTAGGAGCCTGGGCTCCTGCCAAAATTGGCTTGAGTTTAAATGGGAAAACGCCATCTCTTGCCCCCCCCCTTCCCTATGCATACCAGATAACTGCTAATCCTTCAGCCCCACCTTTCACCATGTGAATACCATAATTTGGTTCATTCCATTCTGGTTTCCAGTATTTATTTGGTAGGAACTGTATCAAGAGGATGAAAATGGGAAAAATCAGGCACTGTTTCCTTTCCTGTGTTTCGCCTTTTTAATTGTAACCTCATTAGGCTGACCTAATCCAACTTGAATCATTATACATCTCTGTTCTTCCCCGGAATAGAAACCCGGTACACTTGGAATCTTAAATTGCACCTCTCTGGCCTCACCATTCCCTCATTTCAGCCTAATCTACCATGTTCAAAGGTCACATTCATACAGAATCCTTTTTTTTTTTTTAAGAGAGAGAAATTTGTAATTAAACGTTTGGGAGAATTGTTTCAAGATCGACCTTTTGGTTTCTTTGTTGTTTCATTGTGTTTGTTTGTTTTTAATTCCTTTCCCCTGAAAATCCCTCCTGTGACCAAGTTTGAAGCCTGGAAATACACTGCTTGCAAGATGTCTTTGCAGTAGAGTCTCTCCCTTCCTGCCTTTGGTGTCCTGCCCTTTAACTTGCCAGATCCTCCCTGGGCAGCGCCCCCTCATAACCTCTTCCCCCTCGCTTTCCCTTTCCTTTATGACAGAGACTGTCCGAGCCATGACGCACGTCATCACTCAAGGAATGGCCATGTACTGGGGCACATCCCGCTGGAGCTCCATGGAGATAATGGTACTGTGGGGCCCTCGACCTTGAATGACCTTTGAGAAGGCCAAGGCTGACCAGGGGGGCCAAGCTGCCTGTGAAACCATGGGTCAGGGATAGGGGCTGGACTTGGGATTTCATTGATGTAGGGATCTACCAAGTGAGGGAATTCCCCCCCCACCAATTTAGATTCACACCTATGAAACTATGGTAATATAGTTATCATATATTATATTATATTACATAGTTATCATATGTAAATATACATTTACATATGAGAATATCCCTTAGGAAATGGGACTGGAGATCTGATTTCATTAGCATAAGGAATTGCCAATAAGGAAACATCCTCTACCAATGTAGATAGGCCCCAGCTCTCTAATTTATCATGTTAGCTGCCTGGTGCATTGAGGAGTTAAGTGACTTGTCCAGGGTCATACAGCCAATATGTATCAGAGGTGCTGCCCGAACCCAGGTCCTCTTGACTTCAAGGCTGGCTCTCCTATCTACAGCCTCTCAATGATATCCTATATATACATAAAAATAATAATAGCACTTTTTAGGTTACGATATTACTAGTCTTCCTGTGAATCTGGGATCTCTTCAATGTGGGTACTGTAGTGCAGATCACAAGCCATTGGGTACAACTCTTCTCTGTGTTCTTTTATACGTCCAACATATAAGGAGATCTAGCCAAGTGGGTGGGGGTGGGGAGAGGGGCCTTCCTCACATTCCCTTGATGTTCTCTAGATACCAATGCATCATAGAATTAGAGCCAGAAGGCTACTTAGAGGTCATCAAGTCCAAAGCCCTCATTTTTACAGGTGAGGAAAATGATGCACAGAGACCTGAAAGAACTCACCTAGGGTCGCACAACCAGCAAATATCAGAAGCAAGATTTGAACCTACGCCTTCCTAAGCTCCAAATCCAGTGCCCCATCCACTACGCCACGTTGCCTTTCCCCATCCAAGATTTCCACTGATTCTCATAACAGCCTTGTGAAGCAAGATATCATTATCCCCATGTTACTAATGAGGAAACTGAGGCTCAGAGATGGAAATGACTCAGTCATGATGATGCAGCTAGGAAGTGGCAGGTGGCATACAAACCCAGGTCTTCCTTCCTAGGACTTTTTCCACTAAGCCTCAGTTTTTGAAGACCATTATGGTAATAATAACAAAACGTCACATGGGTATAGTACTTTGTAGAGTACGAAACGCTTTCCCAGGCATCATCTCATTCAGCCTTCATAGTCTGCTAGAAGTGGTCACCCTGCCATCCTCTGCCCAGGTCAGATGGTAGATCCTGATCAGCTCCAAGTGCCCTGTTTTAAGAATGATATGGATAAACTACAGAGTGAACAGAGGTGCACAGCCAGAATGATAAAAGGCCTTGGGTTTATGCCATGTGAGGGCAGAACTGGGGGTGCTCAGTTTGGAGGAGAGAAGACTGGAAGAGGGGATGGGGAGCATAATGTCTTTCTGATATTTGAAAGACTGTCATAAAGAAGAAGGATTGACCTGATCTGCTTGGCACAGTGGGCAGAACCTAGAGCAGGGAGTGGAGTTGGCCAGAAGGCAAATTTAGGCTTAACCAAGGAAGCTGTCAGAGGCTGCCCCTTCTCTAGAGGTCTTCAGGCAGAGGCCAGATGACTCCTCAGAGATGACGGAGTAGATATTCTTTTAGCATATGGGTTTGACTAGGTGGCTGCTAAGACCCCTTCCAGCTCTCCAGCCCTATGATTGTGAATTATGCCCCCTGTGAGTTGGGGCAGGTATTATTACCCCCATTTTACAGAGGAGGAAACTGAGAAAAGCATCCGAGAAAACAAATGACTGACCCCAAGGCCATATAACTAGTAAGCATTAGGGCCCACTCAGCCATCCTGTCTCTCCCTCCTACCCTGTACTGGGGCAAACATTTATGTTGACAGTGATTTAAAGAGGCAAGAGCTCTCGAGAACTCAGTTCCTATGCATCCCTCTTAATTATTCTGAGGTCTGGTGGGACAAGACAGCAGAGCACATTCGATCCTTCTTGACTTAATATGGCGTCAAGGGAGAAGGCTGGAAGGGAATCATCTGTTTCTCACTATAGCCAGGAAGCCTCCTATTTGCCAGGTCCATCCCACAGCTTTCCCGTGCCCTTCTCATAAATACTGTCCTCGAATTCAGTGATGCAAGTCTCCTCTGGCGGCCCCCTACTCTCTACGGTCTCCATGCATAATCTTGTCTTGATTCCCTTAAAATCAAATGGGATTCCCATTTGAGATTAAGCCCAACCTGTCCAAAAGTCCCCAATCAATACAAGAGAGTTCGGTGGGGTTCATTCTACACAGGACTCTAGTTTGGAGGTGACCCAGGAGCTGGTAGAATACAGAGCTTCCCTGAATGTATATCATCCTGTCTGGTTCCCGGAGATAACCTTAAGAGGTCCATGGCATTGGCCTTCGGGACACATCCATCTTGTTAATTTCTGAGCATCTGTAGCGGTCAAGGTCCCATAACTGCAAATTATGCTAATGGGGACGTTGGCACAGATGAAAGTTCACAGCCCCCCGAAGTTGGCCAGCTAGGCTGCTATCAGACCTAAGAGGAGAGCCCGTGTCTCCAGATTCCTGCCCAGGGCTGCTTCTACTCCACCACATTGGCTTCTCTTTCCTCATCCTGGGCTCTGGTTTTTTTTCTCCCTGTTTGTAGAGACATAGCATAGTAGGGACAGCTAGATGGCCCAATGGATGGAGCACCAGTCCTAGAGTCAGGAACTCAGCTTCCTGAGTTCAAATCTGGCCTTAGACACTTACTAGCTGTGTGACTTTGGGCAGGTCACTTCACCCTGTTTGCCTCAGTTTCCTTATCTGTAAAATGAGCTGAAGAAGGAAATGGCAAACTACTGCAGTATCTTTGTGTGATCCTGGGCAAATCATTTCACCCTGTTTACCTCAGTTTCCTCATCTATAAAATGAGCTGGGGAAGGAAATGGCAAACCCACTCCAGGATCTCTGCCAAGAAACCCCCAGTGGGGTCACAAAAGAGTCAGGCATGATAGAAAAATGACTAAACAACAGCAAAGTATAGAATAGTAGAGAGAGAGCCAAAAAGACCTGGGGTCAAGTCCTGCTTCTGACCCTTACTATCTGTGTGACCCTTCCAAAGACATGATACCCAGGACAGAACAGAGCCCTCCACATGGAGGTCTACCTGTAGAAGTATCCCTTCCTTTATTCTGAAATAGATAAGCCCATGGTTTCTTATCTCACTGCCTTCCTCTTCATTCCCTGGACATCCCAGCCAAGCAGCTCTCAATGTAGGGTCCAGATTCCCTGGATTTCAGTCCCTTGAGACTGTGTTTTAGTGGAAAGAACACTTGATTTAGAGTTGGTAGAGCTGGGTTCAAATCCTCCCTCAGCCACTTATTCACTGTATGACCTGTGATGAGTCAGTGTCCTTGTCTATAAAATGGGGTTCGATTAAATGACCTCTGACATACTTGTCACTTCCCCCTTTTTTGAGTTGACTTTGGACATGTGACTTACTGACATGACCCATTGTATCTGACCTGAATCTTGACCTGCTGATTAGTAAAAGGGTGTGTGTGTGTGTGTGTGTGTGTGTGTGTGTGTGTGTGTGTGTGTGTATGGTTTTGTCCTTGGCAGGAAGCGTATTCGGTGGCTCGGCAGTTCAACCTAATCCCACCAATTTGTGAACAAGCGGAATATCACATGTTCCAGAGGGAGAAGGTAGAGGTGCAGCTCCCGGAGTTGTTCCACAAGATAGGTAGGTCCTGTCCTTCCAGGTCCTCCGACTCCAGCGCCAGCCCTCTGGATACCCCCAGGCCCTGAATAACCTTAGTGGGAGTGACATCAGCCACAGAGCCCAAATGGAGGGAACCTCAGAGGGCACCCAAGGCCACTCCTTTCCTCCCACAGAGACGGGATCTGAGGCCCAGAGGGGACACAGTAAGTGCCTAGGGCAGGATTCAAATCAGGAGCTTCCCCAGGAAGTCCCCGAGTCCTGCCCTCTGTTCACCACATCACAGGCAGGAGGATGTCCATGGAAGAGGGATGTCTGAAAGGAAGTGTCCTACCCCAGGGGCCCTCCCCTACACCGCTCCATGAACCTGAGCCCAAAAGACTTGGTCCTGGGTAGATGATAGAGAGATGGATGGATGGATAGATAGAGTGGATAGGTAGAAGGATGCATAGATGATGGAGCAGTCGATAAATGGGTGGATAGAGTAGATATAGATGGATAGAGAAAGAAAGAGAGAGAAGGATGGATGGATAGAGTGGATAGGTAGAAGGCTGCATAGATGATGGAGCAATCGATGAATGGATGGATAGAGTGGATATAGATGGATGGAGAGCAAGAGAGAGAAAATGATGGATGGATAGAGTGGATAGGTAGAAGGATGCATAGATGATGGAGCAATTGATAAATGGATGGAGAGAGTCGATATAGATGGATAGAGAGAGAGAGAGATGGATGGATGGATAGACAGATGATAAGCAATCAATAAATGGATGGATAGAGTGAATATAGATGGATGGAGAGAGAGAGAGAAAAGGATGGATGGATAGACAGAGTGGATAGGTAGAAGGATGCATAGATGATGGAGCAATTGATAAATGGCTGGATAGAGTAGATATAGATGGATGGAGAGAGAGAGAGAGAAGGATGGATGTATAGAGTGGATAGGTAGAAGGATGCATAGATGATGGAGCAATCAATAAATGGATGGATAGAGTGCATATAGATGGATGGAGAGAGAGAGAGAGAGAGAAGAATGGATGGATAGACAGAAAGATAGATGATAACCAATAAGTAAATGGATGGAGAGAGAGAGAAAATGATGGAAGGATAGATAGAGTGGATAGGTAGAAGGATGCATAGATGATAACCAACCGATGGATGGCTAGAGTGGATATAGATGGATAGAGAGAGAGAAGGAGGATAGATAGATAGATAGATAGATAGATAGATAGATAGATAGATAGATAGATGGATGGATGATAACCAATCAATAAATGGATGGATAGAGTGGATATAGATGGATGGATAGATACAGAGAGAGAAAGATGGATGAATGGATAGACAGACAGAAGGATGGATAGATGATAACCAATTGATAAATGGATGCATAGAGTGGATATAGATGGATAGAAAGAGAGGGAGAGAAGGATGGATTGACAGAAGAATGGATAGATGAATTGAAGAATAGATAGGTGATAGGTAGGTAGATAGGTGGATCAAGATAGAAGGATGGATAGATTGATAGATAGGAAGATAGGAGACATGATAGATCAATTGATAAATAGATGAATAGAGTGGATATAGATGGATAAATAAAAGGACAAATAGATTATTTGTATAGAGGAATAGATAGATAGATAGACAGACAGACAGAGAGATAGATAGATAACCTGTGTGGTTTTTTTACCTCTATTACAGGTGTGGGTGCAATGACCTGGTCTCCTCTCGCGTGTGGAATTGTTTCTGGAAAATATGACAGCGGGATCCCTCCCTACTCAAGGGCCTCACTGAAGGTAAGGCAAGCCCATCCTGAGTTGGGGAGCAGCAAGAAGGTGCTGGGTACAAGGAGCTTTGACCAGGACCCCAAGTGTCTGCCCCCTGAGAGCTCAGCAGCCAGCGGAAGCCCAGCGTGCCTTCCCAAAGAAGGGCCGTGGCCACCGCTCGGGCAGTAACTGAACTGATACTGTGTCTTTGCATCACTAAGCCCTCCAAGTACAGGGGCTGGCCCCGCCCTGGGCTAGGAACACACACACACACACACACACACACACACACACACACACACACACACACACACACACGCGCGCGCGCACACGCACCAGAGCTGCTGTTCTCAAGATAAGTGCCGTGGCACACAGTATTCAATCAAGCAACAAGCATCTATTGAGTATCTACTGTATGCTGCGTGCTGGGATCATGAAAGTCTTCTTATTAAGTGCCTGCTGTACCGGGCGTTATGTCAGGCTCTGGAGGAGATGCAAAGTCCTTGCCCTCAAAGAGCTTCCAGGATGTTAAGACCTAAACTTACGTGATTGAAATGCATGCTTGGTGATAAGAGCACCTGAGAAGAAAAGTTGTTATAACCCAGAAGCATCAGGGCAGACTTCCTGGAGGAGACAACATTTGAGTTGGTCTTTAAAGGCTAGGAAGGAATTCAGCAAAGAAAGGGAAGGAGGGCATTCCAGGCAGAAGGAGCAGCATGAGCAAAGGTGCAGGGGTGGGAGAGGGCAGTGTGTTGGGGGGGGCAGAGAATTGCCCCATTCCCACCCCTACCCTGACCACCTCCAGCCTTGTGGCTTGAGGTGGCTTGTCTTCACCTCTCACTCAAAATAACCATCCTAAGGCATTGCCCTGACCATGCCAGTCCCTGCCCAGAAGCCTTCACTGGCTCCCTGTTGCCTCATCAATAACACCCATGCAGCTCGTGATAACATGTAAAGACCTCCTCAATTAGGACTCAGCCCATGGTTTCTGATCTCACTGCCTTACCCCACAGAAGTGTCCTTCATGCCCTGGACATCCCAGCCAAGCAGGACCCCACGCTCAGCACCGCCTCTCCTCTGCCTTTGTGCGCTTTAACCAACTGCCCCGTCCAGTCCTCCCGGCCCCCACTCCCTACACCTCCATCTCTCCCAAGCCCTCGTCCTGCCCTTCTCCTACTTGTCAGTTCTCTCTCCTTTCCCAGATTTCAGATCAGAGGATTATAGATTCAGGGCTGGAAGAGACCTTAGAAGCCACTGAAAGTCTAACCCTCTCATTTTGAGAGTGACGAAGTTTAGTTTGTGCATTTATTGAATGTACACCCCTCGAGGGCAGGCTTCTGGTTCACAGCTGTTGTGGAATTGACTTGAATGACTTGGAGTGAGGGGGTGGGGCAGAGTGGAAGCACTGTCAGGGGTCTGATTCCTGGCTCCCCCTTACCAGATGCATGTCCCTTGCCTTGAGCTTCCAGTTCTGCAAAGCTCAGGGAAGCTGGTACAGGCTGCCTCCATTTGCCCTGGGGAGGTGACCACCCTGATGTGCTGCAGGTGGGTAATGGACTCTGGCCTCTGATCCCTGGTCCATTCCTCGGTGGCCCTCCAGACCGAAGGAGACTGGGCTGGGTGCCACAGATGCCCTGAGCAGGGGATAGGGTGTCCAGGTCTGGATGTAGAAATAGGGCCAAGAGGGGTGCTGGACTGGCAGGCAGCCTCAGGACTTGGAGAGGGAACAGGAGAAGAAAGAAGCTGGACCAAGCGCTCAGCTGGGAGCGCACGTTGGAGGCAGACAGCCCCCAGCTACCTCTCTTCCGTGGGCCTCGGGAGGCCCCTCCTGACCTGCTGTGTTCTCCCCTTCCCTCTTTCCTGCCCTCATCCCAGGGATACCAGTGGCTAAAGGACAAGATCCTGAGTGAAGAGGGCAGACGTCAGCAGGCCAAGCTGAAGGAGCTGCAAGCCATCGCCGAGCGTCTGGGCTGCACGCTCCCGCAGCTGGCCATCGGTAAGAGGGAGACGGGGCTGGGAGCGTGGCAATGCGCGTCCACACAGAGCGAGGACAGCCTGCCCCCCAGGGAACTCCACCAGCCTGGTGTCCCCTTCCCCAGACATCCATCCTGGCAGAGCCCAAAGGAATGCTTGTTGTCTGATTAAAGCCACCCCTCCCTGCTGCTGCCACCACCACCACTACCACCACTACCGCCACCACCGCCACCAGTGTGACCGCCCACATGCCTCTCAGGCTACAGCTCTTCATTCTCTCTAACCCTATAGCCCATCGTTGTCAACCAGTCAGTCAATCAGCGTCTGGCCCCTTTCTGTTCCTCTCACAAGACCCTCCGTCTCCCGACTCCAGGCACTTTCCCTGGCTGTCCCCCATGCCTGGAATGCTCCCTCTTCTCATCTCCACCTCTCAGCTTCCTTCAAGTCCCAGCTAACATCTCACCTCCTACAGGATGCCTTTCCCAGTCCTCCTCATTCTCAATGCCTTCCCTCTGAGGTTCCCTCTAGCTTCTCTGTGTATCGTATGTGTACCTAGTGATTTACAGGTTGTCTCCCCCATTAGAATGTAAGCTTTTGGAGGGCAGCACCTTTTTTTGCCTTCCTTTGAATCCCCAGAGCTTAGCTCTGTGCCTGGCACCTAGTAGGAGTTTAACAAATGTTTGTTGATTTGACTGGATTTGCCTGCTATGTGCTAGGTACTGAGGCCACAAAGATGAAAATGAAACCGCCTGCCCTCAGGGAGCTTACATTCTAATGGGGGGATGGCATACATGTATACTGTATATTCAGAATCTACACAAAATGAATAGAGTATTTTGGAGGCAGAGAGAGCCCCTGCAGCCCAAGGGGAACACAAAAGGCCTCAGGTCAAAGGTGGCATTCGAGCAGTCTTGATGGAAGCCCAAGATCCTAGTTGGGTGGTGCAGTGGGTAGACCACTGGACTCAGGGTCAGAAATACCTGAGTTCAAATTCTGCCCCAAACATGTACTGTGTCACTCTGAGCAAGTAAGTCACTATCCCAGCCTGATCCTCAGCTTCCTCCTCCGTGAGATGGGCTGGACCTGCTGGTCTCCCAGGGCCCTTCCTCCTCTGAATCTCTGATCCCACAAAAGGCAGAGGAGGAGAGGAAGTACATTCCCAGCACAGGGACAGACAGAGCGGCTTGTTCACATCTCATGTCGACGGCTCTCGTCTGAACCATTGGAACAGCCTCCCAGGAGGTCGACGTTCCTCAACTGTTCGGTCACTTACATGTGCCAGGCACCGCGTTCTGGATGCTGGGGATTCAAAGAAAATGCAGAAACAGCCCTCGCCCTCAAGGATCTTACGCACTGATGAAGGATTCGGCATGGAAATCATGAAGCACATTCAGAACAGATGGGAAGTAAGCTCAGAGAGGGAGGCGCCGCGGCCAGGGGCCGTCTGAGCTAGCCCACCTCCAGCCTCCTGACCAAGCCAACGTCCCTGAAGCGCAGGGTATGACAGTGCTGCTCCAGGGCCTCCCTAACCCCTCCAGCTCTGTCCCAGCGTGGGCTCGCCCCAATGTGCTCTGCATTGCATCTATACCGGGCCATCCAGCTGGGCCTCAATCTTCCACCTCCACACCTTTGCATGGGCTGTCCCCTTTACCGGGAAAGTACTCTCTCCTCACTTCAACCTCCCTTCAAGGCTTAGGTCCAGTTGGCACCTCCTTCTTGAGGCCTTCCCCAGTCCCCTCTTTGGCAGTGCCTTCCCTACCCTGCTCCCCAAAGTTATTGTATTTTCACTGTGTATTTGTTTTGTATTTACTAAGGAAGGAGGGAGGGGAAGGGAACAAACATTTATTAAGCACCTACTATGTGCCAGGCATAATGCAAAGTACTTTACTATCTCAGTTGGGCCTCTCAACAACCTTAGGAGGTGGGTGCTGTGATTTTCCCTATTTTACAGATGAAGAAGCTGAGACAGACAGAGGCTAAGTGACTTATCCAGGGTCACACAGCTAGTAAAAGGCTGAGGTGGATTTGACACAGTGGATTCTATGAGGTGGATTCTAAACACAGTATTCTATGTACTGTACCACCCAATGATACTAGAAAGGAAGGAGGGGAAGGAAGGAAGGAAGAAGAAAGAAGTTATTATGCATTTACCATGTGCTAAGTGTTATGCTAAGGTTTGGAGGGAAATACAACAGAAAAGACAGTCTGCCCTCAAGGAGTTGCCATTTCTGATAACAGAAGACAAAAAATAACGAAAAGGCCAGGGAAGGGCACTCTGGTCTGGAAAAGTTCTATTCCCAGTGAATGAGGCTATGGGGGTAGGGTGACACCTCCTTCCTGAAGTAATAGCAGAGCTGATTTGATCCCTGGGAAGGCGAACGGGGGCAGGGGCTGCAGCGCACGCAGCAGCAAGGTGGCTGTAAAGAAGATGGCCAGGGCAGAGGGGGTAAAGGGAAATGTGGCCGGGCGTGCCTAGAAGAGCAGGCCATTGACCGGCTGGGCCCCAGGGCCCCAGAGCCCCAGAAGGGCAGTTGGGAAGCTGAGTTCTCTTTGCAGAGTCCAGTCTGGGCAACTGGGTGGCTGATGAGAAGATGGTCAAGGAATAACAGGCCAGTGCGTATTGTTTCTTCCCAATAGAATGTAAGCTCCTTGAGGGCAGGGACTGTTTTGCTTTTGTCTTTCTACCTCCACAACCTAGCATAGTAGGTGCCTAATAGATGCTTGAGCTGACTCATCCTCCCCTTTGCTATCCCCCAGCCTGGTGTCTGAGGAATGAGGGCGTCAGCTCCGTGTTGCTAGGTGCCTCCAATGCAGACCAGCTAATGGAGAACATTGGCGCGATACAGGTGAGTGCCCTGCTGCTTCGTGGGGGGAGGCTGGGGCGCCCTCCAGGGCCCAGTGGCAGCTCCACCTTTCTTCAGCCTTCATGTTTACTTCCTCTCAGGTCAGGCACAGCCCCATAACTACCTGGCCACAGGGCAGGTTTTCCCAGGAGCTCTGGCTGAGGTAGCTCTCCACCGAGACAGCAGGCCTTGTTTAGAGCTAAGAGCAAACTTAGAAGCCTCCCTCCAGCCTGCTCCCTTTCCAGCTGCAGGGAAAGCTTTCCTTGGGTCTTGGACAGCCTTCCAGCCCCACCTTGCCAAGTAAAGTGACTGTCAGGGCCTGGCGTGCTGCTGAGCACCGTAATAACCCAACAGCCAATGACTGGAGAAATTAGCTTGGAGAGGCCTCTTATTGGACACTTCCGTAGACTCTGTGTCCCTTATCTGATTTGGGTGAAAATTCTAGGCCATTTCATTCCCACTCCTTCCCCATCTCTCAGCCAGCAGCATGCAGTGCCCCTCACAGGTCCTGGGTGCAACAGCAGGAAGGGGACCATCTTTTTGGGGGGTGGAAACACTGGCCGAAGGTTAGGCCTCAAAGGGGCCTGCCTCCTAAGAGTCATATCCTTCCTCTATGCCCCCCAAACTTTCTCAAATGCCAAAACCAACTGAATTTCCATCCACAGCTTATCAGTCACAGATGTTTTGTACCCTGATTCCATAGAACAGTAGGAGGAATGCTGTGAGATCCCCACAATACCCTGTTTGCCCATGACCCACAGGCTGTTTGTCTTTGCAGGTCCTTCCCAAATTGTCGTCTTCCATTGTCCATGAGATTGATAGTATTTTGGGCAATAAACCCTACAGCAAAAAGGACTACCGATCCTAATCCTCCCATCCTCCCTCCCTCCCTTCCCAACCTGGATCTGCTTGGACAGTTACTGTTTCCCTCCTAGTCTCCTGTTCGCTTGCTTAAGCTGTTACTGAAGCGAGGTGAAGCCCATGCTTTTGCATCCAAGAATACATGTCGAGATGTCCTAGGGAAGATCTTTCAGACGCTGCCATGAGACAACATACGCTGCTTTACTCTAATAAAATTTATTTCGTGCTCAAGAAACAGTCCGGGTGAGGAAGGCTCCTCCACAGACAGGCCGTCTCTGCTCAGCTCATCCTCTTGGAAAGAGACGACCAAGGTTTCCCCTTCCTCCTGTGCCTCATCAAAAGGAGGCCCCCTGAACTAAGTCCTAGCCTAGAACCGGCCTGTGTTGTCTGATCAGAGATGTGGTGAGTTCCACCTGGAGAAGCCCCCATCAATGTATGTCTGTGAGCACTTTGTTGTTTCTCTGTTTAAACACACACACACACACACACACACACACACACAATGTATTTATGGAGTGTAGCCTCTCATGATAGCCTGAATGTCTGTGTTGACCAAATGGGCCATATGAGGGCTTCCAGAATATCTCCTCCCTTTACTCCACAGCTAGTACAGATTGCCACCAGGCCTCTCTCAGTGATAGCTGTCAATTCTTTTGTGTATTTCTCAGCAGAACACTGAGCCAGGCTTGTAGGGTTTGCTCAAACTATACTTTCCTCCCATCCACAACCCACCACTGTCCCACACTCTTACTTATCTGGGAAGGCCCATCCAACAGACTTCAGGCTTGATTTGAGATTCTAGGAGGATACATAAATCTCCTCTCACCTGACCCTGGAGTTCAGTTTTAGAGTAGGTCTCTACTCTCCCCATCCTCCTTTGACCTAGGCCCAGTTAAAGTCAGCAGAGTGGGTCCAGAGTCATCTGAGAAAATGAGATTGTGCTTAAGGAACCCTCTTACAAATGACCTTAGGGAAGGAGACCCTTATTTGTTCTGTATACATCATATTCTAGGGAGGGAGGGTTTTGAAAAGAAGTCCAGCAGCCACATCTCCAAAATAGTAAGAGATAATGGCCACTTCTGAAGCATCCTTCACCAAAATCGATATAATTCCTTCCTACCACTACCACCTAATCCTCCTTTGTGAGACTGAATGACCACTTGGGGTAATTGGATAATGCCCCAAGATAGAAAGACCAGGGCTTAGGCTCTTAGGCTCAGAAAGGACCATGGAAGTCCTCGAGCCTAGCCTCTTACAGATGAGAACACTGAGACCCAATGAGGTGGTGACACAAGTGAGCAGATTAACCTCGTCCTCTGCCTCCCAGAGAGTTCAGGACTCTTTCCACTGTTTATCCACATGGAACAGATCCTCTTGACTCCTGATCAGTGGATGAATTCCTGGAAAAGACTTGCCATCCCCTTTTGCACATATCCCTCCAGGGTAGCCATGGCCTAGTCAGCTCTTACCTGCTCCCAAGCCCTGTTCCCCAGTGTGATTCCACAGACCCTGGGGGCACCTGGCACTTTATATCCCCTCCATGGCCTAGCCTAGAGCTGGGTGGCTGGAAATCCAGGCAGGCAGCAACCCAGCTCACTCTCACAAGTATAAATAAGCCTTGGGGTTCAGGGATATGACTCCATGCTACCTTTGTAACTTTAGCCAGAGATTGAGTTCTACCCAAAACAACCCCACACTAAAAACAATACACACACACACACACACACACACATATGCACACACACAATGCAGTGAAAATCCAAATGTCACAGGAAATAAGAAAGGCCTGGGCCACCCAGGGAACACTCCCAGGGGCTGATTTTGTCCATCCCCCAGTCCTCAGACAGGAGTTGGTAGCCACAGTATGTCATGAGATTCTGATGAAAGAATGTAGGATGATGGGAAATCACACTCCTCCTTCAGCCATATCTTTCTTCCCTTCCCCTGCCCCCAGTGCCAGTGGCCATTTGGGTATTCTCCATGTCTGGAATGCATCTGTTCCCAGTTTATGTTTCTGAGAAGCTGGTATTCCCAGAAATTCTCCTCTCTGACCTACTGAAAGGTCAAAAGGAGCTAGACAGAGTAGTAATATTGCCTGTGGTAACTGGCATGAGTTCATTAAAACCCAGACATTCCACTAGCAAATGGTTTGGATTTGCCCAGGAACAGGAGGGAGGCTGGCCCTCAATCCTTCCTTTTACAGACTATTCCAGCATCTCCTAAAGAGTTTATCCCAACTCACCCGTAGGCAGCAGTAACAAGCAGTGAACCCTTCCTTCCTAGAGATGGGGAAGGGGGAGAATAGAAAAAAGAATTTCTGAATAACCACCATCAAAGTCACTGGGAGCTCCTCAGCCGCTGTTGGCTACTATAAATCAGAGCAGAGCTTATTAAGTGCTCACTGTTATGTCAGGCACTGTATTAAGCACTGGGATTATGAGAAAAGGGGGAAAAACCCAAGCTGGAGACCATCCCTGAAGCTAACTGGCACACTTAGTTGTTGAGGTGTTCACCGACCCACCTCAGTCTGTCGTGTTGTAAGAGAAGTCCCTGCCTGACCCTCACCCTCAGTCACCTGGTGATTACAGTGAGTCCTTAAGAAGGAGCAGAGAAGTGGTGCTGAGCAGTGCAGTGCCCATGGTAAGCTAGCCTAGGTACTCTCCATTCCATCTCCCAGAGAGAAACTTTCAGAATCTGAGCTGAGAATGACCTCTCTGAAACATTGCTCCTAACTCTGCCCTGAAGGGCCATGCAGAATGAGGGCGATGATCCAGGGTACACAGTGAGCCCAGATTAGCTCTGTGCCCTTCAATTAACCAGTCAATTAACAAGCATTTATTGAGTACCTCATGCTGGGCACATAGAGTTAAGTACTAGCATTACTGAAACAAAGAAGGAAACATGCCTTGGGGCACAGACATTTTGGGTCGGCCCAAACACAAAGCTGTGTTCTCTGGACTTGCTGCAGGGACTGTGAGCCTGGCACCATATTGGGTGCCTAGGAGCTGCAAAGGATGGAGTCAGCATGAGTTAAACTCCGGAGAAGGCCTGGATTCTGGCATCACAACCCATAATGCCTTTATGTGGTGGTGCAAGCCTCCCAAAGGACTCTACACACTTCAGGGTCGATAGGGACTAATGACCCTGGTCAAGGGTCCCTTAACCCTTCAAGCCCTATTTCCACCTCTGTAAAAACTGAGCATGTGCATGTCCCTTCCAACAATGACTCAATGATTCAGTGACTTGATGGCTTGTGAGGAGCCAGCACCACCCAGTGTGGCCCCATGATGGGGTCTCCAGGCTAAGGGAGGCTAGCCTCCTCCATGGGCAGGGGATAGGGGAAGACCCAGTCCTTTCATTGTTCCAAGGAGGAAGCCATCTCTACTTCCTTGTACTGACCAGCCTGAATCCTTAGAATCTCAGGGTTGGAAGGGACCTCTGCAGCAATCTAGCCCAACCCAGACCTGAACCGGAATCCTCTCTGTAATACACCCAGTGAGCGGTCATCAAAGACCTCTGGTGAGGGGGAGCCCACCACCTCCCTAGATTTTCCTTCCGTTGAGTCTCAATCTGTCTCCTGGTTCTGCATTCTGGGGCCACGCAGAACAAAGCTAATCTGTCTTCCATGAGATGGCCCCTTTCGATAGGATTTCTTGCCAGGAAGGAGAGCTTCCTGCTCACCCAGCCAAATAAGCATGTCTTGGCCAAAGCTTGACACCATCATAGCAGCTGTGGCAGGAGCTTAAGCCAGGAAGGACTCCTGGATGGCAACAGACTCAGTGGAAAGATGAGACAATATGGAAGTCCCAAGGAAACCTTTGTTAATGGGTCAAAAACATAAGTACTGATGAAAAGCCCAATGGGAGTCCCAGTGTGCATTGGCTATGTCCACCACTAGGCTCAGAATCATGGGATTTGAGATTTGGTAGGGATGTGAATGGCCAGTTTATATCTGAAAAGAGACAGGATTTAGAGCTGGGAAGGACCTTGGATACCAAGTAAGCCATGGGTTTTTAACCTTTTTTATGTCATGGACCCCTTAGGAAGTCTGGTAAAGCTTATAGACTGTTTTCCAATGCACAAAATAAAATACATAGGATTACAAAAGAAATCAATTATTCTGAAATACAGTGAGCATTTTTTTAAGTTCACGGACCTCAGATGAAGATCAAAACTAACCCTCTTGATTTCACTGCGTTCAACAAAACTCCTTTTACAGATGAAGAACTGAGGCCCAGAGGGTTGAAGTGATTTAGGCAATGCCACACAGCTAGTAAATGTCAGGGCTGACAGAAGTGGTCAGTCATAAAGAACACGTCTCCTGCAGTGTTTCTTACTTTGTGGGCACAGCTTAGGGGAGGGGGCATGGCTCCTTCCAACTCTAATACTGCAATTCTGGTCCTAGAGATGGATATATACGATACACACAGAGACCCACACTGGCCTTCTCCTCCCCACTGCCCCTTAAAAATGGCCAAAGGGCCAACGGATAAAAGCATGTGAGCTTTGGGGAAAGGCAAGCCTCGGGAAAAGGGGACTGGAATGTAATCCTGACCTCCATTGGCTAATTCCCTGGCCGTTCCCTCAATCTAGCTAACATACAGGACATATCCGAACACTCCATCAGGTGGGAAAAGTGAGAGAGGGGAAGAGCTCTGCCCCTAGAAAGTCTTGAGGGAGGTGGGGTTGGGAGGGGGAATCCTCTGCCATCCTCCCCTCATCTGCAGTCTTGCTGGCTCCGACCTCTGGCTCTTTCTACTTCTTCTAACCCTGGGTGTACATTAAATGGAACCCAGAGCTCAAGTGGAGAAAACTATTCAGTGTCTGAATCCAAACAGATTATCTTTCCAGAAAGCCATTCAATCATGGATTTTTAACCTTTTTGGTGTGTGTCTTGGACCCTACCTTTGGCAGTCTGGTACAGACTTTGGACCCCTTCTCAGAATCACCTTTTTAAATGCAAAAATAAAATGTATAAGATTACAAGGGAAATCAATTATATTGAAATAAGGATGTAATTTTGTTTTCCCATCAAATTCATGGAGCCCTTGAAACTGGAGAGGTCTATGGAATTCCAGTAAAGAACCTCAGAGTTAGGATTCAAAGTAAAAGCCCGAGGGGCGGATAAGTGTAGAGTTGGGCTAAGCCACAGGTGGAATAGGTGGGCAGGGCTCAGGGGACAGGGCTGGGTTGAGGCTCACCTTCCAGTGTTCTCTAATCTCGAAGTTAATGGTATCCGTGGACTCCTACTCAGCAGCGCTTACAATGGCGACTCCTTTCAAAGCCTTGGTCTCCCAAGTAACAAGAGGGACTCATTCCCGTCTTCTGTTCAATTCATGTCATGTAAATAATGTGCTTTTATTTTTCTTTGGTTTTGGTTTTTATATCTAATATATGTTATATATGTATATATATGTATACATATATATACACATAAATATAAACTGGTTTCTAAGCTAACTGCATAACCTATCTAGGCACAAATTTCCATGTAACATCGCACTTCTAAGTGAAGATTCGGACTGAGACACAGCCATTGTATTTATGGAATGACAAAATAAAATATAAGCCTTATTTACTGCTGTTTCTGGCGCCTTTCCCCCAAGAGCTGGCCTCTAAGCTGGAGTTGGGTGGGGGGGAGAGATTTCCTGATTCTCAGTAGAAACCCTGGGATGAGGGTTAGAATGAGGCCACCCACATCCTGACCTGGAAAGTAGGGAGGATCCAGGACTGCCTGGCCCATCTCCCATCCTCACACAGCAACAATGGCTGCATTTTGACCCAGGAACCCTGGTAGACCTTCTGCAGCCCTTCCACTCCACTGCAATCAATTCAGCCTGCATTTACCAAGCAGTCACAAAATGGTTTTCACCTTCCTGGGAAGAAGACAAACCACATACTTTTGACCAAAAACAGTTGTAGGGTGTCTGTCTTGGGGAGGAAAGGGGGCTGTCCCTGTGTTTTCAGTTATCTACCTTTTGCCGAAGACCTCAGTACATCCGCTCTGTGTAGACATCTGCCTCTACAGAACACTGGAGGTGCCATAACGATATAAGTTGCTACCTCCGTCTCCTCTCTCTTTGCCACACTGGGCTGAGACAAAGCCAGCCCTATAACTAAAGGGAGGTATCAGGGCTTTTTGACCCTAGGGCATCAAATTCAGAGACGGGCTAACAGAGCTTTCTGTCTTTCAGCAACAGAAATAACTGAGCTTATCTATTTAACAATCTATTTAGCAAGACGAATTAGTTAATATAGAAAGCTACCAGATGGCAGCTCCTTTTCCCCAGCCTCTCCATCAGTGGTGTGATGGCATTGCTGAATCTCTGCCACCCTCTCCCAATTAAATTAAAAGTATATTTTGCACCATTTGCCCTGCACAAAAACTTCTGGTTATAGCTCTGGATAAATCTAGTCCAGATCCTTTGGAGGGCGAGAAGAGGGGAACAATGAGGTTGAGACAGAACTTTGGGCCATAATCCATCCTCTCCTACCCCCTGGGAGAGCCTGGGGGGCTTCTCCTCAAGTCGTTGAGATACTTAACCAAACTCTCGATTTATTCCTTTCTCAAAGGCTTTATTTAAAACACAGAAAACAAAAACAAATACACACAGAGTACAAAGTAGATGTGATTGTGTTGGCTACAGTATCTGTCAACCCTCCTACCAAAGGCCTGGTCACTGTGCGGCCAGGGATAGCAAACAGAACAGATGTGGAATCATGGCGGCAAGAGGCCATGGTAACTCTGAGCTGCTCTGTTGTGGGCAGAGAACCTGCCTGATCCCACCCCATCAGCATTCACATGGGCCCGGATATGGGATGCCCAAACCTCATTGGGAATGAAGCATTTGGTGGTTAAAAGGAAAGAAGAAAGAAAGGAAAAAAACCATCTGACCAATGAACAGTCTTATGAACGCTGGCTGCCCCAGGTTACACACTGAAGGAGGGAGACAGAGCCCCTTAGGAAGCACAGGCCTCAACAGAGTTCTGAACCAAGGGGCCACCGGCGTTTGGTCAGCCTCCTGGCTCCAGAGGCTTGGCAAACGAGCCTCCTGTGAGCAGCCCTGAGGCCCGAAGGAAGAGGAAGGTCCAGGTCTCAAATCACTACTTACTCGACAAGCTTATATCACACACAAGCACAAACACGTACACCCGCAAATCCATTGTTGAGTTATCGTACCTAAAAAAATACTTTTTTTTCCCCTTAAAAAAAAATCTAGAAATTAAGACAAATTTCTCAACACAAAAACTTAATGACTTTGGGCTGTAAACATCAGGTTACATAAAACGTGAGGGTCGCCAATTTCCTCGACAAAGTATGCTTTAGACGGGAGAGCTCAAGGTGCAGACACTTTGCCCCAAGGCCCTGGCAACATCCTGGCTTGGCACCAAGTTTGGGGCTCTTTTGCTAAACTAAGGCAGAGAAGTGCAGACACTGACCACTTTTCCTGGCATCATTATGCTGCTTTGGCTCCCTAAGGGCTCTGCCCATCCATCCTTTGGCTTCCTAGAGGCTCTGCCCATCTCAGCTCTTCCTCTACATTCAGCTGGAAACGTCCAACACTTCCCCAAGCTGGACAGACCCACTGCCCCTTGTTTTCCTGGCACCCTTCCTCTAAAGCACGCTTAGGGCTTCCCTGCTCCTCATACCAGCTTCCCCCTATTAGAATGTAAGCTGCTTGAAAACAAGAACCATCTTCCTTCTTATATTTCTGGCATGTAATAGGTGCTTAAGATAGGGATAGAGACCAGACCTTTGATTTTATTAGCATAGGGAGTTCTCATTAGCAGATCTCAGAGAGTTAGCCAACAGGGGTTTAAGTGACTTGCTCGGGGCTCACACATGTTATCAGAGGTGACATTTGAACCCAGTTCTTCCTGGCTTCTAGGCCAGTTTTCTATCCACTATGCCAAGCACTTAATAAAGGCTTTTTCATCTGTTCCTTCATTCCTAATCAGATCCTCTTCATTCAAGCTGCAAAATGCCTTTTACATCATTGAGAAACCTAGATTTGGGGAACAGAGAAAAAGGAATATCCCTCCCTGCCTAACCAGAATGAATACCTTAAGGGCATGGGAAGGTGGTGCCTAAGGGATTAGGGTGGTCCACCCCCTCCACCTTGAGTCTCCCAAGCCTTCTCATAAGCCTCAAATTTCATCACAATCTCAGAAGGATAGAACCAGCCAAGTCACTAATAAAAGCCAATTTGAAAAAGGAAAGAGTTCTGGGGAGATTCTTCCCAAAGATAAAGATTAAGCAAGAGTTTTTTTAATTGTATCCATTTATGGTCCATGGAGACAGATTGACAAGGGAGGAAAGGAAGGGCCAATAGAAATATGGAATACATTGGGAAATCAGGGAAGATGTGTCTGGTCTGACTTTCCCTAGATCCAAAAATAGCTTCCGCTCTGTCACATGCGTGCGCGCGCGCACACACACACACACACACACACACACACACACACACACACACAGAGCGTCAACAGAGCCTTCCAAGACTCTCAGCCCCAAGGCCTTAGAGAAGCACAAGACTTCAGCGATTTAAGTAATAACACCCCAAGAGAAACATCACAGGAGCATACGTAGATTTAGAGCTAGAAAGAACATTAAAGGCCATTGAGGCCAATCCCCTCATTTTAAAGATGAGGAAACTGAGGTTCACAGAAGGGAAGGGATTTTGCCTAGGGTCAAACCCCAGATGGGCTAATAACCACACCATGCAGGAACTGGGGCTCTCAAACTCTGCCCTGCTTGCATTGCATGGGAGCTGGAAAATGACACAAGTAGAGAGATATTTAAAACAGCTGACTTCTCTCCCTCCACTCTGGACGGAGCATGACAAATGAGAAGACCCTTCAGGCCTAGTTTATCAGATAGTTTCAAGGGATTCAGCTTGGCAAACACCTGTCTGGGAAAAGAATGCGTTCATTGATAACCACGGCCCACAGGGTCTCTTCTAAGGCCAAGGTGGGCATGTGGTTCCAGTGAAGGGCAAGGAACAGGATCTCATTAGCCAAATGATGACTAAGAAGACGCTAGCAAAGCAACAGCAAATAAAAGGAGGGTAGACAAGGAACTGGAGAAAGGGGATAGAAGAAAAGAAGAGCATGCTAGAAATAAGCAGCAATACTGTTTGGGAGAGCAACCACTGACTCATTCATTGAGTCAAGTGCAACCTACCCTCCTGATAGGAAGTAGTGGGGAACCTACCAGACCAACATGGCACCAACGGTCTATGAGCCCTTCCAGGCTATTTGCCAAAGACTTCATGAGGTGAGGCCAGGGCACTGGTCTGAAGGCAGCAGATGATGTCATCATTTCATGCAACTTCTAAGCTCTCTAGCAAGAGCTCTGCCTCAGAGAATGATGGGGAAAGCATGACATTTAATGTTTGGCCAAGGGAGAAAAACGTCCACAGAACGAGATCAGGGTAGAGTGACCTTGCAGCAGGCATGCACACACACACACACACACACACACACACACACACACACACACACACATATCTCTGTCAGCCTGAGCCAAGGATGCATTCAAGGGAGAAGGTACTACTAACTGTAGAACATAACATTTATGGAAATGGCACACAATGAACCACTCTGAACTGAAAATGGCCTCTTCCTCTGATGAACTGCCATTTTAGGCAGTCAAAATTGGTTAATCTGCTGCACACGCTGCAATTTTGTGTGCCTCTGTCTAAACTTGAAACGCTTCTCCCTGATCCAATGCTCTTACAACTTCTTTGAATCTAAATCAGGAGAGAGGAATAGGGAAGTCTCCCCCAACCACGAGTGCTCTCCTGGCACAGGGTTTGATCTCAAATGTGAGGGTTTAGGAAGGGGCCTTGGAGCTCACTGAGTCAAACCTCCTGACGTTCCAGAGAAGGAGGGCTGAGGAAAAGTGACTTGGCAGAGGTCACCCAGCTAGCCAATAAGTGGCAGAACCAGACCCAGAACCAAGGCCAATCACTCTTTCCAGGTCACATCAGCAACAGATGTTATTGTACCCAGCTGACTCCCTACACGAACTTGCTCTATCCTTTCTAATAAAATGTGAGCTCCTTGAGGGCAGGGATTGTTTCACTTATGTATTTGTATCGCCAGCATCTAAAGCAGTGCCTAGCACACAGTGAGCACTTAATTAACACCTGCTATTACTTTTGATGCCCCCTCCCACCCTCAGTCAGAAGTGGAATCAGCCCCCTTCAGCCCCTCCCAAGGAGAGATCTCTATAGAAGGAAGGCCACAAATCTACTCTGGTGTTCACTACTTCCTTTCTCCTCAGTAAGCACCGATCCCTAGTCCTACGGGGCCCACCCCCTTCCTCTCTCACTTGGGAAGAGATTCAATTAGGTCTTGAGGAAGAACAGAAGCAGCTGGGAAGCAAGAAGATGTAAGCAAGGACCCCTTTCATACATAAAAGAGTTTGGCTGCTGAAAGGAGCAGAAAAAGACCTTTTGGAGCTAGAGAAACCGTGTTCCAGCCCTTAGGATAGCAAGGATCTACAAGAGTCATCTTCCCCCCTGCCTCAAAACAGACCAGCATCTAAACTGTTGCAGACCAATAAGAGTTGCTGTTGTTACCCAGCCTGATGATTCCCTACCTGCCAGGCCCCTCCTTCCTAGAATCATGGAATGTCACAATCCCTCACTCCTTCAGGGACCTCTACTGGCCATCTAGTCCAACTCATACTTGAAGATAAAGCTCCTCTACAGAATCCCCCAATAAGTGGTCCTCCAGCATCAAAGGCATCCAATGAGGGCATCCCAAGGGGACCCATTCCACTGTGGGACAGATCTAACTGTTGGGGAGTTCAAGCCCAAATCCACCATTTTGCAACTTCTTTCTCCTCACTGTTCCTAGCTCTGCCTACTGGGGCCCAGTAGAACAAGTCCATTCCCTTCCTCCATCTAACAGCCCTTTGGATACTTGAAGATGACTAGAACTGACTTCAACCTGCTGGTGTCAATCAACACTAACCTTCCAGCAACATCAGGAGAAATGGTGTCTCCCCATGACCTTTCCCTTGGACACAGACAATCCCCTCTTCCCTCACCAGGAACCACCTCTCATCCTAAGATCCTGAAGCCTCAGCCCCTGTCATCAGATTTCTACCACCCACGAGAAGGACTCCAAGTATCACTGTGATGAACTGTGGTGGCGTGTGAGGCAGGCTCAGCAGGGCTAGGATTGGAAGGGGCTTTGGCCTGATGAATCGACACCTTCTTACAGATGAACCCTGGGTCCTCGGGACTGGCCATGGGTCTGGTGATCTCAACCCTGTCTCCATCAGCATTCCTGAAGGACAGCATTTCCAGGCAGGTGGGAGAGTTTGCAGAAATGGCAAAAAAAAAAGTATCCTGCTAACCCTATCCCAAGAACAGGTCTTTGCGGTGGCCAGGACAAGACATGAAACCAGGCCAGAACTCTGCTAAAGAGGCCAGAAGGTTGGGCCAGCCCCTGCCTGTAGCCTGTGGTCCAACAACATAGGTGGTGCTGGGAGAACAGACAGGAGCGAAGAGGGCAGAAGGTGCATGCAGCTGCTCAAACACAGTTATGGTGAGGAGAGTCAGGAGCCAAGCAGGAGGCCACATAAGAAAATCAAGCCTCGTCCTAACTGGCAGGTGAGGGTCCACAAGTCTAGAAATGGGGGCTCCAGCAAGGTTTCCCTCTGGATTTTATGCATGTTGATAAAAACAGAGACATAAATACTGTTAACATTATAATCCTTCATAATTCATTCAACCTTTATCAAGACAAACTCTTCGAGTCTTCAATAAGAAAGTGCAAAAGATGTACAAATAAATGGAATCCCTTCTAAGAAGTTCTGGAAATGGGTTTGTTTGTTTTTAAGTCGCTATTTGTTTTCCTCTTTTTCTTTTTTCTTTCTTTTTTCCTTTTTTTCCCTTTTTTTTTTTTTTGAAGAACACTTGAGATATGACGTGGTGGCACTTCTGGGCGTCTGGCCCATGGGGGCTGGGACTTAGTCTTCAATGCAGATGACATCGCTGAGTTTCCCCTTTCGTCCCAAAGCAGCACCGTCTTTCAGGGAGTCAGCTCCTTTTCTGTCGGGGTGGCTGGCAGGTGGCCCAGTGGGCGTGGCTGTAAGGACACAGAGAGGGAGGTGTTAACTACCCTGAATCCCCCCCCCACTCATCTCTGCCAGCTCCTAGAGTTTTTCTGGCTGCTGAGAAGAAGACTTTGGAGAGGGCTCCCCGAATCAGACCTGATGACACTCAGGGGGTAGCCTCAGAAGAACATTCCCACATGATTCCACTTCAGACAGCTATTAGCTGCACCATTCTGATCAAGTTTCTTCCCCTCTCTGGGCCTCAGTTTCCTCATATGTAAAAGTAGAAGGTCGGACTTATCAATCTTTAAGGTCTCTTCCAACTCTATGTCTATGATCATATGAAATTGCTGTGTGACTGGCACCAAATCTCTTACCCTCTCTGGGCCTCAGTTTCCTCATAAAATGAGGGGTGGGACTAATTAACCTCTAAGGTTCCTTCTAGCTCTAAATCTTTGCTCTATAGATAGACACATAGATAGGCAGACAGATAGAAAGACAGATAAAGATAGATAGATAGATAGATAGATACATACATACATACATACATACATACATACATACATACATACATATCTAGGCAGACAGACAGACAGAAAGACAGATAGACAGATAAAGATAGATAGATACATACATACATACATATATACATACATACATAGGCAAACAGACAGAAAGACAGACAGACAGATAAAGATAGATACATAGATAGGCAGACAGATAGAAAAACAGATAGACAGACAGATAAAGATACATATATACATACATACATAGACAGACCAAAAGACAGATAGATAGACAAAGATAGATAGATACATAGATAGATAGGCAGACAGACAGACAGAAAGACAGACAGACAGATAAAGACAGATAGATACATAGATAGATAGGCAGACAGACAGAAAGACAGAAAGACATAGACAGATAAAGATAGATAGATACATAGATAGGCAGACAGATAGACAGAAAGGCAGACAGATAGACAGATAAAGACAGAGATACATAGATGCATAGATAGGCAGACATATAGATAGATAGATATAGAGAGAGAGACAGACAGACAGAAAGACAGATAGGTAGACAGACAGATAAAGATAGATAGATACATAGATACATAGATAGGCAGACAGATAGACAGACAGAAAGACAGATAGATAGATAAAGATAGATAGAAACATAGACAGACACATAGATAGGCAGACAGACAAAGATAGAGAGAGATACATAGATGCACAGATAGGCAGACAGATAGAAAGACAGATAGATAGACAGACAGACAAAGATAGATAGATACATAGATAGATAGGCAGACATAGTAAGACAGATAGATAGACAGATAAAGATAGATACATAGATAGGCAGACAGATAAACAGATAAAGATAGATAGATAGATAGATAGATAGATAGACAGATAGATAGATGCATACATACATACATATATAGATGCACAGACAGATAGGCAGACAGATAGAAAGACAGATAGATAGACAAAGATAGATAGACAGAAAGACAGATAGATAAACAGATAGATGAACAGATAGATAAAGATGACAGATAGATAGATAGATAGATAGATAGATAGACAGACAGACAGACAGACAGACAGACAGATAGATAGATAGATAGATAGATAGATAGATAGATAGATAGATAGATAGACAGATAGATAGATAGACAGACAGACAAATAGACAGAATGAGAGAGAGACAGACAGACAAGCAGGCAGGCAGGCAGATAGATAGACAGATAAAGATGATAGATGACAGATAGATAGATAGATAGATAGATAGATAGATAGATAGATAGACAGACAGACAGACAGACAGACAGACAGACAGATAGATAGATAGATAGATGACACCCTGACTCTAAGCCTCAGAGCATTATTCAGGCTTTGGAAATCCAGGGAGCAAGGACTGTCCATTGCCCCAAGAGTTGGGACCTCTCTCTCACCTAACCTCTGCCAAGATTCCAACAGAGATCCCTGTAGCTGTCCCTCACCTAGGACAGTTGGGTACCCTCAGGCCCCAGGTATCTCTCCTTTAGCTAAAGAAGAGCTAAAGCTTATAGAAGTAGGATGGTGTCCTGGGAAAAGAGTACCACACCTAGATGCAGAAGGCCTGGATTCAAATCCTACCCCTATCCTTTTTTTAGCTGGCTGATGATGGGTAGACCACTTCCACATCTCTGAATACATCTGTTCATGGGGAAAAAAGGAAGGGTAGGGAGTGTGGAATATTTGCAAGGGTCCCCAGGACTGAGTGAGGATCAAATGAGATCATTGGTGTAAACTCTTTGGCAAACCTCATATCACCATGTAACAGAAAGATGACTGACCCAAAAGTGCACCAGACCTGCCTGGGGCTCTTTTTTTCCTCCCAAAGTTTTATCACTCAGGATGAGGAAGGATGAAGGAAGAGGATTACCACTGACACCTTCCCTCAGCTATTTCTGGGCAGAAAGAGAGTCAATGGAGGTGCCTCTGACCTGAGCTCAACTTCATGATAATAATTGACATTGAAAGTACTTTACCTACATCATCTCACTGGAGCCTTATAGCATTCCTCTATCAGGACCATTTTCTAGATAAGTTCAGAGAAATTGGGGTCATTACTGGGTCACAGAGCTCACAAGTCTCACAGGAGGGATTTGACAGGCATTTTTATCCCCATTTTCTAGATGAGAGAACTGAAGCTCAGAGAGATTAGTGGTCTTTCCCAGAGTCACACAGGTCTCAAAGTGTCAAAGGCAAAATTGGAACTCAACTGTCTTGATTCTAGCCATGACGCCACGCTCCCCACTAGAGAGACCCAGGCTTGACAAAGACGAAGCCCAGAGAGGAAAGAGGCCAGTGTGAGTTCTGCTCTCTCCAAGCTGGGGGATGGCTCCTGGCTATCCCCACCCCACCTCCACCCACCACCCACCCCTCCCTCCCACAGGGTCTGCAGGCATCCACCCTTCTCCACAGAATTTAACTCTCCCAAAATCCATTGGTGGTTTGGGTGGAGTGAGAGACAAAACGAAGGCACACGTGTACGAGCCCCCATCCACATGGAGGAATGGAGGCAAAACATGAGTCTAAACGAGCAGTGATGAAATGTTGAAAATGCATTTCAGCACAGAGATGGACAGAAACAGGCACACAGAGTCACAAACAAGCCCACCGGCTGGTTGGTTACTTTACTATTTCATTCAGTGCTCCCCCAGGAATGTGTCTCAACACAACAGCACCTAATGAGGGCTTGACTTGGTGTGTCATGAAGGACCCAACTTTCCCTCCAGCTCCTAATCTGTGGCACGTGGCACTGCTGTCCTACCTACCTCTGTGCCCATCTGGCCCTCCAGCTCAAAACCCAACAGAGCTCAAGTAATCCTCAACTGCTGTGTCCTGGCTGGGCACCAGGGGACCCTCTCATGAATCACCTTCCCAGGCACCCTCACCCAGGGGATTGCAAAACTGAACAGAGCAAGAGGTCAGTGACCCCCGCCTGAGTGCCATCTTGATTCAGATCTTAGCACGCCAAGACCTAGGTTGGCAAAGCCTCAACCAGGCTATCTACCCGAGGCCAAAACAAGACCTCAACCACCAGCACGGCTATGATAAAAGTCTAGAGGAGAAAATGAAGAAAGTAGGCTCCTAGTCTGATAAGATACAAAGTTGGGTGGGACCTTGGAGGCATCAAATGAGAGAAAATGTACATGTCATTGTTCAAACCTTAAAGCGCCATAATGCTGATGGCTATTGTTATTGTTGTTATCATCAGCTAGTCCATTCTACAGATGAGGAGACTAAGGCCAAGAAAGGTGATGGGACAAGGTTACACAGGAAGGAAGTATCAGGCTACGGAGGAGAAATTTGGGGAAGGTTCAAGATAAGGAAACATAAAAGAAGAAGAAATGGGAATTTGGGATGTGAATAGTGAATTTTAGAGTAAAGGAAGGATATGTAGGCAGGACAAGTAAGTGAGGGCAAAGACTTTAATTTATGTCCCCTTGCCCAGCACAGCGGCCAGTATGTAGCGGGCCTTTAATAAATGTTTGCTAATGGATTGATATAAATGGGATCATCAGCTAGTATTGAAGTGACTGCCCTATGCCAGCCACTGTGCTAGGTACTGGGCATATAGGCTTTATAAAAGCCTGCTGAATGGGAACAGATGCTGGAATTGTGCTATCCCTGACATAGGGATCTCCCAGATAAGGGAACTCCTCCTACTAATGCATAGCTTATGGTCTTTAGAGAATTGCTTGAGGGCAGTGAGGAGGTAAATTACTACTCATGACCATACAACCACTATATCTCAAAGGCAGGACTTGAACCCAGTTCCTCCTGACTCCAAAGCTGGATCTCTATCCAGTTGAATATAATTGTTTTATGTTTTAATTTTTTTTTAAACGTTAGCATGGCCTGGACAGGATTCTAACCACATAGTAAATGCTTAATAAATGCTGCTCACCAGGCTGAGTGGGGCTGGGCAGGGGGTAGATACAGAGAAGATTGTCTTCATAAGCTAACCCCTACATCATGGGGCCTTAAGAGACCCAATGGATCCCTCACCCAGGCATTGGGGCTCAAAGAGGAGCCAGTGCCTTGAAGACTCAGGATCTCCTTGGAGACCCAAGCTAGGGAAGGCCCTGCCATCCTTCCTGAAACAGATGTGGCTGGCCAGGTTCCACAACTGCCCTTCTTTCAGGAGAGGTACAAAGATCTCAGCAAACCAGGACAATGGTGAGAATATGACCTTCACTGCTCAGATGTTTTCAGTTCTGCCTAGATAGCACTAGAGACTGGAGGTCTCAAGATTAAGACCCTTGAAAAAAAGACCCACTAGGTAATAATGGAGGTTTTAGGAAAGAGGGGGAAGCTGGCGGCAGTCACAGTGGGACACAGATACTTGGGAGAAGGGGAAATTGACAAAAGGATAGAACATTAAGGCAGCATGAGAGAGAGTCAAAAGAGTACTTCTTTTGAGATCAGAGGACCCTTGTTCAAATCCTGCTTCTGCTCCTTTGCTCTGGACAAGTCACTTAACCTCCCCACAGGCCTCAGTTTCCTCCTCTGTAAAATAAGGTAATTGGACAGGGTCACCTCTGAGGTCCCCCGCAGCTCTAAATCTAAGATCCTGTCACCTGCATTTGAATCTCAGCTCTGCCATTCACTCGCTGTGACCTTAGACAAGTGTCTGGGATTCAGTTTCCTCATGTGAAAAATGAGGGCATTAGACCAGATGACCCCTAAGTTTCCTTCCAACTTTAATGATGATCAAAGACATTCTAGATCACCTGGCCTCTTTGACTCTATGTGGAGCAGAACTGGCTGTCCCTTTAGATGGAAGACCTAAAAAAAACATAACCCCTGAAGGATGGAACCATAAAATGTGGTTAGCAGAGAGAAATAAGGGTCACCTTACCTCAGTTGGAAATGAGAACTGCAACAGAGGAAAATCTTGAAAACGGCTAAATATCTATTAAGAAAGAAAACATCTGGCTTGCCTACTGTCCTTTGGTTTCGTTTGTGGTCCCCTGAAATTTGCCGCTTAACAATTCTCCATTAGGATGGGCTAGATACGTCCAACCTACCAGTCACATAGGGGCCGAGGGGCATCTGGCTGTAGTTGACAATCCCGCCTGGTCCAGGAGCCCGGAAGTTTGGCCCAAAGTTGTTGTTGTACATCTGGGAGGAGCCGAAAGAACCCTGGAGGGCGAGGACTGAGGTTTCAATGCTGCCTGTCTCCTTTCTCCACCCAGAACCTCACCCTGAAGCCTGCCAGCTCCCCACAATGGAGGGGGTAGGAATGACCAGAGAGAGGGAGGGGAAAGGCCCCTGGCAGAGTCCCCCAGATGGAGCATCTGTTAAGAATACTGGGGGCATGGAGCCCCGGGGGAAGGTTCCAGGCCCAGGTGGGCCAGCCTGACCTGCTGGATGGTGGGATCTCCGGCACGGTTTGTCAGGCGGCTCAGGATGCTGCGTTCAGACATCTGCAGACGAGCAGCCACGGGCGGGATCCGGGACAACATGGAGGGCAGGCGGGTTACATCAGCCTTCATGTCACTCAAAAGTTCCTCCAGCTGGTTCAGTACTGCAAGATAGAAGGGCCCTCAACCCACTAGCACAATCCTAGCCTCCCTTCTGCCTCCACAGACGTCAATCCCTCCCTGGGCCAAGTGACGCTGCAGGGCAAGAGGAGCAGACAATTGGTGGGCAGGTGGGCTGCCGTGTAGATTCCACCTGTCTCCTGCTGTACCTTCGGAGGGAAGAGGAGGAGTGAAACAGGGCCTCCCATCTGACTGAGAGCCTTCCATCCCGTGCTGCACCTGTGTCCTGCCTGATCACCAACCTCCTCTGAGGAGTCGTGCCTTCCACTCAATGATCCGTATACTCACACCTGGTCATACCCTACACACCTCAATGATTCTGACCCCCTGTAGGTCACTTTGCAAACTTTATTCCCCATATCTCACCACTCAATTCTTTATTCATATCCCTCTCAATCCTCCCATTGCAAGGTCCGATTCAAACACTACCCAGCCCTTTCACTGTGCCCTCTGAAATGCCTGTTCCATAGTCAATAAACTTGCCTTTATCCTAAATCATTTCCTCTCCCACTCCTTCCATCTTTTAGCAATCACTGAGATGATTCCCTTCTAATGGCACAGCCTCCCTGGCCACCATTTTTAGTATTACCTATATTTTCACTCATTCCCCTAGGTTCACTGGTTAAGGACAGGGGAGTTGTTCCCCATTGCTACTTTGGAGTTCTCCCCCTATCTCTATCACTCAGCAAACTTTCCTCCTCTGAGGTTCATGCAATTCATAACTACCACCCAATCAAAACCCTGGTAGCGTTTATCTATAGACCTTCAGATCATTCCCCTTCCTTCCTTAATGAGTTTGGTACATGACTCACAATTTTTCTCTCTTCCTTAACTCCTGCCTTCCAATTAAGGGACTTCAGCATATAGATTGACTCTGCTTCAAACATCCTAACCACTCCGTTCCTCAACCTGCTCACTTCCCATGAGCTACTCCTCCACCCCACTTCAGCCACACACAAAGATGAAGTCATACCCTTGATCTTTCCATCACCCACAAATGTACCACTTCCATGTTTCAAGAATTCTGAAATCTGCTTATCTGACCATGGCTTTTCACCTCTCCCTCTGCCTTCTTTTACCAAACCCTACTCTTCATCTGCACTAATCCCTCCATCCTTCATTTCTCTCCTAGAGCAGTTCCTGGGCACAGGTCACTCTCTACTCTTCTCCCTATCTTGATGAACCCATTCAATTCCATGCTGACCTCATCTCTTCATTCCTAACCCCCTTATCACATCACCAGTTGCACTTTGCCAAGCCTCTACGTTGAATCACTTCCACTATCCACCACATGTGCCATTTGAACAAACGTGGGGAAAATCAAGCAAATGTTCTAACTGGGTGCACTACAAATTCCTGTTATAAATCTGAAATGGGACCTCACTGCTGCTAGGCAATCCTACTATACCTCCCTTGTCAACTCATTCTTCCACTCTCCACAGTGGCTCTTCCAAGCCTTTTCCTCCCTCTTCAAACCTCCCACGGCTTCCCTTCCCCCAGCTCTCTCAGCTGAGAATCTTGCCTCATATTTTACAGAAAAAAATTGAGGGTAGTTGCTGCAAGTCTCCTCTTCTCCCCTCCTCCTCATCTTGCATTAGTCAGATGCCTTCTATCATGATTACCTCCTTCACCCCTGTCTTATACAAAGAAGTGGCCTTCCTCTTTACCAAGGCAAACCCCTCTGCTGGCACAAGTGATTCCATTCCATCCCATCTCCTTCAATGGATAGCCCCTTCTGTTATCCCCACCCTCTCATCTTTAGTCTCTTCATGTCTACTGGCTCATTCCTACAAATATGCCCATGTCTCACCCATTCTCAAAAAAACCTCACTTACTATCTCTTCTGCCCTTTGTGGCTAAATGCCTTGAGGAGGTCACCTCCAATAAGTGCCTCCACTTTCTCTCTCTTCTCTCTCTCTTCTTAACCCCCTATAATCAGGCTGCTGATCTCATTCCACAGAGAGCGCTCTCTCCAAAGTTACCAGTGATCTCTTAGTTGCCCAATCCAATGACCTTTTCCCAATCCTCATTCTTCTTGACCTCTCTGCAGCCTTGGACACTGTTGATCACCTTCTTCTCCTTCTTCTCTCCTGGTTTTCCTCCTGCCTATCAGACCGATCCTTCTCAACCTCCTTTGCTGGATCCTTATCCAGGTGACGCCCTCTAACTGGAGGTGGCCCTCAGGGCTCTGTCCTGGGCCCTCTTCTCTTCTCCCTCTACACTACTTCATTTGGTGGTCTCATCAGCTCCTGTGGATTTAATTATTGTCTCTATGCTGATGATTCTCAAATTTAACTACCCTGCCCTAACTTCTCTGCTGATTTCCAGACTCACGTCTCCAAATGCCTTTCCAACATCCTGAGCTGAATGTCCAGTATCCATATCCAAAATTGAATTCATTATCTTTCCCTTAAATCCCTCCCACCTCCCAACTTCCCTCTTACTGTCAAGGATAACATCTTCCCAGTCCCCCCAGGCTCCCAACTTGGGAGTCATCCTGGATTCCTCAGTATCTCTCACCCTCCATATCTAAGCTATTGCCAAGGCCTGTCAATTTCACCTCTTCAGAACCTCCTGTCAATTTTACCTCTACAACATCTCCTGTCAATTTCACTTCTGCTGCATCTCTCCAACAGGCCCCCTTATGTCCTCTGACACTGCTCTCAGTCTGGTGCAGACCCTCATCACCTCACATCTGGATTATTGTTATAGCTGCTGGAGGTTGGCCTGCCTCAAGTCTCTCCCTTCTCCAGAGTCCATCCTCCATTCAGTCACCAAAGTGATTTTCCTGAAGCAAAGTTCCAGACACATCACACCCTCCCCCCCAACTCAATAAACACCAGTGGCTACTGCCTCCAGGAGCAAATACAAAATGCTCCATTTGGTATTCAAAGTGCTTCATAACCTAGACTTTTTCTACCTTTCTAGTCTTCTTAGACCTTACTCCCCAAAATGTACTCTGACCCAGTGACGCCTCCTGGCTATTCCACAAAAAGTAGGGGCATTTTCTCTAGCTGTCCCCCATGCCTGGGACACCTGCCCTTCTCATCTTCACCTCCTTGCTTCCTTCAAGTCTCAACCAAAATCCCATCTTCTTCAGGAAGCTTTCTATAATCCCTCTTAATTCTAGTTTCCCAATCCCTCTCATTTATTTCCCATTTTATCCTGTATATAGCCTGTCTGCACATATTTGTTAACATGTCTCCCTCATTACAATGTGAGCTCCTTGAGGGCAGGGACTGCCTTTTGCCTCTTTTTGCATCCCCAGTGCTTAGCATAGGGCTTAGCACACAGTAGGCACTTAATAAATGCTTACTGACCGACTTACATTAGATCTGGCACTCTCGAGAGATGGGATGGACTAGTATAATGTCCTTAGGCCAGTCAAACTTACTCTGTTCCTTTATAACTTGGGTGACTCTCTAGGTGGTACAATGGATAAAGTCAGTCAGTCAACTCACATTTATTAAGCATCTACTGTGTGCCAGCCCCTGTGCTAAGCACTAAGATGAAGAATGGTACTTGGGAGCCTGGGAGGCATGGATTCAAATTCTGCTTCTGACACTTGCCAGCTGTGTGGCTTTGAGCAAATCATTTCACTTCTGGAAGACTCAATTTCCTCACTTTTCAAATCAGGGGGCCAGACTAAATGGACTCACAGGTCCCTTTCAGCTCTAAATAAACAATCCTATGGCCTGCATTGGTAGAGGGAATTTCCTCATTGGGAACTCCTTCTATCAATTGAATCCAAGGTTTGGTCTGAAAAATAAAAATTATACGCCATGTTGCTTGGTACCTATGGAGACCATTTATTTTTCAAAGAAGGTGAAAAGGAAGGAATGAGCATTTATAGAGCACCTACTATGTGCCCGTCACAGTGCTAAGCGCCTTACAATTATTATCTCATTTGATCCTCACAACAACCCTTAGAGATAGGTGCTGTAATTATCCCCATTTTACAGATGAGGAAACTGACTTGATCGGGGTCATACAACTAATAAGTGCCCGAGGCCAGATTTGAATTCAGATCTTCCTAAGCACTACCAAATTATAGGTAATTATCGGTGAATAAATTTAGAGCAGGAAAAGGATCATAGTAACCATCTACTCTAACCATCTCATTTTGCAAATGAGGAAACTGAAGCCCAAGGTCCTGCAGTTGGTAAGAGAATGGCATGGAGCACCCAGCACTTAGAACATGGCCTGGCTTATAGGGGGTACTTAATAAAATGCTTCTGGACATGATGGAGTCTAGAGGAAATTCCCTTTATTTGGTCCTCCCTCACTACACCAGGGTAAGGAAAGATAAGACCACCTTTTTATTTTGAGTTGGGGTGAGGGATTACAGGGGGTGGGGTTAAGAGAATTTGAGAAGGTTGCATCAAAAAGTCAGCCCCCCAAAGCCTAGGATGGTCACCCACCCTTCTCCCTCTCCCAAGAGCCCCCATCCACTCCCCCCTCCATCTAGGGCTGGAGATCATATTATCAAAGCTTACACCTGTAAAAGAACTCAGTGACCACTTAACCCAAACATTCTTAATCACTGCGGTGTTGTGGACACCCTCAGGCAATCTGGTGAAACCTATGACCCCTCCCCTCAGATGAGTGTTTTTTATAAAATGCATAAAACAGGATACAGCAGATCACAAAGGAAATCAATCATAATGAAATACAGTCATCCCACTTAAAAAAAAAAATTCCTGGAGCCTAGGTTAAGAATCTTTTTCTCTAGCCCAATTCACCAGCATTCCCTCTTCAGCAGTTAAGCTATCCTGTTTCTGTATCAGAGTTTCTGTATTGAAACTCATAGGGCCATAGTTAGGATTCAAAGCATCTGCAGATAGCACTAGGGACCTTAGAAGCTGCTCAGTCCAACCTGCTCCTTTTCCATCCAGGCTCCACTTGAAGACATTAAGTGATGCAGAACCCACCACCTCTCAAGGCACAACCCCCCCCCCCCATTCCTTTCCACCGTAGGACAGCTCTGGTTGTTGTTTTTTGTTTCTAGGCAATTCGGGTTAAGTGACTTGCCCAGGGTCACACAGCTAGTAAGTGTGTCAAGTATTTGGTCTGAGGCCGGATTTGAACTCAGGTCCTCCTGAATCCAGGGCCGGTGCTCTATCCACTGCGCCACCTAGCTGCCCCAGGAATAGCATTCTGGGAAGGTAAAGGGGGAGAGGTACATGGGAATTATATAGGTGCATTAAAAACAAAAGAAATCAATTTTTTAAATCTATATAGCTACATAGTTATATAATACATATAACATAGCTATATAATAGCTAGCAATTATAAAATGCTTTAAGGTTGCAAAGCACCTTACAAATATCACCCTGTTTGATCCTCACAACAAGGGAGAAAAGTGCTATTATTTCCCCCATTTTACAGATGAGGAAACTGAGGCAGAAACCGGTTAACTTTCCCAGGGTCACATAGCTAGAAAGTATCTGAGGTGGGATTTGAATTCAGGTATTTCTGACTCCAGGCCCAGCTCCTACCAACTGTGTCAACTAGCTATTAAAAAACAAAACAAAACAAATTTAACCTTTCAATGTTCTGGGCAATTTTCTAAGGTACTGACCTATGGCGATGGAGAGCATTTCTTCATCAGGCGCCCCCTATGCCGATGATCTGTCTGGAGGCAAAGATTAGGGTCGGCCACTCACCCTTATGGAGGACAGCATTAGCAGGCTTGTTCCCAGCCAGGGACTCCTTGGACAAGTGCTGGTGGCTCTCAGCAAGGCATTCCACTTCTGCCAGACGGGCATTCAAGGCCATGGCTGGATGGTTAGGGTCTTGGGTCATGTTGAGGTATGCAGCCCTCCTAAGTTGCTCCTCAATCACCAGCGCCTGCTCTAGCAGCTGCAATGGAATGGGGGTGGGGGTGGATGCAAGATCCCTCCTTGAGCTTCGCCCTTCACCTTCTCCCCAGTAACCCTCTAGCCTCCCTTATCTGCCCAGCAAAGCTGACCAGGCTGGCACAGCAGAGAGAGAAATCTAAGGCAGAGAACCATGTCTGTTCCATCCTCTTCTCCTCCCTGACCCAAGGCAAGATGTCACAAACAAGCCCATCTTTCAGCCTTCAAGGCTCAGCTCAACCCCCACCTTCTCCAGGAAGTCTTCCCTGATTGCTCCAGCCAACAGTGTACCTCTCCTTTCCTTGACCTACCATGGACTCTGTGGCTTGTACCTTTCACTGGGCACTTGGTATAGCCTAATACGGCTATCAGTGAACTCTGAGTGCATGGTGTCTAGGGAGGATGTCCCTGTGTGTCTGTATGTGTGTGTGCGTGTGTACTGTGTGTCTGTATTTGTGTGTGCTCTTGGAGGGGCAGCTAGGTGGCACAATAGATAAAGTGTCCCACCTGGAATGAGGAAGACTCATCTTCCTGAGTTCAAATCTGGCCTCAGATACTTCCTAGCTATACGCCTACGGCAAGCTACTTAATGCTCTTTGCCTCAGTTTCCTCATTTGTAAAATGAGCTGGAGAAGGAAATGACAAACTATTGCCAAGAAAATCCCAAATGGGTCACGAAGAGTCGGACACATCTGAAAAATGCCTGAACTGTGCGTCTGGGTCTGTACGTGTGTCTTTATGTCTGAGTTTCTGTCCATATCTGTGTGTGCATTTCTGTGTGTGTCCATATGTGGGTCTGTGTATGCTATTTCCCATTAGACTATATGCTTTCTAAGGGCAGGGGGTCTCTTATTCATCATTGTGTTTCAATATCAACAAACATTCATTCAGCTTCCACGATGGGGACACAGAAAAACAAAAAAGAGGCAGTCCTTGCCTTCCAAGTGCTTACAGTCTACCATGAGGATGAAGAGGGATGGCCTCCAAGACAGGAGTCCTGAGATTACTGTCTCTGACACAGCCTGGCTGAATCACTAATCTCTCAGTGCCCCAAGAAATTTTCTAAGACTATAAATTGCAGAGCAGGTATTGATCTGTATTGAGAGAGGGAATTTTCTCACTGAGAGATCTATGGAAAGGACAAGTCCGATTTTTAAAAAGTGTGTGTGTGTGTGTGTGTGTGTGTGTGTGTGTGTGTGTGTGTGAAGTAAATACAAAGTTACTTTGGTTGGAAGAGAGAATTAATGATGGAGGGAGGGAGTAGACGGGAAAGGGGAGAAGCTTGGGGGAGGGGAGTAAGGGAAGGCTTTTTGTAGGAGAAGGCACCTAAGCTAAGCCTTGCAGGAAGTTAAAAACTTGAAAAGGCAGAGATACAGAAAGAAAGCATCCCAAGCATGGAGGGCGGCGCTAGCCAAGGTACTGAAACAAGAACAAAGTAGATGGGAAACGGAAGAAGTTCGGAAGAGGGGAATAAGAGAAGGCTTCTTGTAGGAGGAGGCACCTAAGCTAAGCCTTGAAGGAAGTTTAAAAACTTGAAGGGGCAGAAAAGCATTCTAAGCATGTCAGACAGTGCTAGCCAAGGCACTGAAATAAGACCATAGCAAGGAAGAGCCTAGAGGCAGGGAAAGCAATTAGGAGGCTCCTGCAATTGATTGAGGGAGAAGGGATAAGAACCTGAACTCTGAGGGCAGCTGTGTGGGTGGAGAGAAGGCAATGGACCCAAGTGATTGGAAGGAGAGAGGTGCCAATATATACTTTCTGATCAATCAATCAAGCAAGCATTTATTGAGCATCTTCTACATGCTAAGCATATGCCAGGGATACAAATCTAAAGACTGAGACAGTCCCTGCCCTCAAGGAGCTTACATTCTAGCAATATAATTTATTCCTGTTCCCATTGCCACAGACTGAGTCTCCCCTTTTCCCTTATCTCCTCAACCATTTGTCCTGGTTCTGTTTTCTCTACAGCAGGAGGAAAATGTAATCAGAATGGAGGAAAATGTAACGAGAGGTTGGGGGGGGAGGGGGCTGATGGCTGACTAGATAACCCCCCAAAGCAGATGCCTCTGCAGTCTTTTTGCTCCCCAAAGCTTCCACTTCCACCCTAGCCCTCCAAATATTTGGAGAGAGTGAGCCATCACATCATCCCCATCCTCTCTTGTCGCTCTGGCGCCTTCCTGCTCCTCTTCAGCCCCTGCCTGACAACAGAGCGCCTCATAGCCTTCCCCTGGCCTCCTTCTTGCCAGTCCCCCTGCCAACACACGCAAATCCCCACCACCCATCCCCCAAGCTGGGTTTGCCTTTTCTCCAACCCTCAGATTTCCAGTTCTGGAACCCTAATCAAATCAAGAGCGCTATTGCTACTGAAAAAGGGCATGTGTCAATCTTCTCCTAAGGCTCCACTCTCTACCCCTGTAACTTTCCAAACCAAAACGCCTCTCTCCCTGGCCGCCATTTCCCAATATGTGCAATCTCCCCTTGATAGAATATAAGTTCCCTGAGGGCAGTTTCTGTCCCATTTTTTTTATTTATTTGTATCCCTGACACAACACAGTGCTTGGTACCTGGTAAGCACTTGAAAATGCTTTTTTTTTTCATTCATTTTCTAGTCCTTTCAACTGATTGTCCTGACATCATTTTCAGTCCCTTCACCTTGGTAGAGTAGAAAGAATGAGCTCTAGAGTATGGATAAGGGCAAAAATACTGAGCTGGAACTCAAGACACTTAGATTTTCATCCTACTCGGCCAGAATTTGGCTATGTGACCTTCAGGAAGTAAACAAACTTCTCTGGGCCTCAGCTTCCTATACCACCTCCCTCATCAATACTGGGGGACCAACCTTGAACCTTCGGGCCAGGAATTTGTTTTTCATCTCCAGGTAATTGCCCTTGTGAATCTCAGACTTGAAGGGCTCATTCAGGATCACGTAGCGTGGGTCATTCTGGATGTCCTGCCAGCGGGCATAGCCATGCCTGAGCACAGGAAACACGTTAAGGGGAAAACTGAACAGGGTAGGCAACTGGCCTTGAAGGAAACGGGCTGGGCACCTTGGTGAGAGATTGGTAGGTCCTCAGGGGCCGTTGACTCCAATCTGTTAATGATCAATCCCTTCTTCACACCTCTGACCATCCAGCTTTTACTTGAAGCCCTCCACCAAGCCAATTACCCTCCAAGGCCCCAGAGTTCTGAATTGGGAGTCAGAGGGCCTGGATTCAAATCCTCCACTCTTTGCTACCTGTATAGCCTTGGGCAAGTTACTTAAAATCTCCAAGACTCAGTTTCCTCCTCAGTAAAATGAGGGGTTGGGTCCAGATGCCCTCTGAAATCTGTTCCAGCTATAAATCTATGATCCTCTTTTGAACAGCTCTAATTATTAAGAAGTTCGATCTTAAGCGGATCCTAAATCTGCCTCTCCACACTTCCCCAAATTTCTCCTGGTCCTGACTCTGGGGCCAAGCAGTGAGTCTCATCTTTCTTCTGCTGCTATCAGTTTCCCTGAGTCTTCTCGCCTCCATGCTAACCATCCCCCATTCCTCCAGCTGATGTCCATTAAGACATGTCCGTCAATGTGGTTCCTCAAAGATTGCGCTTTCGTCCTTCTTTCCCCACCCCGGGCCATCTCCCTGGAGAGCCCCTGCCTCACAGGCACCAAGGATACGTCACAATACCCGCCAGAAGCCAGTAATCATGGCGCCGATGCCAAATATCATAGATCTTCCCCGAGGAGACAGCAGCTCGCTCCTCATTCTGCCACAGTGTGTGCAATTCTGAAGGACCAAGACACAGGAGAGAAAAGGGGAGGGGGGATGGAGAAAAGTGAGACAGCCATGAGGAGGGGGAAAACCCATAAGGCCAGCCCAAAATGTAGGCAGTGCAGGTAGCTGCCTACAGTTGTGTGATCTGAGGAACCTGGGAACCCCTCCACTGCCCTCACCCAAAAGCACCTACCCTTTGGGATAAACTGTCACCGTGCCTCATATTCCCACCACCAAAGTCATTACTAAGAGGTTAAAACATTGTGTCTAGGAGCCCCCTGTGACCATGTCCATAGGCTACCTCAAGGGTTGGAGAGGGGATTGGGGGGAAAGGGGTAGGTAAGTGGGGTAGCACACTTAGTCATTATTAGCCATTAACACTTTGCCATGGGTTAGTCCGCTCTGTGCCTCAGTTTCCTCATCTGTAAAATGGGGATAATAATACTTGCAGTGTGGTATAGTGGACAGAGGGCTAGCCTGGAAGTCAGGAGAACGCAGGATTCAAAAGTCCTGCCCCTGACACATACTGGCTGTGTGTCTTAGAGAAGTCACTCAACCTCTCTGTGTCCCAAGGCAGCTCTCTAAGACTAGCATTTAGAAAAGAGTTGACAATATTCTTTGGTGGAAGGAATCTCCACGTTGGGAGTTCCCTACACAAGATGAAAAAGAATAATAACAGCAATAGCTGGTATTTGCAAAATGCTTTGCAAAGCATTCTTTGATCCTCACAACAACCCTGTAAGAGACGCACTGTTATTATCTGCACTTTACAGATGAGGAAACTGAGGCAAACAGAGGTTAAGCAACTTGCCCAGGGTTGCCCAGCTAGTAAGTCTGTGAGGTAGGATTTGAACTCAGGTTTTCCCAACTCCAGGTCTGGCACCCTATCTCCTGCGCCACCTAGCTAGCTGCCCTACGACTTACAAAATGCTTATACTCCCTACTGGAAAGCCTACTGTGAGGAACTTGCCTTGAAAACCTTGAACTACTTTAGAAATGAATTATTATTATGATTCCTCAGCAGCTAGAATGATGCACTATGCACAGCAGGCACTTTTAAAATGTTTGCTAACTTTCCTTGAAATTTTAATTCATATAATTACCCCCAGCGGAGACTGAGAGCCTAAGGGTTGGGACCGAGGTACAGGACCAGGGCAGTTTTGATGAGAGGCCAGGAAAAGGAATTAAATTATGACCCTAGTTTCTATTATTCTCTCCCCCTAAAGGATCCCACTTTCTGTGCTCACAGGAGATGGGCTATTCCTGGAATAGGGCTCTGCATCGCAAGCCTGTGCTGAGGTTCTGAGGGCCCCCTACTCTGCCCTAACAGGGAACCCATTCCCCTTAGGACAGGGATAAATGCTCCCCCCTCCAACTCCAGCCCTCCGCCCCCAGGGCCCCTCCGTCCACACGGCCCCGCCCTGTTACCTGTGAAACCCCCATCAGCAATGTTAAACATGAATTTAAATTTCTCATTCTTGTCATCCTTCTTCCCTTCCTCATCTTCCTCTTTTTCGCCATTTTGCTGGGTTTCCACTGTTTCCTTCTCTTCTACCTTGGAGTCCTCTGACAGAGCAGAAAACCATATTGCAAATGAGAATCTGAAAAACCAACCCCTTCATTTCTGTCTCTGGTCAGGGGAAGAAAAGGTTAACAACACAACATGTCAAAGACACCTTATCTCTTGTCACCCGGACATGTGGTCTCCCTGCTTCCAATTACTCCCAAAATATCCTTCCCCGAGCACAGGTCTGCTGGTGTAACTCCTCTGGTTAAGATCCCTCAGTGGCTCCCTACTGCCTCTAGGGTAATATTCAAATTCCTCAGACTAACTTCCCGTTACTACCCTAAGCTTATACCAAACTGACAGCTTGAACTCATCATTCCACCTCCTATCTCTGTTGCCTTTGCATGAACTTCAACTACCTCCACAGCTAATTGGCAAATGCTCCAAAGGCTTTGTTTTCTTGTTTTATTGACTGCCTAGACTTAAGAAAGTGATCGCAATCGTGTGGATTAATTCAAAATGTATCACGGGTACATTTTTTTCTAGAGAGCTGGTTGTTAAACACTTTCCAGCATACAACTGGCTTCCTTCAAGCACCAGCTAAAATCCCACCTTCACAGAAAGCTTTTCACCATCCCTCTTAATTCTACTGCCTCCCTATTGATTCTCTATTAACTATTGATTATCTTTGATTTATGTCTGTAGCTTGGTTGTGCATCATTGTTGGCACATTGTCGCCTCCATTAGAAAGGACAATGCTTCTTGTCTTTCTTTGTATCCCAAGCACAAAGCCTGACACACAGCAGGTACTTCATAAATGCTTGTTGAATTGAAAGCACTGGGATGGGCCAAAGAGGCCAGGACCCAAGCTGGCTGTCCCCAGGATCTGAGGAATCAGCCGGCACCAAGTACCAGACCAAGTAAGATAATGGATGCAAAAGCTCTTTGGAGAGTGTGACCCTCTTTAGAGGGCTAAAAAGTGAAATGTGGATGCTACGGACTTAGGGCTTTGCAAAGCTCCCAGCCAGGTTCCCCTGACCTCAGCTCAGGTCTAGAGTTTAGAGTTCCAAAGTCACATTAAAAAAAAAAACACATTATTAAGAACCCAGCGTGGACAGAACCCTGTGCTTAGGGCTGTAAGAGCTATGCCAAGTTCAGTCCCTGCTCCCAGAGGGATGGAGACAGAGACTGCACCCGTGATTTCATTGATAGATGCGAGTCAACACCTTCTCTCCTGGTCTTCCTACTTCCAAAGCCAGCTCTCTATCCATTAGACCACATTGCCTTTCACACAACACACACGTAAACCATAGAAGACAGTTCTACATGATAAAAGCGTTGGAAAGGTGCAAAGCACTGGACGAAATCTGAGGGGTGGGTGAGGAGGGGAGGTGGTTACTGAATCAGGGAAGGCTCCCTGAGGGAGACAACATTTGACTTGGGCTTTAGGAGCAGCAATTCAACACGTGCGGAAATGGCACGAGCAAAGGCATGGAAGTGAGAAAATACTTCTAAACAGGTGACAGAAGAGACCAGTTTGGTTGGACTGTAGTCCAGTGCATGAAGAGTAGGAATAGGAAAAAAGGCTGGAAAGGTAGGCTGGTACTGGATTCAGATGAACCTGACTGCCAAGTAGAAGAATTTAAACTTTATTTTGGATGCAATAGGGAGCCCCAGAAGGTTTAAGAGCAGAGAAGTGACCTGAGTCTTGCTTGTATTATAAGCAAGTGGATGGACCACAGGATTTAGAATCAGGAAGACAAGTTCTAATCCTACCTCTGACATGTATTAGCTGTGTGACCCTGGGCAAATTACTTACCCTGCCTCAGTTTTCTCATCTGTAAAATGGGAGTAATTATAGCATCTGCCTCACTAGGTTGTTATGAGCATCATATGAGATTTGCGAGCCCTAAAAGTGCTATAGAAATGTTAGCTATTTTTTTTTAATTTCCAAGTGCTCCTCATCCCCCAAAACCAGAATCAACCTAAAAGGAAAGAGTGTTAATGAACCCCTGAAGAGGACAGAGACAGAATTTCAGGATGCCCCTGGTGCCCCATAGTTGCTTTTCCCAAGATACATGGTTCTCCCAAATCTTTGGTCATGCTTGCCCAGACCATGCTTAAACACCCACAGGGAATCATGAGAGGTCAAGGAGATCTGTAGAAACCCCAAGCATGCAAGTGTTTCTGGAGGTCTTTGCCCCAGCCTGCTCTCCTTCCCTCTCCTCATCCCGGGCCCCGTACCTGGCCGAAAATCTTTGTCATCCCCTCTGCCATGGTTCAGATTTAATTCCACCTTCTCCAGGGGCTTGTCTTTTTCAGGGAGAGCATCCTCTGGAAGGCATCAGAGAGGGAAATTGGAGTAACAAAAGGGGCAGAAGGGATGGTCTGTCCTAGGCAGAGCTTATCCTGGGGGGCTGCCAGGAGAAGGAGCCTCGAGGCCTAAGCTTGGCCACACAGGCCCACTTGGAAAACTGGAGAAACAGCCCCCCTTTACTCCCCGTGGTCACCACGAGGGGAGGGATGTGGGCGTGACAGCCCTGGGCAGGAGGGTGGATTGGATGGCCTCGGAGGCCCCTTTCAATTCTGAGGCTGCATGACTGCCCACTCTTGGGCATGGGGCCGACAAGGCCTGGGCTCACAGGCAGGCGGGCACCTTTCAGCAGCTGATGCGAGGACGGATCCATCTTCTCATTCTCTTCCCTCCTCTCCTCTCTAGCTTTCTCTTTGCTCTCCAGGTTTTCTGGCTTCTCCTCCCCCTCCCCTTTGTCAGAGGGCATCCCTGGAACCTGGATATTGGGAAAGAGTTCAGGTCAGACAATCCAGAGGTAACAGTAAGGGCCAGATACGGTACCCACCCTGACCTGTCCACTGTCCCCTGGATATCAGGTATCTGCTGGGATCTCAGACTAACACGGGAGCAGTGTGGCACAGTGGATAGAGAGCTGGGCTTGGCTTAAGGAAGATGTGGGCTCAGATCTTACCTTTGACACTTCCTAGCTGTGTGACCACGAACAAGTCACTTTAAAAAAATCTCTCACTCTCAGTTTCCCCATCTGTAAAACAGGGGTGAAAATAATACACATAGTACCTACCTCATTCTTATTATAGTATCAGAGATTTAGAGCTGGAAGGGACCTTAGAAGCCAGCCAACTCTCTCATTTTACAGATAGGGAAACTGAGGCAAAGAAAAGTGAAATGACTTGACTAGGGTCACACAACCAGTAAGTGTCTAAGGCAGGATTTAAACCTGGATCTTCCGGATACTCTATCCAAAGTGCCATGCTGTCTTTTCTTTGGTATCTTTTCAGTGAAGAGAGAAGCGAGATAAACTGTGTAACCATTTAAATGCCACATTCCCCACAAGCAATCTGCTTCCTCCAAGCCAGGAAATGCAAGAAGCCCAGATCCCTGCCTGGGAGTGATCTAAGACTCTTCCCAGATCCCCTCCCCTCATCAAAGCCTGAAGGTATTTAGTCCAAGGCATTCTGTTTACAGGTGAGGAAACTGAAGCCAGAGAGGTTAAATGAGTAGCCCCAAATCACATGTGGACCCTGAGAGGCATAGAAAAGGAGGACAAGGGAAAACGAGATTACCAGAGTCCTTCCTTCCCAAGGGAAGAGCAGCAGGGACCCTTGGAGTTGAAAAAAGCCACTTTTCCTACTGAGAGGACAGTTGCCAATGGACTCATTTCCCCAAGAGCCATTTCTCACCCCCCTAGACACAGGCCTGCCTCCACCACCCACAGCCCTCAGATCCTCAGGGTCCAGGACTCCAGAAGGTCCCTCTCCTACCTGGAGTTCAGGAGGTTTGGGAGGTTTCTGCTCCATTTGCTCTTTTTCATCCAGGAAGCCCAGCTGGGCTTCCATTTTGTCTGAAACAAGAATACATGAAAAATGAGCACAGTGTGATGGGCTTTCTCCCCAAATTCCCTGCCCCCAACACCCTGGTCCCAGCTCCACAGACTGGCAGGCCTCCCTCTTCTAGGCCTCCCTAGCCTCTGCTACTCCTGACAGACAGGGACAGAGCCTATCACTTTATGACAATCCCATGAGACAATGGGAAGACACCTAAGGACTGAGACAGAAGGAAGAAAGCAGGACCCAGAGAGAGCAATTTATACAATAACCACAAAAATATAAAAAAAATATAATAATATTAATATAATTAATTATATTTTATTATTATATAACATGCTATATTAATAGAATTAATTCTATGTTATAAATATAAAATAATATAATTAATATAAAATATAAACATAAAATATAAATTAAAAAGATCCTTCTTAAAAGGCAGCTAAACTCAGAGTAAATGCAGTGACCAGCACATACTTATTTTTTTTTCTTTTTAGTCAATTGAGGTTAAGTGACAGGGTCACATAGCTAGTAAGTGTCAAGTGTTTGGTCTGAAGCTGGATTTGAAATCAGGTCTTCCTGACTTCAGGACTGGTGCTTTATCCACTGCACCACCTAGCTGCCTCTGTACCACCTAGCTGCCCCTGTACCACCTAGCTGCCCCTCATACTTATAAATGTATCTCTTATTCTCCAGTAAGAATGGAGGATTATTTCTTTCTCTGTATTTGTATACCCCAACTAAACACATATTAAATGCTTCCTGAGGGACTGATAGGTCCCAAAGGGCAAATGATGATGAAACACACCTCCTTCCTCTTGGTCAAAATGTGGGGGACTAGTATACATGCTGTCAGACCTAATCAATTTTGTTTCACTATTTCTCCTTTATTACCACAGGGAGGGTTCTAATACCTGTAACATTAAAAAAAAAAAAACAGGTGCCAATTACATTTTTAAAAAATTTTCATGAATTACAGAATCGATCAACTTGGTATCAGATCAATTAGAGTGCCTACTGTGTGCCAGGAATATACATACCAAAAAATGAAATAACCCCTGCTAATCTCTGTGAGATTACATTCTAATGAACCGCAGACCTGGAGAGCTGGGAGGAACCTCTCCAATAATTTAGCGCAGCACAGGTAGAAAAGGAATCCCCACTATAACCTACCAGACAAACGGTGTGTCCTGCCTCTTACCTGAGGCCCTCCCTGGAGGAAGAAGTCACCAGACTTCCCGGGCCAGTCCATTCCACTTTGGAATGGCTGGGATTGCAAGAAGCCTTTCTTGATTTCAAAACTAAAGTGACCTCTTTGTAGCTTCCAGATACTGCTCTGGGCTGGGCCTGCTGATGTCAGTTCAAATAAATTTCATCCCTCCTCTCCATCATATTCCATCCCTTCACATCCATGAAAAGCTGTTCTCCTGTCCTCTTGGGTCTTTTCTTCCACAGGCTAAATCTCCCCAGTTCCTTCTACTTAACTTGCCTGCCATGTACACATCTCATCTTCCCTAATCACTTATTCATTCATTCCTTCAAAAAACATTTTGCTTATACTGTGAATAGAACACTAGACTGGTGGGGGAGGGGATGCAAAGCAAAAGTTTACATAGCAGTTTAAGGAGATGTGTGTATACCTATATATACACACACATGCATTTATGTATTGTGTATTTATATGCATATATTGTGTATGTATAGGAAAATGTGCACTATGTCTACGTGTGTGCATGTAATAAGCAATGTGTTGTTTTTGTGTGTGTTACACATGCATGTGCATGCAAGTATGCACACGTGTGCAGTTGTATATATGTACAACTGTGTACATACATGCATATACATGCGCACGTGTCCATGTTGTGGGAGGCTCAGATTCCCAGCACACAGTGTCAATAAGGCCATGCCATTGTTTGGAGTGAAAAGAAGGGTGAAGGAAAAGGGGCCTCCCTCTAAATTCACTATAAAAAGAGGGAGGTAGAATCCAAAAGCCATTTAGGGCTAGTGTGAGTAGAGACACTGCCCATCGCCAGGTGATCACAGACCTTCCTGGTGAAGCTTGCCATGATCCTCATTACATGACTAAAGTCAAGAAGATTAAAGTCACCTCCCAATTCAACATTGAGTTCCAAAACAGAAATCACTATATTTTCCCCAAAACTTCCCCCTCTAACAAACGTCCCCCATACTCAAGGTTACCGCCAGTCACCCTGGTTCCAACTCTCCCTCATGCCCCCATATCCAATGGGTTGCCAGGGACTTCTGCTTTCACCCTTCTAACATCTATCATATATGTCCCCTTCTATTGTAATCCTGCCTCCCTGGTGCAGACCCTCATCACTTCACACCTGGACTCTGGCAATGGTTGCTGGTGGGTCTGCCTGCCTCAGGCCTCCCCTTACTCTACTCTATCCTCCATTCGGCTATCATAGTGAACATTCTAATACATAATAAAATACCAATAATAACCCAGGCTGAAATAGCAGCCAGCGTGAGTGGGAAACAGCTATCTGGTGCTCCTAGCTGGGCAGGAAATGGGACCACTGGGAGGAAAGTGAGGGAATCTTGGCAGCAGCCCGCTGGGAATAAGCGCCCTGGACGCTGGACAGCTCCTTCCTGTCTTGGCTCAGTTCTGCTCTAAGAATCCCCAGGGGCGGACTCCGCTGTACTTGAAGGGGAGAGGGAGGGGAAAAAAACCTCCCCATTTATTTCACTCTCACCAGATTATCCCTGCAAACACAGGGACACTGCTGGGATGGCGCGCAGACCTCGCAGACCTCGCAGAGCCAACCCTCGAGAACTTTCTACAAAACCACCAGCTGTGCTTGAAGCCCCACTACAAACAAAAATTCACCTACTTGTCAGAAAGTCTTTGCATATGTAAATGTCTGCCCTGCAGCCAGGGAACTGAAAGCCTATTAGAGTCCTTTGTTCCAAGAGTGGACTATAGAGAGACAGGGAATTGGCAGAAGACTTTATACAGAGAGACAGAGTGAACAAAGACCTAACTCCTCTCTTTCCTCTTCTCTCTCCCTCCCCCCCTTTTCTCTCTCTCCTCTCCTCTCTCTTCTCTTCTCTCTCTCTCCCTCCCCCTCCTTCTCTCCCCCCATCTCTCTTTGCCTCTGTCTGTGTGTGTCTCTCTCTGGCTCTGGCTCTGTCTCTGTCTCACTCCCTCTCCCTCTCCCTCTCACTTTCACTCTTTCTCTTCCTCCCTCCCTCCCATCCTCTTTCTTCTCACACTTCTCTCTTTCTGTCTCTATCATTGTCTCTCTCTGTTTCTCTCTCCCTCCCATCATCTCTCTTCTCGTTCTTCTCTGTTTCCCTGCCTGTCTCTGTCTCTGTCTCTCTGCCTCTGTGTGTGTATCTCTCTCTGTGCCTCTCCCTCCTTTTTCTTCTTTCCCTCCCTCTTCTTTTTCCCTCCCCATCCTCTCTTTTTTCTCATCCTCTTTCTTTCTCTCTCTTCTCTCTCTCCCTCTCATCCTCTTTGTGTCTCTCCCCTCCTTTTTCTCTCTCCCCTCTCTCCCCCTCTCTCCCCCTTTCTCTCTCTCTCTCCCCCTTCTCTTCTCTTCTCTCTCTCCCCTTTCCCTTTCTCTCTCTCTCCCTCCTTCTCTCTCTCTCCTTTTCCCTCTCTCTCTCTTTCTCTTCTTCTCTCTCTCCCCCTTTCTCTCTCTCCCCCCTTCTCTTCTCTCTCCCTTTCCCTCTCTCTCTCTCCTTCTCTCTCTCTCCCCCTTTCCCTCTCTCTCTCTCTCTCCCCCTTCTCTTCTCTCTCCCTTTCCCTCTCTCTCTCCTCTCTCTCTCTCTCTCTCTCTCTCTCTCTCTCTCTCTCTCTCTCTCTCTCTCTCTCTCTCTCTCTCCCTCTCTCTCTCTCTCTGTCTCTCTCTCTCTCTCTGTCTCTCTCTCCCTCTCCCTCCCTTTCCCTCTCCCATCCACCTCAATCTCTCCTTCCCTCCCTCCCCCTCAGCACAATCTGAAGTCAGCCACTGGAACTATGAACACCTGTTCATAGACAGGTAAGGACCTCAATTTAAACGCAGGCCGGCCAGCAGAACCCTCTTGTCTGCAATGAGCTGCCTAATGGTCTCTTTAGGTTGCCACCCAGGGGCAGAGCTGAACAAAAAAGACCACTCTAATTAATGTCTTGGGACTAGGGAGGCCAGAAGATTCCCCTATAGGCTGCCCCCTCCAACACTCTCTACAGAGTTTCCTGCCTGCTGATAGAAATGCAATCTTCTCCCATTCAACAAAAGTTCTTTTTGCTAATGCATCATGGTTCTGCTGATGCCATAATTTGAACCCAGACTCTCACAGCCAGAAGGGGATAGGGTGCAAGAAGAGGGAAGGGTGCTAACTGCCTCCTGCAGCAGACCATTCCTTTTTGGGATGGCCTCCTTGGCAGGAAGTGTTTTTCCTTACATCAAGCTTGAATCTACCTCTTAGAACCTTCCGCACAAGAATCGTCCTTTCTGTCCTCTTGAGTCAAACACAACAGCTCGCCCCTCTTCTACAGGACAGTCCTTCAAAGCCTCAAAGGCAGCCATCACATCTTTTCCTAAGCCTTTTCTTCTCAAGGCTGAACATCCCCACTGACTTCAGCCAATCCTAAAATGGCATCATCACCATCCAGGTTCCCCTTCTCTAAGAAATTTCCACATACCTACCAATCCGATGTTCTTCCTAAAGTATGGCACCCACTCAGAAAGACTTGGGAACCCTGATCATTGCAGTGACTAAATGTGATTCTGGAGGAATCATGCTGGACACACTGCCTACCTCCAGATAGAGGGAATTTGGGCACACAGCTTTATGGGCACAGGGAATTGGTTTTGCTTGACTGTATGTATTTGGAACAGAGATTCTGTTTTTCTTGTTTTCTCAATAGTAGGAAGGGAGGGGGAGAAGGTAGATTTTCATTAATTAAAAAAAAGTTAAAATTAGAGGTCCTGAAGATGTCTTAAACTATCTATCATCTATCTGTCTTTATATAGATAGAAATACAAATAGAAGTATAGATAGATGTAAGCATAGACACAGACATACATAGACATAGACAGACACATGCATAGACACAGACACACACACACAGACATATATAGACACAGACACACACACAGACATAGACATAGACATATACAGACATAGACATAGACACAGACACAATCACAGACACAGACATAGACAAAGACATAGATACAGACACAGACACAGACACATGGTACCCAGAACCCAACACAAACTGCCCATGTAGTCTGACTGCCTTCCTCATCTTTGACATTATTCCTCTTTTGTCCCTAGACTATACAGTCCTGGGTCAAGGACAGGAAGTGAAATTTGAAAAGTGATGAATTCAAAGGAGAGTCCCCATCCCCCCCCCTTCCCTCCCAGGCCTCAAACTGGCCACTTCAAGATTTAACATACCTGGGAGCCCCAAAGGGCCAGGAGGAAGATGGGCTGGGCTGGCAGGGACTGGGGTATTGGGGTCCGAGGAGACAATCTCACTGGATTTCTTGCTCTCAGGAATCAGGTCAGGTGTGCTGTACTTCCCATTAACGTGTTCAAACTCCTGGACCTAGGGCCAAGGAGGTCACATTCACAACTGGTTTCCAAAGACCCTCTAAGACAAGACAAATCAGGACAGGACAGGACATTCTGGCACAGGTAACAGAGGATGGGGGGATCCTGTGTTTTCTTCTCTCCCCACAATGAGCAGTTCCAGGCCCTGACAATCAGAGGGCTAGCTTAGATAAGCTTATTCCCTATAATTCTGGGTCTCCCAGGCCCAGATAGGAACAGAAATCACCAAAATTAGTGGGGTCAAGATCTTTGTGGGGAAGCAGAGGGATGGTATGGAAAGAACCCCTGCTTTTCCTTCTCTGACCCACAATGCCATCCATAGGGTATTTGGAATCCAGAGGGTTGGGGGCAATAGCCAGCCTTCACAATAATAGTATCTAGATGGCCCAGTGGCTAGCAGGCTGAGACCTGAGTTCAAATCTGGCCTCAGCCCCTTCCTAGCTGTGTGACTCTGATCAAGTCATTTAACCTCTGTCTGCCTCAGTTTCCTCATCTGTAAAATGGGGAGAATAATAGCACCTCCCAAGGTTGTGGTGAGGATAAAATAAAATCACATATGTAAAGTGCTTTGCAAACCTTGAAGCACTATATATAAATGCTAACATAATGCTCTAATAACAATTGTTGTTATTATTAATGAAAACTCACATTTCTATAGTACCCTAAGGCATGGGAATGACTGTCTCCTCTGAATCTCTGGTGTCCCATCCTCCACTTTAGATTCATTTTGATCATCTTCTCTCTCCTGCCCACCACCATCAGGAGGCTGGGTGTCCCACCCCCAGGCCCCAGCCCTCTCCTCAGCAGAGCCAGGAACCAGGACAGACATCCCTGAAGGGCCCCGTGTAAAAGTCTACTCACCCACCTTCTTCCTAACTAGTGACATAACTCCAATCCGGGTGAGCACATGCTGTCGAGAGAGCCCCTCCCGAGGGACGCCATCCGCAAAGGTCTCTGCCCCGTCGGCCCCTGGCTCACACAAGTGTCTCATGAAGAGGGACACGTAGGCCCTGGGGACAACAGGGAGCCCATGGCAGCACAAGAATCAGCCAAGGGAGGGCAGCTGCTACATCTGGGATTTGCCCCAGTCATAGAAATGGGCAGGGCTCTCCCCCGGGGTGAATTTTTCAGCAAGGGGAATCATGGGACACAAAAAATCCAAAACACTGAGACTTAACCCACTCTGCCTCGGACCATTTTAGGGGAGAAAATGCTCTGTCTTAGGGAGGCAGACCCCAGGCTAGGAGCCAACCACCCCTAGCGTCAAGCACTCTCGCTGTCTTCAGTCAGTTACTTATGGGGGAAGACGTGGCCAGTCTCTCCAGGATATCAACCTTTTGTGTATTGTAATCAACACGCATCAATCAAGGGGCTCCTGTGTGTCAGGCTCTGTGCCAGGGGTCAGAGATACAAAATAAAACTGAAACCGTCCCTGCCCTCCGCGAGCTTACAGTTGAGCAGGGAAAAAGAAAGCCCAACCAAGACCACACTGTTCGTTACAAAGACAAGGTCTGGACACGGTTTGTAGACGAATGGCGTTTAAAGCTGGAAGGGGCTTTTGAGATCACGTGGTCCAGTCCCCTCTTTGGGGCCCAGATCAGGAAAGTGACGTGAGGAGTGGAGGTGGGATTTGAACCCAGGCTCTCTGACTCCAGGGCTGGTGATGCCATCCTGTCCAGAGCTGTAGAGCCTGGCTCGCTTGGCCAGGGTACCCCAGGTGGACAGCCAGAGCGGCAGTGTCCACAGCAAGTTGCTAAGGGTCCCTTTACCTAAATTCCTTCTCGCTTTTCCCTCGGAGGTCCCGGACTAGCCAGTGAGAGTTGAAGGCATCCTGGGGGGGCATGCCCCAGCGCATGATGGCGTTCAAGAAGGCTTTCCGCTGCCGGGCATTGAACCCTAAGACCTGGGTAGGGAGGGACAGATGACCACAGGAAGGGGAAACAGGAGAGTGGACATGCAAGGGGCAGGGGGAGGGCAGGAATGGGAGTTTCCCAAACTCCCCTCCTAAGACATTCAGTACCCTCACCTCAATGTTGCCTCCAACTCTTGCCAGCAGAGGGGGTAAGGGTTTGTCTCGGTCACTTTTTAGCTGCCTCCGGGATTGTCTCCTCCCACCTAAAGAACAGTCACCAGCCAGGGATATCTCATCAGGCAGGATCAAGCTTAAGAGAATTCTGAGCCTAGGGACCATTCTGGGCTAGACTCCCGAGCCCTGGTCTCCCAGCCTGGATGCTGGGCTGGCGCGCGCGCGCACACACACACACACACACACACACACACACACACACACAGAGGGCTGGGGGCTTCCACCTCAAAATCAAGGTAGGGGTCCCAGGGCTCAGGAGTCCCCGTCTCCCAGGACCCTCTGCCTCCAGGTGATGGCACTAACAGATCGATGAATGCGGAACCAAGTCTGGATGGAGCTGTCCAAGCCCCGGTCAATGCTCTCAGCCAGCCCCCGTTTCTCTGGGAGCCTCCTGGTTGCTGAGATCCTGGTGCCTGGCTGCCCAGCCTCGGAAACAGTGGAGCGGATTAGGGGGAGGAGCGCAGATCCGGGTCACCCTCCTTCCCGGGGAATCACCAACACCCCAACTCACTCTGACCTTCCGGCCTCTCTTCAAAATCCTCATCCTCATCCTCGGAGCCGATGGAGTACTCCGACTGATTGTCCGAAAGCTCATCCTGCCATTCTGTCGTACCCGGGGAGAAGGGAAACAAGAGGACAGGCAGTGACCCCGACCAGCCACGTCTGCCGCCCCCTCTCCAGGGACTGAGGCTTCCGGCTGGGCCGGGGCCAGACCAACAGGGATAAGGCATCCGTGGACACCAGGCGAGTAGCAGGCTGCAGAAAGCACCCTGGGCCTCCGCCTGTACAGAGCCCAGTGTGCAAATGACACCTCCTTCCCCCTAACAGAATGGAAGCTCCCCGAGGGTAGGGGCTGCTTCATTCTCAGCTTCCTATCCTCCTCTTGACTTCACACAGCGCCTGACATATAGTAAGTCCTCGTTGATTGATTGATAGGATGTCAGAGCTAGAAGAGACTTAAGTCCCACCCCTCCATTTGACAGATGAGTGGGTGACTTGGAATTCTCAATCTCAAGCTGGAAGGAACCCTAAGAACACACCTAGTCCAGTCGTACCCCCTCATTTTACAAATGAAGAAAAACTCAGGCTAGAGAAGTGACTTACCCAGTCACACACTGAGAGAGCCAGGATTGGAACCCACAGCCTCTGACTCTAAATCCAGTGCTCCTTCCTCTATGACTTGTCAAAAAACTCAAATTGGCAGCAAAAAGTAGGCCTAGAATTCTCTATCCACGGCTTTCTTCCCAATAATAATAATAATAATAATAATAATAACAACAATAGCTATCACTTATGTGGTGCCTACTCAGTGCCAGGCACCGCGCTAATTACTGTGCAATCATCTCTTTGATCCTCAGAACAATCCTGTGAGGTAGGTGTTGTTATTATCCCCATTTTACAGAAGAGGAAACTGAGGCAAGCAACTATGAATCGATTTGCCCAAGGTCACACGGCTAGGACATATGTGAGGCATGATTCAAATGCAGGTCTTCCTGACACCAGCACCAGTGCCCTATCCACTGCCTCAAGCCACCACAGTTCCAAGAAGTCTTGCCCCCAAGCTTGTTCAAGTCATAATCCCCTTGTTCTCTCCAAGAAGCACAGTCCAAGTAACCTCACTCCGTCAAGCCCCCCAGGGCATGAGAGCCCCAGCCGCTCTACTAAGCCTGAAGTGGTTATGACTGCCTGGAGGCTTTCTGTCCTGGCCATCAAAATTTTCTTCCTAATAATTCTATCTGTCCTAAACGAGAGGGGAGGTAGCTGGTGGCTCAGTGGGCCCGAAGACACAAAGCGTCATCTTCCTGAGTTCAAATCCAGCCTCAGACACTTACTAGCAGTGTGACCCTGGGCAAGTCATTTCACCCCATTTGCCTCAGTTTCCTCATTTGTAAAATGAGCTGGAGAAGGAAATGGCAAACCATTCCAGGATCTCTGCCAAGGAAACCCCAAATTGGGTCACGAAGGATCAGAAATGGCTAAAAATGACTGAACAGCAACAAAATGAGTGGGAAAGAACCTTGAGTTTAGAGTAAGAAGCCCTGGGCTCCAGTTTCAGCTCAGACACTTCCTATAACTTTGGACAAGTCACTGGCCTCTCTTGGCCTTAATTCCATCCTCTGACAAATGAGGGGGTTAGACTAGAAGGCCCCTTCCCTTCTCACCTCTTTGCTAGTCTGCGGCCCCTTCCTCAGGAGCCCCACCCTGACCCCTGACCCCTGACCCCAGGGCAGTTGTCATACCTTGGTCCTCCTGGGAAGCATCATTATAATTGACCTGTTTCCGGATTCTCTTGCCCTTGCCCAGGTTTCGGGCCAGGTCCTCCTGTTGCTGCTCATAGTGATGACGAAGGAGCTTCTCCCAGTAGTCGGGGTCCACGTTCTCCTCCTGCTTGATGATCTCCCTCTCTACCTCCTCCTGGGAACACAGCAGGGAACCGAGTATGGGTGGGCATGCAGAGCCGGCTGAAGCCTCCGGGCTGGGGTACCCAGCACCACTCCGGGTTTGAGGTGGTTGTGGCTGTATTTGGGAAGGACAGCCAGAAAGAGCCCCTCTCCTCCTTGGCCCTGACCTGAGCTCTCTTCTTCCCCTGTCCTGGCCCTATTCCTGACTTTCTGGACTTCAAAGTCCTGTCTCCTCTACCGCTGGCACAACCTAGAACCTCCCTCAACACCTAGGCCCTCCTCACCCTGGAATATCCCTCCACAAGGCCATATTCCATTGGTGAACTCCTCCCAGAACCGCCATTTTGTGAAGAGGCCCAGGGCAGCGTGGCCGGCATTCATGCTGTTCCTGACTTTCTGGACTTCAAAACCATGGCCTCAAGGCAAGTACCTTCCTCATTCACCTCCTTCCCCCACTTTCAGCTCCCTTTTGTGTGTTAGAATGTAAACTCATATTAGAATGTAAACACCTTGAGGGCAGGAACTGTCATTCTTTTGGCTTGTATGTGTATCCTCACTGCTAACCCAGTGCCTGGCACATAGTAAAGGCTTGATAAATCTTTCCTCCCTTCTTTCTTTCCTTCCTTCTTCCCTCCTTTCATCCCTCCCTTATGCCTTCTCTCTCTCCCTTCTTTCTTCCCTTCCTTTCTTTCTTCCTTCTTCCCTTCTCTCTCTTCTTTTCCTTCTCTCCTTTCCTTCTTCCCTCCCTCCCTTATTTTCTGTCTTTCCTTCCCTTCCCTTCCTTTCTTCTTTTCATCCCTTTTTCCCTCCTCCCACCCTTCCCTCCCTTTTTCTTTCCTTCCCCTCTCCTTCCCTCCTTTTTTCTTTCCTTCCTCCCTCCTTCCCTTCTTCCCTCCTTTTCTTCCTCCCTTCCCTTGCTTCTTCCCTTCCTTCATTCCTTCTTTCCTCCCTCCTCTCTCCCCTTCTTTCCCTCCTTTCCTTTCTCCTTCCCTTTTCCTTCTTTTCTTTCCCTCCCTTCCCTCCTCCCTTTCTCCCTCCTCCCTTCAATTCTTCCCTTCCTTTTTTGCTTCCTTCCTTCCTTCTTTCTTTCCTTCCTCTTCAACCCACTCAGGATCCCTCCTCCTCCAAGATCCTTTCCTGATTATTCCGTTTCTCTCCTATCTCCCTCATCCCTAAACTCACAGGATCACACGATCATAGCTCAAAAGCTGGAAGGAACCTCAGAAGCCTGCTCCAACGAACGCCTGAACATGAGCTCACTTGGTACAGTAGAAGGACTGCTAAACCTTCGTTCAAAAGGCCTGGTTTTGCCCCCTTTTTTAGGATCTCATAGGCTTAGAGTTAGAAGGGACTTCAGAGGCAGTTAGTCCAATCTTCTCATTTTACAGATAAGGAAACTGAGGCCCACAGAGGTGGGGGGAGTCACCCAAAGTCACCCAAGTAGTAAGTGGCAGAATCAGGATTCGAGCTCAGGCCCTTTGACTGTAGGGCATTTTCCAGGTCAAGAAGAGACCCGCTCCACTCATTCGGTAGACGAGGCATAGACCATCTAATACTCTGAAGAGCTTTTTTTTTTAATGATGGTTCTTTACCTTTCCAATGAGACTATTATAATAACAAATCATTTTATATATTGTTCACATATTGGTTTATATACTGTGTTCTCCCCACCCCATAATAGGTAGTACAAACAACATTACCCCTAACTTCCAGATGAAAAAAGTGAGGCTCAGAAGGTGAAAGGATTTGCCCTTGTTCATTCAGCCAGCCAGGATTAGGGCCAGGATTCAAACAGGTCTCTTGACTCCAGTACGAGGTATTACTCTTATCACTACACTCACCCCACTCTTGGAGGGCACGCTATCTCTTTGGGGTGCTTCTGGAGTACCTGCTACTGAGATGCCCTCAGCACTGTCTACTAAGAACCACTGAGATCCCAGATTTAGACCCGGAAGGGACCAGGGAGGTCACATCAGGCCCGCCTCCCTCCTTTCATAGGCGAGGTCCCCCAAGGTTGTAGCCAGGCTAGGAGGGAAGGAGACCCCATAAGGTAGAAAGGCATCTTCCATTACCACTCCGTCTTCTTCCCGGACCACGTACTGAGCCACCTTGAAGGAGCTTAGGTACTCATTCATGTTCTGCAGTTCTGTGTCATCCGTGGCATCCTGGTTCCTATCCAGCAGCTTGGATATGGCAGCATCATCATAATGAATCACACTGCTGTCCTCCACGTCCTTGTTGTCACCTGGCACATAGGAGAGGGGCAACCGGTGAGGAAGGGGCCAGGCTTTGGGGACCCCTACTGGAGCAGGGCAGGAGGCATCAGGAAACTCCAAAAGTTAAACAACCCATCAACCTCAGAGCCCACTGAGCCACTTATTGACCTACTCTGCCCATCCAATCCAATCCAATAAATGTAGGTGACAGGCACTGTGCTAAGCGCTAAGCTGCCACGAGAAAGGAAATAGGTGGGTATGGGCGTGTATGGGTGACAAATGTCTCTGGTGAAGCACGTCTCCGGCCTCTTGGCAGAGAGGTGAGGGCCTATGGGTACCTAGTCAGGCATACCTTTCCAGACATGTACCATGTGTTCATTAGTTTTCCTTGGTTGTACTCATTTATTACAAGGGATGGTTCTCCTTGCAGTAGGGGGAACTGAAATTATCCATCTTTTCCAAGAAGAAGGCGATGTCTCCTAGTGGGTGGCACACTGGACTTGGAGTCAGAAAGACCGGGGCCAAAAAACTACCTCTCATACTTAGCAGCTGTCAGAGAAAGCATCTAGGAAAACAGATTGAGAGCTGGAAGGGGCCTCAGAGGCCATGAGTCAAACCCCCTCATTTTACAGTTGAGTAAACTGAGGCACAAAGATCATAAGATCTCCAATTTAGATTGAGAGCCAGAAGGGACCTCTCATCCAATCCAACCCCTTCATTTTACAGATGAGGAAACCGAGGCACAGACCAGTAAAGTGACTTACTCAGGACCACACAACTAGCACGTGTCTGAAACAGGATTTGCACTTTGGGTCTTCCTGATTCCAAGTCCAGGGTACTAGCCACTACACCAAGTAACTTTTCTGAGCCCCAGTCTCTTCATCTGTAAAATGGGGACAGCAATGCCTATGCACCACCCGCCTCATGGGGTTAGTGTGAGGTTCAAATGAGATGATGTGTTTGAAGCTCTGTATGAATGTCTTGTTCTTGCTTTGCTCTTGATTATCAGACCCCGCCCTGCCTAGTAATGTCCTGGAGAACGGGCTGGGACAGCGGGACGGGACCTAAAGGCCGTAACATGGACGAAATGAAGTAGCTTGTACTGGTCCCCGGCAGAGTCCAGCGTGAGTCAGTCAGTCCAAAAGCTTGTGTTAAGCACTTACTGTGTGCTGAGCACTTGGATAAAAAAAAAGGGGACAAAGCCCTCAACCCACAGTCCCTGCCCAGGAGGAACTCCCATACTAATGAAGGAGAAACCACCTAAAGAACTAAGGCTATGTAATAGGACATATGCACCCCGATGGGAGAGGCCGAGCAGCTTGGGGCACTGGGAAAGGCCACTGTAAAAGATAGGATCTCAACTGAGCCTTGGAGGGAGTCAGGGAGACTACTAGGAGGGAAGGAGAGGCAAGGCGTTCCAGGCACGGGGAAGAGCCCACATCAATGGCACTCAGAGCGGAGGTGCCAATGGGAATTAAAGGGGTGTGTAAGGGACCGAAGAGAAAGTGACCAGGTGTTTCACTCAAGGAATCATTTGACTTTGAGGCAGGGGCTCCAGGCAAGGTCCACTTCAGAGTCCAGAAAAGGCACGGAGGGGCCTGGACAGCCGTTAAAGACAGGGGTTCTACCTACCTGGTGGGGTGCTGCCATGCTTTTTTTTCACCCCAGCTGCTAAGGTGCCACCACCTTTGGAGGCCTGGACATCGGGGGCGGGCGCCACGGGCTCGGGCACGTTGATCCGCTGACCCTGAGGCATCATGCCTAATGGGAAACAAAGCATCGGGCAGGCCAGCATCGGGCAAGGCCAGCTTGGGCAGGAGGTGCTACAGGCAGACTTTGGGGCGCGGTCATGGGAGCAGCTCTCAGATTTTGAGCTGGAAGCGCGTCTCAGGGATAGCATATCTTCCCTAACAGTTCCATGCGGGCAGGGCCTGTGTCTTAGTTATCCCATTTTACACATGAGGAAACTGAGGCCTGTGGGGGTTCACTGACTTGTCCAAGGTCCTACGTGTAGACATCAAAATCCCCAGAGAAGATGGATTTGAACTGATGTTCCTGGCTTCAAATCCACTTTTGCGTCCCCTTGGCAAGTCAGTAAACATCTCAGGGCCTCAGTTTCCTACTGATCAATCAGGGAGTATTTATTAAGGACCTAGCGTGCATCAGTAGAAAATGAGGGCGGACAGATGGTTTGTAAAGCCCCTTCCAGCTCTGAATTCTACGACCCTATGAATCCTACGGCTCAACCTAGGGAATCTCTCAATCGCTTGGAAACGATCCTTCCTTCCAGTGCAAGGCCACGTCCATCAAAACAAGTCAATTCCATTCAACAAATCCTTAAGCCAGCTGTTCAGCATGACACAGATCAGTGGTTCCCACTGAGAGCTTTGCAAACTCCTTCGGTGGTTCAAAACAACGGTCCGAAGGCCATTAAGAATTCCTTAATGGTGCCTTAAGCAGTAAATAATTGTGAATAATATTATGAGTAGCATATTAAATTACCCTGGTTGTTCACAATTATTTTTATTGTTGTGGTTGAAAGGGGTTCATGGAACAAAAACATCGGGAATCACTGATATAGACAAATCTGCCAACTGCTTAACTTACAGGATGTTTTACTTTGCAAATGGCATCTTTCTATTTAGTCTTTTCATCATGAAAATTGTCAATATGCTCTTTAGAATTAGGGAATGTCTTACCTTCCCTACAAGCTCTAGAAGGGCAAGGCCTTGTCTTAACTCAACTACACGTGAGCCCCCATCCTTACCAGTTTTGATTCATGGAGTTTTACATTATATAAGCATCAATAAAGGTCTGGAAAATGAAGGAATTTTTTTTCTGGCCCTGGTGACTGGGAGGCTGAGATGCCAGTGAGAAACCATTAGACTCAGAACAATTCATACAATGCAACAATATTATAAGGACAAACAACTTTGAAAGACTCAGGAACTCTGATCAACACAATGACCAGCCATGATTCCAGAAGACTCATGATGGAGGGTGCCACCCACCTCCGGACAGAGAGGCGGTGCACTCAAGAGTACAGACTGAGACACTTTTCTTTGGATGTGGACAGTTTTGCTTGACTACATATGTTTGTAATGGGTGTTTTGTTTTTCTTGCTCTTTAATAGGAGTAAGAGTGTGACAGGCAAAGGAGAGAATGTAAACCTGAAAATAAAATAAAATTGAGTTTAAAAAAAAGAAAATATTGGCTATTAGATATCTGCCAGATGTTAGATCTGGCAGAAAAAAAAAAGGGAAAGAGGGAGAATGGATGGCAGAGATACAGGGGTCAAAGGGCATTTCCTCATTGGAGGACACATAAATGCATTGTTGATAGAGCTAATGACCACATTGCCCCAACAGTTCTGGACAACAATTTAAACTTCTATTTTAAATTGAAGTCACTAAACCATACATACCCTTTGACCCCATGATACTACTAGAAGTCATTTTCTCCAAAGTAGTCAAAGACAGAGGGAAAGTTTCCAAAGATATAAAAATAGTTATACCAACATTTAATGGCAAAGGCCTGGAAGGAAAGCAGGTACCTACAAATTGTGATAGATAAATATAATGGAATATTATTGCATCACAAGAAATGATGTGTATGTGTAGGAAATCAGAGAAACTTGAGAAGATTAGGATGAATTATTGCGGAGCGAAGGAAGCAAAGCCAGAAGAACAAAATGACCACAATAATAGAAAGGAAAACAACATGGAACAATGTTAGCACTCCAATCAATACAGTGACCAACCATGACCCCACAAGACTGATAATGAAAAGATAACAGGATTGGAGCTGGAAGGGGCCTTCAAGCCCATCTGGTCCCAACTTTTCATTGTACAGATGGAAAAGAATGCCTCCTGCCTCCCAGCACAGAGGTGGTAGGCTGCAGGTGCAGAATGAGGCACACAATTTTCAGACATGGCCACTGTGTTGATTTCTTTCACTTGACCATACTTCTTTGTTACAAGGGAAGGTTCTATTGGGCATTGGGGATTCCTTGGGAAGTGAGAGCAATACTTTAAAAAAATGAGTAGTAATAAAACATTTTAAAAAGGAAAAAAGAGTGGTTAATTATATAAAACAATGCCTGGAATTGTACCATGAGCATAAAACTGCTCAACATAATCAGAAATTATTGAAATAAATTTTGAAGAGACACACAAAAATGGTACCATGTAGATATATAAAGTGGGGTGCCTATGGCCCACTGAAAATGGCCTTGGGGTCCATTGAAAAAGAGACCATTGGGAGGGGTGAGGGGAAGGGAGAGAATTTGGAATTCAAATTTTTTAAAACTGATTGTTAAAATTTTTTTTACATGTAATTGGGAAATAGTTAACAAAATTAATAATTTTTTTTTTAAAGAGAGACACTGAGGGACCACAAGACCTTAGATTTAGATCTGAAAGGGTTTTGGAGATTACTTTGTCTGACCCCCTTCAGCCCAATGAGCCACATCACTTAGAAAGCCTGGGAATTCCAGGCCATTTGGGATTCAGGGCAGCAGAGGCTTCTGACCCAGAGAGGCATGACTCCCGGAGTGCCTAGAAGCTCAGCACCGGAGGCTCTTACCTTCCACATCATCCTTAAAGAGCTCCTCTGTCCCAAACTTCAGGATGTCGTCCAGCTCCTGCTTGGTCATGGACCCGGACTTGGAGCCCAGGCCGGGCCGCACCACCAGGTGCGTCAGCATCATCTTGCGTTTGGCCACCTGGGTGATTCGCTCCTCCACGGAGGCCCTCGTCACAAAGCGGTAGATCATTACTTTCTTGTTCTGCCCAATGCGGTGGGCTCTGCTGAAGGCCTGTGGGTGGCATTCATTCACCATTCACACGTCACAGTAGGGCCAGAAGCACAGCTCGGGAAACAGCTAACGGGTAGGTAAGCGTGTGAGCACGTGGGCGTGTGCGTGGCACACTCATCCATGTGATGAGTGAAGCATGTTGGCAGAGAGGTGGTGGACTACAGGTGCAGAGTGAGGCATATCTTTCAGGCAAATACAATCTGTGAATCTGTTCTACTTAACTATCCATACTGGTTACAATGAAGGCATGGCTGGGGAAGGAGTCCCTGGGAAGGGACAGAGAGTTAAAAAAAAAAAGAGAGATCAATAAAACATGTGAAAATAAGACCACCAGGAGTGTATCCATGTGTGCCTACAATGCTGGGAGCAACAGTGTGGGTGGGAATAAGCATTTATGTAGCACCTACTACATGCTAGGCAGCATACTAAACGCTTTACAAGCATCTCATTGGATCCGTACAACCACCTTGGGATGTAGGTGCTCTTTATTATCCCCATTTTACAGATAAGGAAACTAAGGTACACAGAGGTTCCGTGACTTGCCCAGGGTCATATGGCTAAAATTTCTGAGGTCTGATTTGAACTCTGCTCTTCCTGACTTCAGGTCCAGAGCGCTGTGCACTTTGGCGCCCCCTAGCTGCCTCTGCACCACGGCAGCACAGTGCAGTGGACAGAGCATGGGACTTGGGTGTCAGCACACCGGGGTCTGAATCCTGCCTGAGGCACTAATACAATCGGTGCTTAATAAATGCTCGTTGGCTTGGCCTCCAAAACTTTCCATCCACAATCACATCTGCTCCTCAAAACAACCATATGCATCAGGTACTCAAGTTACCATCCTACAGGTGAGAAAACTGAGGCTCGCCAAGTTAATCGACTTGCTCGTGTGTGACGTGTGCGGCAGGTGTGGGCACGCCCCTGAGCGCATGTCGGATTGGGAATTCTCCTTGAGCGGGTTGGCGGGTGAGCTCACCTTTGTGACTTTGTTTAAACCTCTGAGCTTGACAAGACCACATGTCTGGTCTTTAACCTTGTTCCCATGAAAACCCAGCTCCTCTCCTCTCATGCTGCCTCATTCCCCCATCCCATCCTTCAGTAGCCTGGTGGTCTCCCATCTCTGCCTTGGCCATGATTCTCATGCCAATTCCCAACCTACTCTTTATTCTTGTCCCTTCCCTATACTAACTGTGCCCAGAATCTTCCCCACCATCTACTACCAACGGACAGGGAGACATTGGTGGCCACTAAATTAATTACCTGACCTTGGGGCAGGTCTCTGAACTGGACTTGGCTTCCCTACTCTGTAAAGTTGGGGGGAGAGGGAGGATGGAAGGAGAGACACGGGGGTGGGGGAGGTAGGGAGGAGGGAGAAGAGAGGGAGGGCACAGGGAGAGAGTTGCACTAAGGGACCTACCAGGTCCCTCCCACCTCTGACCATCTATGATTCTATGGACTGGGTCTAAGCACTTGCGCAACATTCTCTTAGGAAAGTGCCTTCCCTCAGAGTTTACCTCCATTTACATCAGATGCATCTGGAATATAGGCATTCATTGTTGCATGTTGCCTCTCTCATTACGCTGAGCTCCTTAAGAGCAGAGCTATTTTCATTCTTTTTTTTTTCTCTGTATCCCTGGGTAGCAGGGTTAGGTCTTAAACACAGGTTTTCTGCCTCTAAACTCTAATTCTGATTCTCCTACCTTAGACCATGGGTGCCTTTCCCCCATTGAAATCTAAGAAAACCCCTGGTCCAGGATTCTAAAGGGTCTCCCCTACTGCATGCTGTGAGGGTTTTGTCTTGTACCCCACCCCACTCCCACCCCTATCAGCTCTTTGAAGGCAGGAACTATCTCCTTTATGTCTTTGTATGGACACATAGTAGGTGTTTGATAAATGCTTGTTGACATGAATTAGACTCAGAAAAGAATGTATCACAGCTGGGGTCACAGATTTTAGAGCTGGAAGAGACTTTCATGGCCATCAAGTTCAACTCCCTTATTTTACAGATGAGGAAACTGAGGCACAGAAACTATAAGTGACTTGCTCAGGTGACTTGCTTGACTTGGAACTAAAGGGAACAAATCCTTGGTCTGACTCCCCAGCTCAGCACTCTTCTCTTTCTGATCCAGTACCCTACAAGGTCTCCCATCCTGCCCAGACTTCTTTCCTTCAGTGTCTCAACAGCTGAGCCTCTACCCCGAAAAACTAGTAGCCCCCTCTGTCCGTGACTTCAGAGCTGATGCTGCAATGACGCTTTGACCTGAGATCAGATGGGATCCCCCAACAGGTCTATCCCCAGGTCATCTGGGCAAGGATCTACCCAGAAAGGGAAGATCCTGCTAGCTTCCTTAATCTGACCACAGAAATCTTGGGATAGGGAGGCCAGAGTGATGAGGAAAGTGAGAGGTCAGCAAAGGGAAGCAATAGAAATCTAGGCAAAGAACCCTTTGTGGTTGGGAGGAGCTCCTAGAGGGGAAGGCTTTTCAAGGCTGAGTCCATATCTCCCCATAAGGTAGTATAAAGAATCTTGGGACCTCTACCAGGACTGTGAACTTACTCATTACCACTATACCCCAGGGTGGCTAGCCCAGAGAAAAGTCCTAGAAAATTGCAAGTCAACAGACCTGTATGTCATTGTGAGGATTCCAGTCCGAGTCGTAGATAATGACGGTGTCAGCAGTGGCCAAGTTGATGCCCAGGCCACCAGCCCGGGTGGAGAGGAGGAAACAGAACTGCTGGGCTCCAGGAGCTGGAAAAGGAAAAGTTTAGCCCCACATCAAGAGGTAAGAGAGGGGAAGAAGCTAAATGCTGAATGATAGAGACAGACTCCCCAAGGGAAAATGGCGACCTAGCTGGGACTCTGGGGCAGGGGCAGGAAGTCAGCCAACAATTCCCAGCAAGTTCCTTCCCTAGGGTCAAGTTAACCCTTCTGGATCATCAAATGGAATGGATTTATTTCTTTGGTCTAATTTTCTCGTTAATTTACCACAGCCCACTAGTACCTGCCAGGAAGAAAATAATTGAGAATTTAGCTAGAAGGTGAGGGAAAGGGAAGAGGAAGAGGAGAGAGGAGGGAGAAAAGAACGAGAGATCCTTCCCAGCCCAAGTCAACCAAGGCAATCTTTGCACATAGCAGTCCTCAGCTAGGAATAGAATCTTCATGGATTATCAAGGCACAAACATAGGGCCCTAATTAATGCATTCATTAATAGTTACTCCTTCTTTATAGTCATACAGCCCAATACAGATCTTTAAACTTTTCAATCTTTCCTTGGGTCTATGATCTCATGATCAAGCATTCCTTTTATGGGTTCAGATTGCAAACACATCCACATCTTCTCATTCCAAGCTCATTTTGGATACATCCTCCATAGGGGGAGCACCCCCAAACATGCTAGAGAACCTCCTCTCATTCTTTTAAAGACATTTCACCCTCTTTAGATTGTTTCCTTCCATTTGTGTTTTTGTAGGCAAAAGAGAGTTGGCAAATTAAGCTGTGTATGCCGACTAATCTCAGTACACCAGATATTGTCAGGGCCCTACAACCTCTGACTGCCAGAACCTCATAACCTTGACACGGGCAGGCCTGAGAGAATGGTTAAGGGCTCAGAAGATAATGTCAAGGGTATCAGTCACTCACCTCATGACACAGACTCATTAGCTAAGAGCTTGACCTTCAAGCCCAACGCAGAGCATAAGACCTCTCTCGGGAACATAGACAACACAAGGGAATACAAACTCAGGAACACGGGAAACCCAGCCAAAAACACCCCTGCAGCCATGATGCTATTCTGGCATGAAGAAATCCCCTTTTTCCTTCCTCTAAGATAAACAGCTTAGCCACAGCAGTATAAGGGACCAGCCTTTAAACCCTAGCTCAGCAGTCATTCTCCATGCTCTTTTGTTGGGTGGTTACAGGTGGTCCCACAGGATGGGAGAGAGGTTGGTACCCAGGGCAGGGCCATTATTGCCTGGAGAGCTTCGGCTGCCCACCACCCACCACCACAGCTCAGATGCCCTGACTTCCTAACCACAATAACAAGGATGAGGCGAGCTAATGTTAAGTCTTGGAAGGACAAATGAAAAGACATTTGTAATGTTACAATCACTAAAATGAGCACTACTGTAAACCCATAATTATTAGCCTTTCAAAGCCCAGCTAATGAGTAAACAAACAATCTCTCCATTTCTTCTTCAGATTTCATATTAGTTAAAGCTCCTGCCATATTTTGAACTGGAGCTGAAATACACACACGTGCTCACACACCCAACACACACACACACACACACACACACACATACACACATACACACACACACATGTATGTATGTATGTATGTGTGTACATATATATATATATATGCATGCACATTCACACTCACACACACATTTACATACATACACAGAGACACACACTAGAATACTTCAGAAAACTCCCCCTCCACACCTAAGGCAGAGAGTTGGGAACCTCCGTCCCTTCCAGCAAAGGAACCATTAAGTCTTGGGGTATATTCCCAGCACTCCCAATCTATACCATCATTGCCTAGGAGTCCATAAAATTTCCTTTTTGGGAAAGAAGAGGAGAAAGTCAAGGTAACATGGCTCAGTCTTGGGTTCTAGGCAGAAAGAAACCAAAGAGTACCATTGAATCTGTCGATGGCTTCTTGCCGAAGACCTCCCGTAATCCCACCATCAATCCGCTCATACTTGTAGCCCTCATACTCCAGAAAGTCCTCTAGCAGATCCAGCATTTTGGTCATCTGGAGGGAGAAGCAAGATGCCCAAGGATGACGGTGGGAAGACAACCATCCCAGTGACTACACTGGCCTGATTCACCAGAAGAGCAAAGATACAGCTGCTAACTGTTGTCAGGCCAACAAGCACATGTTAAGTGCCTACTGTGTGATAGGCACCCACTGGGGATACAAAGAAAGGCAAGAGACAGTCCCTGTTCTCAAGGAGCTCACAGTCTAAAGGGGAAGTGGACAAGCAAATAAATACGTACAAACAACACCCACATACAGGGTAAATTGGGGGTAAGCAGCAGAGAGGAAGCTAACTAGATTAAGGGGATCTTGAAGGCCTAGAAAATCTCCAATTTTACAGTTAAGGAAACTGAGGCAAACAGAGGTTAAGTGAGTTGTCGAGGGGTCACACTGCCAGGAAGTGTCTGAGGCTGTATTTGAACTCAGGTCTTCCTGACTCCAGGCTCAGGCCTCTATCCACTGTGCCACCAGCTGGTAGGAAAGGATCATACATTAGGTGTGAAAAAGATGTCACTTGGGACATGTCAATGGCACCAACCACATGCTGTAACTGGGAGAGTCTGGCCATGGACCCATAAAGGGTCAAGTGCACACAGCATCAGATGGGTCTCTCTTTATGACCCTAAAGGGCCAAAAACCATCAGCATCTCAGATCTGGGAGGAACCTCAGGGGTCATTGAGGCCAACCTGTCCCTGAGCAAGAATCCTCCTACAAAATCATCTACAAGCAGCTATGGAGCACTTCCTGAAGACCTGGGGAAGGGGGATGAGGAATGCTCTCAAGGCCCCCCATTGCACTGCTGAACATTGGGAAATGTCCCCTTTGCAAACTTCCACCCACTACTCCTGGATCTACCCTTGGAGCCAAGAAAAACAAATCCCTCTTCCACTAGGTAGCCCTTCAGATATTTAAAGAGAGCCCTCATCTCGTCCCCCTGCTCCCACCTTCCCACTACATTGTATGTTCTCCAGGTTGAACACAGGATTGCAGATTTAGAGGCTGAAAGGGACCTTCTCCCTAATTTTACAGAGGAGGAAACTGAGGCCCAGAAAGATAAGGGAGTATATGTATGTGTGTGGATCCCCTCTATTACAAGTGTGTATCTATGGCTATGTCTATATCTATATAAAAAACCACATACTTGTAATACAGGGGAGATATATATGTATGTATATATATGTATGTGTATAGATGTGTATAACTATACTTATAGGGAAGACTGATCAATGTATCATCTAGAAAATGAGGAAAGTGTCCTGTGATTGTTTTCTGTTAGCTTATTGTTTTAACTGGCTGCTGAGCAAGAATTTAGTACACATACAAACGACCAAGATCTCTCACTCTCTCTTTCTCTCTCTCCCTCCCCCCTCTCCTATCTCTCTCCTCTCTCCCTGTTTCTCTCTCCTTCTCTCTCCCTCTCCCTCTTTCTCTTCTCTTCTCTCTCCCTCTCTCTCTCCTCTCTCTCCCTCTCTTTCTCTCCCTCTCTCTCTCTCCCTCTCTGTCTCTCCCTCTCTCTCTCTCCCTCTCTCCTCTCTCCCTCCCTCCCTCCCTCTTTCTCCCTCTCTCTCTCTGTCTCTCTCTCTCTTCTCTCTCTGTCTCTCTGTCTCTCTCCCTGCCTCCCTCCCTCCCCCTCCCCCCACCCTTCATCTCCCCCTGGTGGCTTCAGAGATGAAGACCAAGAATTGCTGTGGGCATCTGGGTGGGGGAGGAGCCTCTGGTCCTCTCTCTTATCTGGTTGCCGTGTGCCCATTAACATGTGAAGCCATTGCTTTTCTGTCTCTGCCAGGCTTACTCTTCCCTGATCTTGGGTGGATGAGTGTCAGAGAGAATGGACCAGGTTAAAATCTTGTGAGTTTTGAAAGATCAGAGGAGCAGCCACAAGAGGTCCAGTGACCTCCACAGTGCAGTCTGCCAGCAGCCACAAAGGCCAAGTCTGGTGAGAAGCCAGCTCAGGCAAGTGACCTCCTTGACCCAGCCTGGCAGTAGAGACCCCAGGTGCTGCAAGCAAGGGAACAGGGACAGGGCACTGAGGCTGGAGTCAGGAGAACCCGAGTTCAAATCTGACCTCAGACACTTACTAGCTGGGTGACCCTGGGCAAGTCACTTAATCTCTGTTTGCCTCAGTTTCCTCCCCTAAAGCACTAAGCACACGTAGGCACAGCCACTGCCTTTGGGCCTGTACGAGGGCAGAAGAGGAGGCTCTGATCCTTCTAAACTCACAGTCCCCAGAACCAAAGCGTGCGAGGAAGAAACACTCACCTGGGAGAAGATCAAAACCCGGTGCCCTTCATCACGCAGCTTTTTCAGCATCTTCTGGAGGAGCATGAGCTTCCCAGAAGACTTGACCAAGGAGCTGCCATCATAGGAGCCATTGGGCAAGACTGGTGCCTCCTGTTCAAAAAGCAACAAGCATTTATTAAGCACCAACTAATGTTCTGAAAGCACAGTACTAGGAGCTGGGGATGCAAAGGCAAACATGAAACAGCCCCTGCCCTCAAGGAGCTTACATTCTAGCAGGGGAAACAAGTATACATAAAGGTATTTGAAAATATGGGAGGGGACTAGGGACAGGATCTATGATCTCATTGGTACAGGGAATTCCCAGGTGAGGAAATTCCTTCCACTAATGCAGGTTTGCCACCTTCTTAAGAGTCTGAGAGCTTATAGTGCTTGGAGAGCACTGAGGCTAAATGATTTGCCCAGTGTCACAACCACCAATTTGGGTCAGGAGTAGGACTTGCACTCGGGTCCTTCTGTCCAATACAAAACTTATACAAAGTAAATACAAAGTTATCTGGGGCAAGAGAGGTGCTAGCCCCTGGGAGAAAGGAGGAGAGGCTTCAGGAAAAGGTGGGTGAAAATAAGTTTTCTGAGAGGTAGAGGTGAGGAGGCATCCAGAGAGCCTATGCAGTGACATGGGGGCGGGAGGTGAGACGTCGTGTGTGGGGAGCAATAAGAGGCCAGTTTTTCTGGCCTATGGAGTGAGCGAAGGGGAAGAATGTACCCTAAGCCAGAATCACAGGGGCAGCTAGGTGGCGCAGCGGATAGAGCACGGCCCTGGAGTCGGGGGGACCTGAGTTCAAATCCAGCCTCAGATGCTAGTTGTGTGACCATGGGCAAGTCCCTTAACCCCTTGCCTAGCCAAAACAAAACAAAAACAAAAACAAAAACAGAGTCACAGAATTGGAGAGCTAGAAGAGACACCAGCAGCCACAGAGGAGTCCTTGATATAACAGATGCTACCTGTAGCCACACAGCCTCGGCTTGAAGACCTCCATGGGACCCACTGCCTCCCAAGCCAAGCCGTTCCTCTTTGGGACAGCTCCCTAATTGTTGTGAAGAGCCTTAAATGCCAAACAGAGGGACTGGTGCTTGATCCTAGAGGTAATAGGGAGCCATGGGAGTTCATTGAAGAAGCATGGTCAGTCCTCTGCTGTAGAAATATTGATTTGGCAGCAGTGAGGAGGATGGATTGGAGAGGGAGCTTAGAGAAGAAAGGGGCTGGAGGCCGGCTGAAGAGGAGGACTTTGGGGAGGGAAGAAGCTGGAGGAAGGCTGAGGAAGGGCTTTGCACTGAAGGCTTGCTTTCCTACAGACTAGCTCAATACATGACCCAAAAGCCAGAAAGGATATTGGGAATCTAGGAGTGACTATATTAGATTGTTCACCCTCTCAGGGAGCGGGGAGGGGTAGAATTTGGAACTCAAAATTGTTTCAACATGTAATTAGGGAAAAATAAAATACATATTTTTAAAAGGGAATTTAAGAGTGAAATAGATCATTTCCCAGCCAGTGGGCTATTCCCAGGCCAGGCAACACCTGGACTGGGAGTCGGGCTCTCATTCTGGCATTTCTCCTAGCCCCCCACCCTTCATGCCCAGGCCAGGGAGACAGAATCTACCCTGTGATGGCCAGAGATCCCGCTAGGGTAAAGGACTCCATGTTCAGCAGGCGCCATGCTGCCTGCTCACCTGGAGTGGCCAAGAGATCTATTTGCCTCCATTCAAGACAACATCCCCTTAGGGAGGGAGAGGCAGATGGATAAATGGGTTCTCAGTGGTCCTCCTGTGTGCCATGCTTTCTGTAGATTATAGCAAACTGGGAAACCCAAGATGGCTCCTAGGTCTCTCGCCACACTGCTGGTCTGCTGACCCCTCACCGCGAGTTGGTGGATTCAGGGAAGGCAAACTCGTTTCAGTATCAGCTTGGCCGGTAGCTGGCATTTGGAGAGTGTTTAACATACATTGAATCCTAGATGTTCCATGAGACAGCTCCTACTGGTCTTCTTAAGTCCATTTCAGAGAGGAGACAGAGAGGTCAAAGGCTTTAGAGCTGAAAGGGGGCCATGAGGTCATCTAATTCAACCTCTTCATTTTACAATTGAGGAAACTGAGGTCCAGAGAGGTGGGTTTTGGATCCTGGGGTTTCCTGACCCCAACTAGCAAAATAAAACAACTACACTCTGTCACCCAGCACATGATATCTGCTTGTCAGCTGGTTAATATCCCCACGGCACATGGTCATGACTTGGGGGAATTATCACCATTTGGGATTATGCTCCACAACTATCCTGTGGATACCCACGTGGATAATAGAGGGTTGACCGTATGACAGTCAATAATGCTGGAGCACCTACTGTGTGTCAGGCATTGGGCCAAGCACTAGGGATACAAAGAAAGGCAAAAGACAGTCCCTGCCCTCAAGGAGCTTACAATCTAATGGGGGAGGCAACAGGCAAACAAGCCATATCCAGGATGAATTGGAGATAATCAGTGGAAGGAAGGCACTAAAATGAAGGGGATCAGGAAACGCTTCCCGGAGAAGATGGGATTTTAGCTGGGGATGAGGAGGGAGAGCATTGCAGGCGTGAGGGACAGCCAGGTGCGCGGGCAGAGGGGCAAGGTTTTCCAGAGGCAGCAGAAAAGCTCTGGGCAGAAGGGGCCATCAGTAACTCTCACAGTACAGCAAGCAAGCATATGAAGAAAGGAACAGCTCAGAATTCTGACCCCCTGAACCTACCACGGCGGCCACTGGAAAGAGATAAGGGTGGTTGCAGCATTTCTTCAAGTCCATCATGATGTTAAGTAGCGACACCTGGTTTCCCCCGCCTTTGGAGTTCAAGGCTTCAAAATTTCTGGTCAGAATGAACTTGTAGTATTTCCTGTAGCGGAAGACAGAATGACAGCCACTGACACGGCGCACTAAGGCGCTCCATAGGCACTTGAGCTCGTGATTTCATTGGTACCTCAGATCAAGGTAGTAGGATGTAAGCTGCTTGAGGGCAGGATATCACACTTATATTTGCATACTCAGTACCTGGCGTGCGCGTGTGTTTGTGTGTGTGTGTGTGTGTGTGTGTGTGTGTACCCCATTGGTAGAATTCTCTCTACCAAAGCAGGTTGGCACCTTCTCTCTGCAACTTTTTCCAACCCAACAAACATTTATGAAGTGCCCACTATGTGTATGGCACTGTGCCTAAGCACAGAGGATACAATTAATAAAAAGAAAGACAGCCCTTGTCCTCAACAAACTTACAAACTAAACTCCACTAGTCCACACCACTTGTCACCAGGCACATAATAAAAATCTCCATTTTACAGATGAGCAAACTGAGTCTCAGAATGCTTCAGAGACTCTCCTATGGCCATAAAATTCACAATGCAAGAGGTAAGATTTGATCCTAGGTCTTTAAGATGGTAGGTCCAGTAATCCCTGCCATGACTTCCTTCTTCTGGAGGGCCAGGAAAGACTGGTCCTCAGAGTTCTTTATTCCCAATGTAACTGCTCTACAATTCTTTTTTTTTTGGGGGGGAGGGGTGGCAATCAGGGTTAAGTGACTTGCCCAGGGTCACACGGCTAGTAAACGTTTGAGGCTGGATTTAAACTGAGATCCTCCTGACTCCAGGCCCAGTGATCTATCCACTGTGCCACCTAGCTGTAGAGCAGAACTGTAGAGCAGAAGAAAGCAGAGGCCCAAGGAGGTTGCAGACCTAGAACTTTCCTGGATTTGGGAGTAGAGGAGGGTAATGCAGATTCTCAGGCTGGGCACTGCCCATCAAACTCCAGCATGGGGCAATGGGTTCAAATCCCAGTGATGCCATTTACTAGCTGTATCACCTTGGATTACTCATTTACTAATTAGTAAATCTCCATGAGTCAATCTCTAAGATGATCCTTAAACCCAGAGGGAAGGCTATAAGGTATGTGCTTGGGGAAACTCCTTCCAACCCCCTACACAGAGAACCCCCCTAGACCGGTGCTAGCAAAGCTGAGGAGAATACAGTAATAATCATATTTATATAGCGCCAGGGCACCATATAAGCGTTTTATCTCATCTGACCCTCACAACAATCCTGGGAGGTGGATGCTATTAATTATCCCCATTTCACATCTGAGGAAACTGAGTCTCCCAGGATTTCACAGCTAGTAAATGTCTAGGCCAGATTTGAACTCAGTTCTTCCTGACTCCAGGCCCAATGCTCTATGTACTCACTGACCCACCAGCTGCCCCTACAGGACAGGGTCCTGAAGCCAGTTCATTAAGACCAGAGAGAGGGAATTCTAAGCTGGGCCTCAGGGACCATCTAACCCTGTTCCCTCATGTAACAAATGAATAAATTGTGGTCAAGAAAGGGAGGGAGACTTGATGGGGCCAGGTCTGAATATATAGGTCCTCCAGCTGCAAACCTAGTGCTGACAGTCATAATTATGTATTCATTAAGCACCTACTGTGTGCTTATTGATTAAGAATCTACTGTGTGCTACATGCTAGAAATACAAAGAAAGGCAGAAGTCACTCCCTGCTATGGAGGAGCCCCATAGTACCACACTGCTTTTCTCAAGGGAGGGGGCGGCAGGAAGGGCTGGGAGCCAGGGGAGAAAACTCACTTCTGCATCTGGCTCAGCTCCACCCTCACGATCAGCTCCGTCTTGGCTGGCATGTTCTTAAACACATCAGCCTTCAGTCTCCGTAGCATGTGGGGCCCCAGCAGGTCATGCAGCTTCTTGATCTGATCTTCCTTGGAGATGTCCGCAAACTCCTCCAAGAAGCCCTCCAGATTGCTGGGGAGAGACATGGAAATAAGAACTTCCTGAGGAGACTAACAAAGATAATTATTGACTGCTTAAGGTGGGCCAGGCTCTGGGCTAAGAGTGAGAGACTCAAAGAACTAAGGTCCCTGCCCATCGAATGAGGGAAACAATAAGGCATCTACGGTGTAAATGGGTGGGTGGGGGTGATTTCAGAGGGAAGGCACTAGCAGTGATGAGGACTGAGAAAGGCTTCCTGTAGAAGGTAGGATTGAAGCTGAGTCTTAGAAAAAAACTACAGAATCCAGGATGTGAAGAAGGCAAGGCAAATCAACCAAAAGGAAACTGAGTCAGCTTAAATTTAGTATTTAAAATACCAAAATAACTCCCCATTCTCTCTACTAACATCATCCCATAGCCCAAGCCCTACTGCCTGTCTATGGTCCAAGGATCAGACCAGCTAAACTCAGAGATCTGCTCATCACCAGAATGGCCACAAAATCAAATCCAGCCTCAGAAACTTGAAACTTGCTAGCTGTGAGACAAGTCATTTAACCCCTACTGTCTCACCCCACAAAAACTGGGGGGCAGCTAGGTGGCACAGTGGATAGAGGACCAGCCTTGAAGTCAGGAGGATGTGAGTTCAAATTCAGAATGGCCACAAAAATTTCTAAAGACCACGGAGGTCATGGCTAAGCTACAATCTACACAGGAAACTGAATACTAACTCTGATAAAATAACATTTGGAGTGCTTTAAGGTTAACAAAGGGTTTTCCCTACAGTTGTGCTGTCCAGTAGATATAATAAGTATTGCTACATCTCAGTTTAATAGGGATGAGGAAAACTGAGATTCTGATGGGTTGAATGATGAGTCCAAGGTCATAGAGCTAGTGAAGGTCAGAGCCAGGATTCAAATACACATCTCTCTGACTCCAAGTCAAGTGGGCTTATCCCACTAAACCATGCTGGTTTCCTAAAGCAACTACTCTGATCATCACTGCACCACTATAGTGGGTAGAGCATTGGGGTTGGGGTCAGGAAGAAAGACCTCCCTTAGACACTTACTAGCTAGGACAAGTAGTTTAACCTCTTGGACCTCAGTTTCCTCATGAGTAAAGGAGGTTTCTGTGACCTCTAAGACATCAGCAAGCAGTGCTACCTCCATCACTACTCACCGTAATCATTACCACCAACCCCATCCCACAATGTCATCCCCATCACCATGGTTTATCAGCATCTCTCACCACCCCCACCATAGCACTCATCACCATCATGGTGACGACCTGGTTCCACCCCATGGCTGTGTCCTCTGTTAGACCTCACTAACTCTCACCCCTCACCCCTAATCTGTTTCAGAGGCCTATTGATTTCACCTTCTTCACCTTCTCTGACACTGCTACCCTCATCACCTCACACCTGGACCACTGTAATAACAGCCTGCTGGTGGGTCTGCCTGGTTCAAGTCTCTCCCCGCTCCAATCCATTCTCCGTTCAAAGTGATTTTCCTAAAGTGTAGGTCATTGCATCCATACTCAATAAACTCTGGTGGCTTCCTACAACCCCCAGGATCAAATATAAAATCCTCTATTTGGCATTTCAAGTCCTTCATACCTGTAGTACCCCCTTCACAGGATTATTGAAAGGCTCGAATGAGATGATATATGTGAAGTATATATAAAAATGTGTGTGTGTGTGTGTGTGTGTGTGTGTGTGTGTGTGTGTGTGTGTGTAAAGCAAACCTTAAAGGATCCTATAAATGGAAGCTATTGGAGTAGAGATGGGATAACTAATCTGGGGAGGGGGGGAAGTTGTGGATGAAATTCCTGACTCAGGTCAGAGTTGAGTTTGGCATCCTTGGAAACCCTGTGCAATCTGGGGATTCTGGGCAAAAAGGGGGACTCACTTGAACCGTTCTGGAGTCAGGAAATTTAGAAGATGAAATAGCTCTTCCAGGTTGTTCTGGAGGGGTGTCCCTGTGAGCAGCAGCTTGTAGTCAATCCTGTAGCTATTCAACACCCTAAAGAACTAGGGAGAAGAAAAGGAAGATTGTTCAGGTCCTGGCCCCTCCACTGTGTGTCTGCCTACTAAAGGAGCAGTGAGTGTAGCTACCATGTCTCATGTGGGGTCCAGAATGAGTCAGGGTACTGACAGCAGCCTGCCGCTAGGTCCTCCCTACCCCACCTCCCCGGATAAGAGGCTTACCTTGGACTGGTTATTTTTCAGCCTGTGAGCCTCATCTACCACAAGACAGGCCCATTCGATGGACCCCAGGATGGCCTGGTCAATGGTAATGAGTTCGTAGGACGTGAGCAAGACGTGGAACTTGATTTGTGCTTCTTTCTGCATGGAAATGAGGGAAGAGTTTGGATGATGAAGGCTGAGAGAGGTTGTCCCTACAGCCACTGGTGAGGAGAGAATCATTATGAAGAAGGGGTCCACCTTCTTCAACTGCTGACCAGCTGTCACCAACAGGTAGACAACCACAAAAGCAGCACCCCCTAGACTATCAGTCCTGCTTCTAACCAAGCCCTCACCACCATCATTTAAGGAGGCAGCTCCTAAACCAACTGCCACCCATAGGTCAAACCACCCCACCACCCTGAGACCCTGATGGTGACAACCCTGAACCCAAGAGCTTTGGGAATAGCAACGCTTCCATCCCACCACCCACAGCCATCAGCCTGGACCTGTTCTCTCAGCCTACAGCCACATCTATTGAAGATGACCCAGAAAGAAGCTTCTGGTCACCAAAGGGATCAACCATTGGGAAATAAACGTTAAAGAAAAGGTATTCCCCCGGGACCTTTCCATATGTTTTGTCTCCCCCACTAGAATGAGAGCAGGGACTGTGTTCCTTTTCTGTGTGTGTCCCCAAAACTTGGCCCAATGCTTTTACACAGAGTAAGTACTTAATAAATAAAGAAATGCTTTATTCACTTAGTCAGTCCTCAAGAAATGAGTACTCCTACATGAAGCTTGAAAAAAGATATATTTAGTTATGGGAAACTCACTATTTCTCCAGCAGGCCTATACCTCTAAAATATTTTTGTTATAAGAGAATTAATTTAAAAAACCAAGAGTACAATTACCCAAGCCAAATAGCCTTTTTTTAACCCAAAAAAGTTAACAAAAGCATTCTAGCCACCCACCCACTGCCATTTTTAGCACTGTTTTCCCATACAGACAGCCATTACACTCAGCTTTTCTCACTCTGCATCACCTTATACAGGTTCATCCAAATGATAAATATCATTTTTTTCTCCATTGCATTAATAGGCCACAATATATTCAGTCATTCTCTAGTTGTGTGAATATAGGTGTCCTTCAATTTGTTTTTCCTCTTATTCATGGAGCAGCTATGAATATTTTTGCTCAGATAGGTTCTTACTTTTTTCCTTTTTATGATGTTTTTTGCAGTCCATTCCATTTTTGAACCATTCTCCCACATGGGAGAGCAGGGAGAGAAAGAAGACCGTGGAAATGGAAAAGCCAGGAATGATCAGCGTGGCTCCATATCATTCCTACAGTGAGTTGGGGTTATTAAAATGTAAACAGCTTTCTAAAGATCATTTAGATGAAATCACAGAGAACAGATCCATGAGTATTATAAGAAGCTAAAATAGTTTGGGGCATGTATGTGTCACAAACCTTCAGAGGAATTCTCAATCTGTCCTTTAGTTATCCCATCCAAGATATAACCTTGGTGGAAATGTGTTGTACATGATTGCACATATATAACCTATAGCAAATTGCTTACCATTAAAATTTTGGAACTCAAAAATTTTTAAATGAATGTTAAATGTAATTGGAAAAATAAAATACTATTAAAAGAAGATATAATCTTGGGCTGGACCATGCTATTGACCCAGTAGTAAGGCATTTTTCTTAATAAAAGCAAAGAAAGGTAAAGAATTGATGCACCCTTTAAAGAGGGAGCTAGGTGGCCACAGGAATAGAGTTCAAATCTGGATTCTGAAACTTCCTGGCTGTGTGATGCTGAGCAAGTCATTCAACCTCTATTTGCCTTAGTTTTCCTCAGTTGTAAAATGGATACAACAATAGCACCTACTTGCCAGGGTTGTTGTGAGGGTAAGATGAGGTAATGTTTGTAAAGAGCTTTGTAAACCTTAAAGTGCTATAGAAATGATAGCTATTATTATTAAGATAAATTATAACTAGAATGTAAATTTAAAAAACTACTAAAAGGCTGCTTCTGAAGTCTGGTTAATTATGTTACTCAATTTGAATACTGGAAAAAATAGGAGAGAGCATGAACTCCCCTACTTGGTCTCAGTGGAGAGGTGGGGACAGTGAGTGTGGAACACACTATACACAGTTTTGTAGGTTGGCTTTGCCAGGTCATATTAATTTTAAAAAAATTAAAACTACCTATAAATCACAAATTATTTACCATTTAATATATATCTTTTAATTTTTTTAATCTTATTTGGGTGTGACTATGGAAAGGATTTCTCCAAAACTCTCTCTACTTATGCAGATTGCCAGCCATGTATGATTTAGTAGCTAATTCCCAAAGAATTATCAGAAGCAGCATTTGAACTCAGAACTTCTTGATTCCAAGCCCCACTTTCTATCCACTCCACTAAAATGCCAGGGTTCTTAATAACCTGCAAACTATGGACACCAAAAGGAAGCCACAGAAAGATTTCAGGGAGTCTGTGAACTTGGATAGGATAAAAATTACATCTTTATTCTCACTAACCTTTGGTTTCCTTTGTAATCCCATGAGTTTTATTTTGTGCATTTAAAAGCATGATTCTGAGAAGTGACTCTAATCTGCTGGTGATTATAATGAAGGGGTGGGGTGGAAAGGACCCGCAGGAAATCCCAGTGGAGCTAGATGTCCAGTGAGGTCTCTGGGTTACCAATGGAAAAGAAAGATGCCATGGGGGAATGACGAGGGCTTGAGAAACTCCACATATCACAGAGAAGACGTGAGTTGGATTCCCTTTAGCTTCACATTCAATCCTCCCACCTTCCCAGCCCAAGAAAACCCAAAGCAAACCTCAAGAGCTCTTACTTTCATGCGGAAAACCTTCTTCCCACTCCGGATGGCATTGTCCTCGAAGGAAAACTCATTCTCCCGGATTACTGATCGGCTTTCCTTGTCCCCAGTGTAAGTGACCACATAAAAGTCAGGTGCCCACATCTCAAATTCCCTCTCCCAATTGATGATGGTGGACAGGGGGGCACTGACCAGGTATGGCCCCTTAGAGTGACCCTGGGGAGGGAGACAGGGCCCAGGTAAGTTTGCCACAATGCCAGTGGCCTTCAGTAAAATCATCGATATCAGTCTATCAGCAAACATTTATTAAGTCCCAAGCACTGGGGCAATAGTTGCCCATTGGCCAAGCACTACAAAGAATGAAGGGACTTAGAAAGAATCTCGTCATGAATTCATAGACTCAGAAGGAAGAGACGTTAGAGGCCTCTAATCCAACCTTTTCATTCTTAACATCAGGAAACTTGAGAAATGACTTGTCCAAGGTTACAACTGGGAGAGAGCTAAAATCTGAACCCAGGCCCTCTGACTCCAATTACACACTGGAGGAAATGAAGGACTTACCTCCTTATAGAGGGAATATAGGTACACGATGGTCTGGACAGTCTTCCCCAGCCCCATCTCATCGGCCAAGATGGTGTCTGTGCCCTGGGCCCAGGAGAACCTCAGCCAGTTCAATCCCTCCAGCTGATAAGGGTGGAGTGTCCCTCCTGTGGCATCGATGTACCATGGCTGCTTGTCGAACTTGACAGTGGGCTGTGTGGGGAGAAGTAGCCAAGGCCTCTTTGTCTATATATTCTCTATCAATCAACAAACATTTATTAAACGGTACTGTGCTGAGAACAGAGGACACAAAAAGTAAATAAATAAAAGGCCAAATAGTCCCTGCCCTCAAGAACCTTACGCTCTAAGCCCCCTTCCTATTACAGCTGTAGGAAGCCCTATATAGTTTGTCTTCCCACTCTACCTCTGAGGGTCCCCAGTGCAAGAGCTCAGACTCAAAGTGACATCTCCACTCTTCCCAGCTTGAGCTGAAGCTTGATATCCATCCCAACATGAGACAACATATGTAGAGTCCTTGCAAACCTCAAAGCTTGCTGTCACCTGTTACTATGATTATCCCTCCCCTGGGCCAAGGGGCTGATTATTAAATACGTGAGCCAAAGTGGCCTGATACCAATGGACCTGTGGATTGGCCCAGCCATTTTGGAAATCAATTTGGAATTATTCTAGAGAAGTCACTCAACTTTCCCTCTTCTTAAGTCATAAACTCCAAAAAAGATCAGACAAAGAGAAAGGCCCCACAGATACAAACAGAGAGAAAACAAAGGAGCTGGTAGGAAAGTGGAGACTTACTGATTGGGGAATATGGATGAATCAACCATGGAATATAAAAATAATGGATTCATTCATATTCCTCAGTGCAGAGAAGGAAGATGGATATTTATTTCTTGTTCAGTCATTTTTCAGAGGTGTCCAACTCTTTGTGACCACATTTGGGATTTTCTTGGCAAAGATAGTGGACTGGTTTGTCATTTCCTTCTCTGGGTCATTTTATAGATAAAGCAACTGAGGCAAACAGGGTAAAGTGACTTGCCCAGGGTCACACAGCTAGTGAGTATCTGAGGACAGATTTGAACTCAGGAAGATGAGTCTTCCTCCAGGCCCAGCACTCTACCCACTACACTACTTATGTAAAGGATAAAGAAAACAACTGAAGGATATAAGAACTCTGATTGATTCAGTAAGCATGTTCAAGCCTTCTGAGCATGACAGTGAAATGAGTCATCCTCCTCTCCACAGAGAGGTGGTAGACTATGGGTGCAACATGGGGCATCCATCATCAGACATTAATCAGAGCCAATAGTGCTTGTCTGCTTTGCTTAACGATATCTCTTTGCAAATGGAAAGTTTCAGTTTCCTCATCTGTAAAATGGGAATAATCACATCTGCCCTCCACAATTGTTATGAGGATCAAATGAGATAATAATTGTAAAGCACTTAGCATGTGCCTGGCACTTAGTAGGTGTTATCTAAATGTTACCTATTATTCTATTACAAATGATATATTAAATATATTAATATTTATATATTTTAAAAAATATTATATTAATATGATATATTTTTTAAAAGACAGTTTGTTCCCAGAAGGCAAACAAGCTGGGATTAAAATGCTTTGACATCCTAAGTAAGGAGACACTTCAGAAGCTACGCATGACCTCTCCACAAGTAATAAGAAAGCTGTGTAAGGCTTCAAAGCTATATTATCTCACCTGGTCCTCACAGCATCTTTCAAGGGAAGCATGATTATTAATACCTCCATTTTACAGAAGGGGAAAACTGAGGCACAGATAAATGAAGTGACTCTCTCAGTGTCATAGAGCTAATAAGTCTCAGGAAGGTGATTTGAAGGCACTGTGCTAAGGTCTGGGGACACAAAGAAAACCAAAAGTCAGTCCCTTGCCCTCAAGGAGCTTACATTCTAATTTAAAAGCCCTAGGGAAATTTTAAGTTGAAAACAAAGTTTAAAACTTTATAGAATAGGGGCATCTAGGTGGAGCAGTGGATAGATCGCCAGCCCTGGAATCAGGAGGACCTGAGTTCAAATCCCATCTCAGACCAGACACTTGACACTAGCTCTGTGACCCTGGGCAAGTCACTTAACCCCAATTGCCTCGCCAGAAAAACAAAACAAAACAAAAAAACTTTAGAGAATAGATGGAAAGTAATCTGATAGAGGGAAGCAGGAAATTCTAAAGAATTCTAAGAGGCAGATGGGAGGAGAGATGACATTCCAGGTATGGGTGACAGCCAATGCAAAGGCACAGAGATGAGAAGAGAAACTGCAAGGGGGCTGGTGTGGCTGGATGGTGGGGTCCCTGGAGTGGGGGAAGGGCCAGAATATACAGAGCTTTACATGCCACACAGGGGACTTTACATTTGATCCCAGAGGGTCCTGGAGCCAAGTTCAGCCCATCCATTATTATCCGGCTTTTACAGAAGATGAAACTGAGGCTCAGAAGACCAAATGACTTGCCCATGCTAGCAGGCATCAGAGGCAGAATTTGAACCCAGGTCTTCCCATCCCCTGCCACCTCCTCATCCCCGCTACTCCCCTTTTGCCCAAAACTCACATCCACTAAGGGAGTCTCTGGGGGCTTTTCCAGTTTGTCATCTTTCAGCTTTTTTCCCTTCTTGTTCAGTCTCTTGGGTGGTCTGGAATCTTCTCCTAACATCAGCTCTCTACAAAAGAGCATGGATAATGAGAAGCAAGCAGGAGAGAGGCAGGGGCGGGGAGGGGGGGGTGTTTACACTCACAGGGATGAGAATCCAAGCAGCACGGGTGGCCAGAGGGGCCCCCACCTGTCCCAGAGCCTCCGCCCCCAGCCCAGGCCTCCGGAGGTACCTGTGGTTCCAATAACCTTGCTTCAGGTTTTCATAGTAGGGTATATCAATGTCATCAATCTCCCAGGTACACTGGTCGTAGGGGAGATCCTTCCATTTGATCAGGTAATGCACGTCCCCTTTCTTGTCAAAGCTGCAACAGAACCAAACAGCATGGATGCTTGCTTCCGGCCCGAGTGGGTGTGTACACGGGAGCAGAAGCAAGAGCCCAACACTGAGATTTCACACGAGCACCGGGCTTTCCTGTTTATAACACACCTTCAGATTCTGATTTTCTCAATAGCCCAAGGGATACAGGAGCAAATTTAATTAAGCAAATGTACACTACTACAACCTGAGGAGGCCACGCAGATAGAATGCTGGATTCAAATCCTGCCTCTGGCATTACTAGCTGTATGACCCTGGGCAAGTCACTTGACCTCTGTGCCACATTTGTAAAATATGGAGATTGGAGTCAATGGCCTCTAAGATCCCTTCCATTTCTAAATCTGTGATCTGACCACCCTGTGCTTCAAAGTCCTTAAACCTTTTGAGACTTCAGTTTTCCTCATCTGTCAAATGAAGGATTTGGATTTGTGGGCCTAAATGTCTGAAGTATTAATGTAACATCTTCTGTAAAAATGAGGAGATTACATCAAATGATCTCTAAGGTCCCTTCCAATGACCCAGTGAATGAATGAATGTCAGCAGTTAGGTAGCAAGATGGATAAAGTGCTGAGTGCAAATCCTTAGACACTCACTTAAACCGTGTGACCCAGCTCAAGACCATTAACCTCTCTTCATCTGTAAAGTAGAATAATAAAGGCACAGACCTCAGACCATATGAGATAACATGGGAAGTGATTAGTAAACCTTAATACCATCCTCATTATCATTAATGTTAGGGACATCCATTTGAGGTTTTCTTGGCAAAGATACTGGAGTGGTTTGCCATTTCCTATTCCAACTCATTTACACATGAAGAAACTGAGGGAAACAGGATGAAGTGACTTGCCCAGGGTCACAAAGCTAACACGTATCTGAGGCCAGATTTGAACTCGAGTCTTCCTGACTCCAGGCCCGGCGCTCTATTACACCACTTAACTGCCTTCTCTTTACCGTTCTCCAGTCTTCTTCATCTATATCTGGCCACTGGACCCAGAGGGCTCTGGAGGAGACAATGAGGCTGGTGTCTTTGCACAGGCCTGCCTCACTTCAATCCAATTCACTTGCAAGTCATAGCATCACCTTCTTGATGTCATGGTCCTCTTTGAGAATGAAGAACGAACAACAACCCCATACTTGGCATCTCTCTCCTCCCTCCATGCCTTTGCCTAGGATGTTCAAGGCTCAGCTGAAATGCCACATCCTTCACGGGGCCTTTCCCAACCCACACCCCTAAATGTTAGGGTGCCCACTCCCCAATTCTGACTTTGGCTTTTTGTTTATCTTGTACACATGTTATTTGGGCATGGGTTGTTCCTTCCCCCCCCTAGGAAAGTATAAGTGCCTTGAGGGCAGGGCCTGCTTCAGTTTTGTTTTTCATATTCCCTAGAACAGTGCCTGGCACACAGTAGGCACTGCATTGATCGATTGGTTGATTGGCTGAATCAAACACTAGGCAATGTCTCTTTGTAACAGAGTAACACTGAGGGCCTCTAGTATGTGCCCAAAATGCACGTGACACAGGCCTGCAAGATTCATGGAAAGAAATTAATGGTTTTCACAGAAAAGCAGAGACAGATGAAAATGGTTTATATAAGTAATGGCTGCACCAAGCCCTGAAATCAATAAGGGTAAGACTGATTGCCTTGTGACCAGGGAAAATTATGGATTTTTCAATAAATAATTAGTAGTTATCAGGACTTTGGGGTAATACATTTTGGGAAAATTCACCTGTCCAGCTTTGGGATGAGGGGGGCGAGAATTAAAATCTGTGCTTTTAATATGCAATTTAATAGAGGTGAAAATCATGGGTCTTGGTTTCCATAGGTCTTGGTCTTCCTCTCTGCTTGGCTGTTCTCCCAAAGAGAAGACCTGAAACCCTTCAGTATAGGGGCACTTAAGTTAGGCAAAGAAAGAACTTTCAGGGGAGCAGAGCCCTAATTAGCAATTCTGGTACCAATATTTTAAGACAAATTCAGGTAAGTAAGGAAAGCTAAGGGGAGAGACCTCAAGATATGGACCCCATGAACATAAGGCCCTATGGATATAGGTATATATAATATAGATATGTAGATATAGACATAACCCTAGGATGGGTTATAGCTGATAGATATCTTGAAAATATTTTTGATTCACTCAGCATTTATTAAGAACTGACTATGTGCCAAGCTTAGTAGGTTCTTAATAAAACAGGTGCTAAGCACAATTGTTTCTTCTACCTGTTAAACACGCCAACAGCACCCTATAAATTTTAATACCCTGGGGAGGAGCCCCAGTTGCCCACCCTAGTTATAGCTTTGAAGGACATGAAGCCAGGTACTGGAAGAAATGCAAATTTTAGGTGAGGGCAGGTAATGTGTATGGGCCAGGAGAGTCTAATGAAGTGAGGGAGTTTAGTTAAACCCTGCTTCAATGTTTCTTCCTAAAATGAATTCATCCAAATGTTTCACAGTGCTGTTCCTTGGCTGTCACATGTGTGAAACCCTCTTAGATGTCATTCAAGATGGCTCAATTTATGTTTAATTTTTTCTTATTATTGACCCATGTTTTAGAGAGGGTCTAACATGGCTACATGTTTGTTCATAAAAGTGAAAATCATAACAGAAGTTACCAGTCACTAAATACGTAAATTAAAATCCAACTGAACTCTAAACAGTTACTTTGCTGTTGCACGTGTGCCTCTCTTCACCCATGTTTCTCTAGATCCTTTCCATGACCTTTTTAATAAATCAATTTTATTTGGGAAAATTTCATTCACCTACTTCCTCGCCTTGTTAATGCAACGTCCCGGCTACAGGTCAGATGCTGAAGCAAGCACGCACAAAGCCCCCCGCCCTCTGCATCCTGCTCACCTGTGGTTCAGGATTCGGTGAATCATCATCCACTCCGGCTTGATCCCGTAGCGATAAAACCTCTCCTCCATCTTGGCATAGTGCGGGTCCTTACTCTTCCTCTTCTCGCTCTTGCCATCCTCGTCTCCAGAGCCATAGTCAAAGGGCGGCGGCTCGTCCATGTCGTTCTTCCTTTGGTAGTTTCGATACATGACCGTGTGATACAGCTCCAGCTGGTCCCCGGGGCAGAGGAGGCAAGGTCATGAGGGCCCCCGAAGTTGGACAGAGACATCCCCTGCCCGGCTCAGAGAGCAACGCCCCTCCCCTGGCTCAGAAGAGATACCTCCTCCGCATGCTTAGCCAAAGACACAGTGGCCAAGGGAGAGGTCAAGGGCACCCAGATCTCCCTCCTTGAGCTCCCTCCCCATGGATCTCCCCCTTTTCTAAGACCGTATTGGGAGGTGTAGAACGCTCCTTGCAACTGGGAATTGTCTCACTGTCTGTATTTGTGAATGACGGTCTGTCTGTCCAGTACAGTGCCTGGCACGTAGTAGGCACTTAGCAAATGCTGGTTGATGGATGACAGACAGGACGCATTCCTAGACAGTGGTATCATGTCACATATCCCTTTCTCTTTACTCCCTCTCCCTCCTTCTCACCTGCAGCTCTTTCACCCAGGAACAATGCCAATAGGACAGTCCAGCCCACTTCACAAAGAACTCCCGCTCAGGAATGCCTTCCAGAGGTTTGGGCGGAGGGATGCCTGGGTCAGCATCAGGCGGGGGCAGCACAGTGATGAAGGGGGCAGGCGGCTCTGTCCATTTCCAGTGCAGGATCCGCTGGACTTTCCCTTTCAAGGGGGGGCACTGAGGACAGAGAAGGAAAGGGGGAACCCCAGCTAGTTAGCACCCACGCCTTGAACATCCCTCCTCAGATCCCAGATAGGATCATCTTCATTGGACTTGCCCTGAAAAAGTCCTAAAACACCTGACAGGTGGAAGGAAAGAAGAGAGGGAGGGAGGGAGAGAAGAAGGAAGGGAGGGAGGAAGGAAGGAAGGGAGGAAGGGAGGAAGGAAGGAAGGGAGGAAGGGAGGGAGGGAGGGAGGGAGGGAGGAAGGAAGGAAGGAAGGAGGGAGGGAGGAACGAAGGTAAAAAGGAAGGAAAGAAGGAAGGAAGGAAGGAAGGAAGGAAGGAAGGAAGGAAGGAAGGAAGGAGGGAGGGAGGGAGGAAGGAAGGAAGGAAGGAAGGAAGGAAGGAAGGAAGGAAGGAAGGAAGGAAGGAAGGAAGGAAGGAAGGAAGGAAGGAAGGAAGGAAGCGAGAAAGAAAGACAGGAAGGAAGGACAGAAGGAAGGAAGACTCATCTATTCTCCTTTTCTGTTATAATCATTAAAAACCTGGACCAGGCACCTAGCAGGTAATCACAAAATGTTTGTCAACTTCATGCCCCAGATATGTATACAGAACTCTTAATGCTTCAGTTGGGAACAGCATGGGGCAGGACAGGAGAACACTGGACTTAGAGTCAGAGGACCTGGGTTAGAATCCTGCCTCTGATGCTTACTAGCTGTATGACCCTGGGCAGGTCATTTGACCTGTAGGTCTGTTTTCCTATCTATAAAATGGGAATGACAATACTACCTACCTCATAGGGTTATACTAAGAATGGAATGAGAATGATATAAGTAAAAACCTTTCCTGTTATTATTATTTTTGCTGTTGCTATTACTTTAAGGCACTTGCACACTTTCATCTCATGTTATAGCTCGAATGGTATTTTAATGTTTTCTAAGCACTTTATAATCACTATCTCACTTGATTCTCACAACAACACTGGGAGGTAGAAGCTATTATTATCCCCATTTTAAAGATAAGAAAACTGAGTCAAATAGAAGTTAAGTGACTTGCCCAGGGTCACACAGCTAATCAGTATCTGAGGCTAGATTTGAACCCAGAAAGATGAGTCTTCTCGACTCCAGGCTCAGCACTCTACCCAATGCATCATCTCGCCACCCTTTATCATCCTCATTTTACCACCTCCACACCTGAACAAAGCTTTGCAAAGACAATAGGATCACAGGTTTAACCTTCAAAAGTAGTGTTGTCCAACTGCCCTCCCATTTTCCAGATGAGAAGACTGGGGCCTAATGAGGTAAAAGGACTTGCCCAAGGTCACACAGAGGTAGTATCAGTAGCTGAGTTATGACTCTAAGCCAAAGACTCTTTCTGACAGACAAGGAAACTGAGGCCCAGACAGTTGAAATGACTTCCTTAAGATTACAAAGCTGGTTAGTGGCAGACCTGGGAGAAGAGCCCAGGTACCCTGGCATCCGACCTAAGGGTCTTTCCTCCACCCCACACTTCTCCCTATTCAGGAAGACGGTCCCATCCTAGAAGCCTCTGGGGGTGCAGGGAACCAGCAGGGTCACACACAGCAGGGCCCCTTCCTCACCTGCGCATAGCAGGGGCTAAGTCTACAATGTTCCTCCTTCCTGTGTGGGAGAGTGGTATCCACTGTATGCCAAGGGTTACCTGGAATAATACACATCTCCAGCAGCTAGGTGGTGCAGTAGATAGCGTGCTGGCCTCGGAGTCAGGAGGACCTGAGTTCAAATCCAATCTCAGATACATAATACTCAAGAGACGTGTGACCCTGGGCAAGTCACTTAACCCTGATTGGCTCACCAAAAAAAAAAAAATTACACATCTCTAGTGAACTTCAAGGTTTACAAAGTACTTTACACAGACATTGCTTCATCTGGCTCTCTCAACAACCTCATGATGTAAGTGCTGTTATTATTATCCCCCATTTTACAGATGAGGAAACTGAGGCAAACAGCTAGTAAGGACTTGTCCAGGGTAACACAGATACTAAGTGTTTGAGATGGAATTCAAACCCAGGTCTTCCTGATTACAAGCCTTTCACACTCCATGCTGCCACTCCAAAGAGTAAGTGCCTGAGATGGAATTCGAACTCAGGCCTGACTCCAAGCCCAGTATTCTAGACACCAGGCCATACAGCTGATCACTTTAGATTGAGTCCTCATATCTATGTGGTCAAAATGAGTTGACTGGGAGAAAGCAAGGAAAATGAAGACACACCACATGGGGTGCCAGGGTCCCAGGAGGATGGGCCTCACCGTGGCGGAGGATTTGATGCCTGGCCCTATCGGGAAGCGAAGACACATGAACAGGACCTCAGAAGTCACTGAAACCACCCCCTTCCCTTTACAGAGGAGGAGACCAGAAGTTACATGACTCGTCCAAGGCCACATAGCAAGTGAGTGTGTCTGAGGCAGGATTTGAACCCAGGAAGGGCTCAAAGAGGAAGGAAATAATATACAAGCCAAGCCCAAGTCTTCTATTCATCTTTAGAAACCAGAAAAGGCATAAGAGGATATCAGCAAGAATGAGAAAAATCTTCTGATATCATTTTGTACACACACGCTTACACACACACACACACACACACACACACACACACACACACACACACACACATATGCTAGAGGACATATACACAGGAGGGTAGGCAGGGTCCCTGAGGTCCAGGGAGGAGAGCAGCCTTGGGAAGAGCCCTGATTTATAAACCACCCTCCAAACCCCCCCCCCCCAGGCAGAAGCAGCCCCTAGAATCCGGCAGATGGCCAAGAAAATAATGCATGTCTGCTTCCCCCCCATATCTCACACTAAAAATCATACAGTGTGGGCAGCACAAATCACAGCTGCCGGCAGCTGCAGCCCCACTGGCCCGGAGAGCCACCTCTCCGAGGAGGAGACGCACCGGGTAGGAGCTGGCATCTAATCTCGAGATTCTTGCAGGGAATGCCAGGAACCTGCACAGACCATTTGTCTCCTCTCCCTGCGGGAGCCCTTGGAGGGCAGCACGCTGACTGTATTGGAACCACATCTACTCAGGGGCACACTTAGTCCTACATACACACCGGGGGACAAGGACCAGCCTTGCCCAGGCAACGAGAGACTCCTCTGCCCCCTAATACCCACAGGACACACACACAGTGCATCTGGGTGACCTTTGGTCCCCCACCCCAGCACCTCCAAGCTGCAGAACATTCAGAAGAGGAGCGATGATAAGGCCTCCTGGAGGGGTGATGGACCCAGGGTGCACAATGAGACACAGACTCTTGGACGTGGCCAACGTGAGGATTTGTTTCACCTGACTGTGTATGTCTGTTATAAGGGTTTGTTTTTTCTTTTTCTTTTTCCTCAATGCAAAGGGTAAGAGGGGGGAGAGGAGAGAGAGAAAACAAGTATCTGCTCACTGGAAAAAGCAAAGGGTGAAAAGACAACATGAGGGCTCCTCTTTCCCCAGCAGAAACTGAGGTTGGAGCCCCAGAGACCCCCCTGCTCTGCGGAAGGGACAGGCCAAATGTAAAAATGTAGCCCAGCTTTATTTACAAAGCTCTCTCACATTCCTTGTCCTTGAAGCCTTACAAGAGAGGTGCCTGTCCGGCTATCTAAGCAGTATTTCCCATCAATCATTACAGAGAAAAATGATAGGATCAGAAGGACAGGCCGGGAGGGCCCTTAGAACATAAAATGTCAGAACTGGGAGGGCGCCTAGAACACAGGATGTCAGAGTTGGGACATAGCTTAGAACGATCATGTCAGAGCTGAAAACATTTCGAGCTCATCTGCTCCAATCCCCTTCATGTTACAGCAGAAGAAACTGAGGCTAGGAGAAGAGGAGTGACTAGTGACTCCCCCAGAGTCACAGAGGCCGGGAAGCGCTGAGCTGGGATTCCAACCCGGATCCGCCGGTCCCCAACCCCATTCCCTTTCTGCAGACCACACTACCCCTCCCCTCATTCCCAGGCCAGGGGACCTCTCACGGGACACCTGGACAGGAACGGAGCTGAAGGACGAGCGGCAGAGCCCCTGGACCCGGCGAGGCCAGGAGGAGGCATGGGGTCTGGGGACAATGAACAGGCACAACACTCACTGTACAGCGCGGGCAGAGCCATTCACCATTTGGGATCTCGGGCAGCGGCGGGTTCAGGCAATGCAGGTGATAGGACGACGGGCAGGTATCACAACAGAGAAGTTCTCCCCCATCCTTGCAGACGCGGCAGAATTCCATGTGGTCGTCCTCTTCTTCCTCGCCCCCCTCATCGTCCTCCTCCTCCTCATCCTTTGGTTCCCACTGGATGCCTTCTTTCTCCTGCATTGGGAAAGAAGGGGCTCCCTGGGACCTGGTCCCACCGCCCGCCCTCCCCAACTCCTTATGCTAGAATAAGGGACTTTCACCCCCTGTCCCGGAGCAAAGCCACGCCTGGACCAAGAGCAGCTGAAAAAAAGCCCCACAGTCCTCCCAGATTCCATCTCATCCCACCCCTTTCCTTGGAGTTAGACGCCACCCCACACCCAGATCAGTTTGGGGGCTGGAGGAGGTAGCTCAGGATGGGGAACTTTGGTGAAGAAGACAAAGCTAGCCCAGCAGGGGTGCCATGACTGGGAAACCCAAGCCTAGGGGATGGAGACTGCCATGTTCAGGCTGCGTTTCTACAAAACAGCCTGCTGCAAAGGGGAAGATGAGGTCAGAGAATGGCAGTGCTGGAAGGGACTGCAGAGGCCACAGAGTCTGACCTGCACCTGAACAAGAACCCCCATGGCAACCTCCATCAAGAGGTCATCAAGCCTCTGCTTGAAGACCTCCAGGGATGGGGAGCTCACTACCTCCCAAAGCCGTCCTCCCATTCCTCTTTGAGGCAGCTCTAAATGGAAGGAGATTTTTCCTAACATTGAACCTAAATTGATCTCTTTGTAACTTCCATCCAACGACTCTGATTCTCCCTAGGGCCAATAAAACAATCTCCTTCCTGAAGGACAGCTCTTCAAACACTTCCCGTCTCCCCCCACCCCTGGCCCCGTGTTCTCTTCTCCATCCTAAACAACCACAATTCTTTCAACCGACGCTTATCAACGTCCTTCCTAAAACGTGACTCTCAGAACTCAACACAGAACTGCAGATGCGATGCGGCCAGGACAGAGAACAGTGGGACCATGGCCTCCCTAGTCCTGGACTTGATTCCCCCTTTAAGGCAGCCTCAGATGGAGGGCTAGCTAGATGGCTAGAGCACTGGGCCTGGATTCACGAGACCTGAGTTAAAATTTGACCTCGGACACTTACTAGCTGTGTGACCTTGGGTAAGTCACTTAACCTTTGGTTGCCTTACTCCACTGGAGAAGGAAATGATAAACCACTCCATATTCTTGCCAAGAAAACCCCATGGACAGTATTGTCCATGGGTTACAACTGACAACAAAAACAGTGTTTGCTTTTGTGGACTGCTGGGTTCCTACTATGATCTAGACCTGGAAGGGTCTTTAGAGGTCATCTAACCCAACCACCTCATTTTATAAATGAGAAGGGAAGTGATTTACTAAAGGTCACACAAATAGTAAGTGTCAGAGATGGGATTTGAACCCGGATCCCTGGACTTTCTAAGCAGGGTTCTTTCTATTGCATCACTGTGTCAGGAAGTGAGTCTCTCCTCTGAGTCCCCATCACCGGGCCCTGAACAAAAGCTCCTGTCGCCTCCAACCCGAAGCAGCAAAGTGCTCAGGCCTCAGTAATGTCACCCCAGGTCTCCCCAAACCTGCAAGTTTCTGGGACATTAGAGTGCTGGCCATCCCTTCCCGGAGTAGGGAGGTAGGAGCAGGGAGAGGGGCCGGGAGCACACTTACACAGTGGGGGCAGCTCCATTTGCCCTCCGGAGCCTTCTCCATCTCTGGATCAAGGCACACCAAGTGATAGGCTCGGGGACACGTGTCGCACAAGATGATCTCTCCTCCTTGCTGGCACACCTCGCAGTAATCCTGGTGGTCTGTCTCATAGCCATCCCCATCCTCAACTGGAGCAGACAGAGAAGGCAGTCAAGGCTGGCCCTGCCCACCTACAGATGTCAGGAGCACTAGGCCCCTCCAAACAGAAACCAATCCCAAAATCTCCCCCCACAACCCCACCCCTGTGGGTGCCTGAAATTCTACTAGTTGTGAGTCATTCCTTTGAATTGACTATTTCCCACCCACCCCACCCCCACCTTCCTTAGGAGCCCAAACCAACCATTTCCATGTCTAACAACTTCATTGTGAATGAACCTATAATCGGTTCATTGCTGCCCTGAGGGGATGGGCAGAGCAGCCTGGTGTGGGGAGGGGGTGATGGGAGGGGAGGGGGTAAAGGGCAGCTGCCCCGACTTGTGTGATCCTGCCGGGACTCCTTGATCTCTGAACTCTTGGAAGCTCTAGATTTAAGCTGTGGCATTCCAAATCAATAGAAAGAGAAAGTATGAGAGTGGGCTCTCTTGCTTAACAGTGGAGGAAAGCCTGTGGAGAAGAAAGGGGCTTGGAGATCACCTAGTGAGCCTCTTCATTTTACAGATGGGGAAATTGAGGCCCACGGTCACACAGATAGTAAGTGGCTGAGCCAGGGGAACAGGGTCTCTTAACTGGAGCCCTAGTTTCCTCAGCAGCCCCTGTTGAGCATGGGGTAGGAGGATCTGTCCAAGTATTTTTGGCCTTTCATAGGCCCCTGCCATACTCCAAACACTTAAAGGACTGATTATTTTGTCAGCCTGGGAAACTCCACAAATAATCCTATAGTTTTGTAGATAAATCCTAGGGGATTGCTAGAGGCACAGAGAGGGTGACTTTCCCAAGGCCACTCTGCTGGCAAGTGTCAGTGGTGGGATCTGAAACCAGGACCTCCTAACTCCAAGCCCCCCTCCATTTATACCCACATATAATCTCTTAGATGAGCATCTCCCCTCCCCCCACCGAAATCACAAAGCATTAGAGTTGTAAAAGACAGTCTGGTCTAGTCTAATCCACTCACCTCATTTTACAGATGAGGAAACTGAGGCTCTGAGTGGCTTGCCCCACTTCACTGTCCTCACTTCCACCCACCACCCCTGCCCCACAACCACCAGCAGAAAGAGACCCCTTTCTCCCAACCCTCCCCACCCCCCTTCCCGGCCCCCCAAATGCCTACTTCTCTTCTTCTTCCTTCTCCTCTTGCCCTTCTTGCCCAAGGCTGAAGAACACTCAGAACGCATGGAGGAGCTGTTAATGCTGGCACTGTCAAAGTCCGACTCCTCCCGGTCGTCTTCCTCACTCTGCAGGAAGAAAGGACAGGTGCATGGCAGGGGAGCCTTGATGTGGGGGGCAGGGGGCTGGAGGGGAAGGAACCAGCATTTATGGACCACCATCTGATCCTCACCACAACCCTGGGAGGTAGCTGCTATTATTGTTCCCATTTTACAGTTAAGGAAACTGAGGTGAACAGAGGTGAAGTGACTTGCCCTGGGTCACACAGCTTGTAAGTGTCTGAGGCCAGATTCGAACTCAGGAAGATGAGTCTTCCCTAGTCTAAGCCCATCAATCTATGCACTATGGCGCCACCTAGCGGCCCTATTTCCCAACTACACTGTAAGTTTCTGGAGGGTAGAATTCGTGTCTGTCGATCAACAAGTATTTTCTAAGCTCCTACTATGTGCCAGGCATCATGCCAGGTGCTACTGCTGCAAATACAACGAATGAAACCATCCCTATTTACAAGGGGCTTACATTCTAATGAGGAAGTCAAAGATACAGAGACCGGACAGTTTAATGCGTAGATAAATCCTAGGAAATGACCTGAGGCACACAGGGTAAGTGACTGGCCCAAGGTCACTGAGCTGGTGCCAGCGGTGGGATTTGCATGTGAGACAGGAGGAATTGTAAGCATTCAATAAGTTCTTAATAAAGAGTTGTGCATAATTAATACCATATTGCTTTCCTTCCCAATGGGTGGGGCTGGGGGCAGGAGAGAGGGACAAAATTTGAAACTCAAAATTTTTTTTAAAAATTAATGCCAAAAAATAAATAGAGAAAAAAGGAAGAAAAAGGAAGGAAAAAGGAAGGTAAGGAGAAAGGAAAGAAAGAAAGAAAGAAAGAAAGAAAGAAAGAAAGAAAAAGAAAGAAGAAAAAGAAAGAAAGAAAGAAGAAAGAAAGAAAGAAAGAAAGAGAGAAAAAAAGAAAGAAAGAGAGAGAGAAAGAAAGAGAGAGAGAAAGAAAGAAAGAAAGAAAGAAAGAAAGAAAGAAAGAAAAAGAAAGAAAGAAAGAAAGAAAGAAAGAAAGAAAGAAAGAAAGAAAGGAGGAAGGGAAGAAGGAAAGAAAAGAAAAGGAAGGAAGGAAGGGAGGAAGGAAGGAAGGAAGGGAGGAAGGAAGGAAGGAAGGAAGGAAGGAAGGAAGGAAGGAAGGAAGGAAGGAAGGAAGGAAGGAAGGAAGGATAAAAAAAGATAGGTAGGCAGGTAGATGATAGATGTTGGTGACGACTACTATAATAAAAAATTCTGGAACAAAACACACCTGGGCTTTGTTTAATTCTATGACCAAGTTTAGCCCCTCAAAAAGATACTAAATTTTGCAAGTTCCTCCCCTTTCTGCAGAGGTGGGCAGCTTTGGGTTTAAAACACCATCTACAGCCAGACTTAGTCGCTGTGTTGACGGGGTGGGTGTGGAGGATGAGGATGACTTCTCACATTTGGGAAGGAGCAGGGGGTGCCAGTCCAGACCCGCTAAGCCAGGGTCCCTAGCTCGGGTTTGCTGCTGCTCTCTTCTCCCCACCTTCCCTCAGGAACATCATGGAAAGCAGACTGGGAAGTCAGCAAGGCATAATCAGATAATTAAAGAGCTGGCTAATTCTCCCTTCTGCACAGTGGTGTGGGAGGGCAAGCTTCACACAAGCTCTATACAAAACGACAGCTGAACACTACCGAGGGCTGGAACGCAGCGGGTGTTGTAGCCACTGACGGGAAGGGAGGGCAGTGGTGTTGGGGAGAGGGCTCCTGCTAGAGTCCTCCTCCTCCTTCTCCTCCTCCTCCTCCCTCGGGCAAAGAGCAGGAAAGAACCCTAGGGATTAGCCTCATGCCCCCAACCCACCTCACCTTGGCAGAAGAAGACAGAGTCCTCCACCCTCCAAAACAAAACCAGTGACTGCTCCAAGGGTACAGCCCTCCTCTCTCCTGAGGTCCCACCTCACACCCCCAGCTGCCTGCTGGGTGCCTCAGCTTAGACGTCCTGCAGACCCAAACACGATCTCCCTCCCCCATTGCCACCTCTCCTACCTTCTCTATACCAAGGGTGCCACCATCTTTCCAGTCACCCAAACTTGCAGTCTAGAAACCTGCTCATCTGTCATGCTGACTGCTCACCCTCCACATCCAATCAGCTGCCCATCTTGTCAATTCTCCTTCCTCAGTATCTCTCAGCCCCTTCTCTCCACCCATAAGGATCTCCACCACAGAGACAGCTCAGTGGCGCAGTGGATAGAGCACTGAGCCTGGGTTCAGGAAGAGCTGAGTTTCAATCCCACCTCAAACACTTACTAGCTGTGTGTTCTAGGCAAGTCACTGTCTGCCTCAGTTTCTTCAATTGTAAAATGGAGATGATAATAGCACCTACCTGGCAGGATAGTACCTATCACGTGAGATATTTGCAAAGTGTTTAGCATATTGCCCGGCATATAATAAGTGATTAATAAATGCTCATTTCCTTCCTTCCTTCTCCATGGCCATAACACTAGCTGCATCACCCCTCCTTTAAACTACTGTACTTGGTTTCTCTGTCTTCAGCCTCTCTCCTTTCCAAAGGGTACTCCCCTTGGCTGCCAAATGGATAGCCTCGACACAATGCTGACCATGCTTCTCTCCCACTCAAGAAGCTTCAGGGCCCCCCTCTTACCTCTAGGATAAAACACAAACAAAGTCCTCGATTTGCTATTTAAAACCCTTTGAAATCTGACTCCAATCTATCTTTGCAGACAAGTTTTACATTCCTCCTCCTCAGGCACTCCACATTCCAGCCAGACACCAAACTTACTGCTCCCTCCTCTGGACCAGATGGTCCTCCTGGTCTAGGATGCACTCCCTCCCCACCCACGTCACTTCTTAGAAGCGCTGGCTTCAAGGCCTAGCTCAAATGCCACCTCCAATAGAGGGAAGGAGGGAAAAAGAGGGAGAGAGAGAGGGAAGGAGAGAGGGAGGGAGGGAGGGAGGGAGAGAGGGAGGGAGGAAGGGAGGGGAAGAGGGAGGGAGAGAGGGAGGAAGGAAGGGAGGGAGGAAGGGAAGGAAGGAAGGGAGGAAAGAAGGGAGGAAGGAAGGAGGAAGGAAGGAAGGGAGGAAGGAAGGAAAGAAGGAAGGAAGGGAGGGAGGGAGGAAGGAAGGAGGGAAAGAGGGAGGGAGGGAAGAAAGAGAGGGAGGGAAGGAGAGAAAGAAGGAAGAGGGGAGGGAGAGGAAACAATTATTTATTAAGTACCTCCCGTGTGCTGGGCATCGTGCTAAGCCCTTTAAAAATATTAGCTCAAGGTGGACTTCAGAAAAACCTGGAAACACTTGCATGAACTGATGCTGAGTGAAGGGAGCAGAACCAGAACATTGTACACAGTAACAGTGACACTGTGTGATGACCAGCTTTGATAGACTTAGCCCTTCTCAGCAATACAAGGAATTAAGACATTTCCAAAAGACTCACGATGGAAAATGCTATCCACATCCAGAGAAAGAACTATGGAGTCTGAATGCAGATGGGAGCACATTATTTCACCTTTTTTTTTCTTTCTCGTGGTTTTTCCCTTTTGTTCTGATTCTTCTTTCACAGCATGACTAATGTGGAATTAGGTTTAATATGATTGTACATGTATAGCCTATATCAGAATGCTCACTGTCTTGAGGAGGAAGGAGGGGAGGGAGGGAGAAAAAAATTGGGACTCAAAATCTTATAAAAGGGAATGTTGAAGTCTATCTTTACATGTAATTGAAAAAAATAAAATAAAATTATAAAAAAATTAGTTCATTTGATTCTCACAATCGCCCTAGGAGGTAGTGCTATTATTATCCCCACTTTATAGATGAGCAAGGTAAAGTGACACACAGGGTTTCACAGCGCTCACACCCGACCATGGACATATATTCCCACGCACACGTGCACACCTGAGCTCACACCGACTTGTAGACAGACTTACTGAGGAGCCTTTTTTCCTCTTGTTAGCCATGCCTCCGAACCGAAACTTCAACCCGGCCATTTTTTTCCCTTTGCCTTTTTTCTTTCCGTCCTTGGAGCCCTTGACTTTCTTCCTCACACCAGGCCCTAGACAGGACAGAAGACGCGTCACACCAATTGATTTGCCTGACCCACACATCCCCCCCACACACACACACACCCAACCCATGCCAACCCTGCTGGCAGCTTGGAAGGGCCTGACCTCTCGTCTGAGGCCTCGTTATCTCTTTTCGGTTGTCCATCCCCAGAGAGCAGAACCAGCAGCAAAGAGGGGAGGCCAGCTTCCTTGGGAGGTGCTGGGGTCCCCACCCCACCCCCAGGAAGTCTTTGGGCAGAGGCAGGATGCCCACACTACACTGACTAGCTGTGTGACCCTGGGCAAGCCATTCAACTTTTGTCTGCCTCAGTCTCCTCATCTGCAAAATGGGAATAAGAGCACCTATCTCCCAGAGTGTGGCAAAGATAAAATGAAACATTATTTGTAAAGTGCTTAATGTGGCAAAGATCAAATGAAATATTACATGTAAAGTGCTTAAAGTGTTATATAAATACCGAGTTCTTTTTCAGTGGGTTTGAGGGGTTACAGACTGGAATATATAGCTGTTGAGTTCCCTGTGATTTCTCATCTGAGGGGCCTGAGTGGAGCGATTCTATTCCCAATCAGGATGTAGGATCATTTTTCAATGTTAGGAACACTGATTTCCCACAGAGGAAGCTCCCCTGCCAGTGGAGACTGGCACACAGAATCCCATCCAATAAGGATCCAAACAGATGTACCTTTCCCATGCCTGGAGTTTCCTCCCTCGCTCTCTCCACCTGTCCAAAACCTGTCCCGCCTTCAAAGCTCAGATCTCTCTGGGGCCCTCAGAGACTCTGGTCATGAATAGCAGTAACTCATCAGACTGGGGTGGGGCCGTCTTTTGCCCTTCTTTGCAACCCCAGCACTTAACATGAAGTCCAGCACATAGTAGGTGCTTAATAAATGCTTGTTGACTGGCTCTTTGAGGGCAGGAACCTGTTTTTGCCTTTCTCTGTAACCCCAGTGCTTAGCATGGCTCCTGGCACACGGTGGGTATTTAATAAATGCTTGTCGATCGGCAGACTAAGTGCCCGCTAGGAGGTTAGACCTCTCTTCCAGCTAACAAGGCGCATCACTTACCTTTACCCTCCTTGGTCTTGGCTTTACGGATGGGCATGGGCTGGAGGGGCTGAGGTGGACTGACGGTCAGTGGCGGGGCGATGGTGACTGTCTCCACGGCGGCAGCCACTGCCGCTGCCGCCGCTGCCGCCGAGCTCCCCTTGAATGGGTTGTTGGCGCTAAACTCTCGCCATTTGGCCCCCAACACCGTCATCATCTTTGACATGGGGATCTTGGGGTTCTTCTTGGCAATGAGAGGCCTGAGCAGGGGACAGAGGCAGGAAGAGAATCACACCCAGCCTCCCCACACACACACACCTGTAGATCCATCAAACAACCAGCCCCTGCAAGCTCAGTGCCCCTCAGCTCTTGCAAGTACCTTCTACCGGGTGCAAAAGAAATCACTAGTCCCATTCTACAGACTGGAAGACTAAGGAATGGAGAAGGGAAATGGCCTAAGGTCCTGTAGGAAGAATTGCAGATGACAGTCAAGAACAAAACTCCCATTTTCTGATTCTTCCAGCTCAATTATCTCCTATTGAACCCAGACAAAGCATTTGCTAGGATGGGGTACAGAACCTGACAACTTGAACAGCTAATAGAGTGCTGGGCCTAGGGTTAGGAAGACCTGAGTCTAGATCTAGCCTCAGATATTTACCCCCTATGTGACCCTGAGCAAGTCACTTACCTTGCATGACTCAGTTTCCTCAATTGCATAATGGAGATAATAATAGCAACTAACTCCCAAGGTTATTGTGAAAATCGAGTGAGGTATTTGTAAAATGCTTTGCAAATCTCAAATGCTCGCTATTATTAGGTTAACCAATTACAACCTACAGGTTGACTAGGTCCAGCTGGCACACCTAACCAGTCCATGAGGCCAGCCTTGGTCCCTCTTAGAACAAGGTTGTTACAAGTCACCAAGGGACTGACTCCAGAAACCAGGGCCAGAAGAAGAGAGGAGGCCACTGGGCTAAAACTGGATGGACCCCAGTCTGAGGCAAGATAGGAATGGGCAGGTCTTATAGCCCCAAAAGAAGGATCAGTCCTTGGAGGACAGAATGCTGCTCATCCCCCTACGACGGTGCCTTCCCCACCAGAACTCAACTCAGGCACCGAGTGAGATCAATGACCACCATCTTTAGTCTCGAGGACTGTCGATCGACCTAGACTTTGCCCAGATCAAAGGATCATCGATTTAAGAGCTGGAAGGGACCTTGGAGATTATCTAATTAGAGACTAACTCCCTAGATGATAGAATCATACATCTAGACCCAGAAGGGACCGTCAAGGTCATTGGCCCAAATCTCTCATTTTACAGATGAGAAAACTGAGGCCCAAAAACGTAAGTGACTTCCCTAGGGTCACATGTTTAATAAGCATCTAAGTACTTCTTGAATCCAATCTACTGCTCTACCCACTCCACCACACTGCCTCTCCTAGGATCATGGACCCCAGATCTGAGAACTAGAGGCCATGCAGTCCAACCCCTCCGTTTTCACAGATGAGGAAACTGGGTCCCAAATAGGTTTAAACCCAAATATTTGGGGTTTTCTTGGCAAAGATACTAGAGTGACTTGCCATTTCCTTCTCCAGCTCATTTTACAGATGAAGAAACTGAGGCAAGCAGGGTTATGTGACTTGTCTAGGGTCATACATCTAGTAAGCGTTTGAACTCGAATCTTCCTGACTCCAGGCTTGGTGCTCTATCCAATGCACCACCAGCTATATTTATGCTAGACGTATTATTCTCCTTGATTAGAATGTAACTTCCTTAAGAGTAGGGATGATTTCATTCTTTGTACTTAGATCCCCAGCCCCTGGAACAGCGCCAGGCACTTCAGAAATGTTTAAACAATGCTTGCTGACTGATTCCTTGAGGAGATGAGCTGTTTCGTGTTGTCTTTGTACGCCTTCCCCTACCCCACTCCACCCAATTGCCTTACACAGAGTAGGCACTTATTGTAAATACTTATTAAGAAAACTTAGCCCTCCATGAACTTACTCCCCAAAGGAAACCAAGATTGGACTTTATAATCCCACCCCTTGCACAGGTACTAGAGCTGCTCCCGAGGGGCCCATCGCTACCCACCCAACTGGCTGCTTACCTAAGAAACTGGCTGAAGGCCTTGTAGTTGGTCAAAGTATGATAATCCTCTTCTGAGAACAGGTAATCCACATCGTCCAGGCCCCACTCCTCCATGAGCTGGCCTGAGGACTTGGGCTCCTACCGAGGCCAAAGAGAAGATATGGAGAAAGGGAGACAGGCTACTCTTTTCCCCTTAAGGTTCCTTTTTTGGGGGGAAGAGGACAGGGAGGAAGGATTAAAGGTGTATTTTATTTTAAAAAGAGCTCTCTCAGGCTCTAAGAAAACTGACCGCTCTGTTTGATTGGCAATGACACCCTGCAGGGATCATGGCACTGAGAAAGGTTGCTTGTGTGCATACAAGCTCCTTGGAAAAAAGGAAATCTCGCAAGGGCTGAAGGGTAGATCCCTCCAGAGGAGTGCCCAGGCCCCAGTGAGATACAGCTACCTGAGTCAATATGGCAGCCCAGAAGGTTCCACGGCCCTGTTAGCCTTCACAAAGTGCTTTCCCCTGAGCTCGACACCCAGGATTCCATGGTGGGGGGCAAATGGAGAAGGTGAAAAACAACAGGAGGCTTTAGAGAGGGGGAATGACACGGTAGAAAGAGCACTGCCTCTGAAGTAGTGTTTGCTTATTAATATTATCATTAATTTATTAATAACAATATCAACTCACACTTTGAAACTATTTAAAGTTTGGAAAGCACTTTCTTTCCAATAGTAAATGACTCCGTCCTGCTGGGTTGTGTTGGCAAGACAAGCATTTATAATCCGTCATACAGATGAGGTGACTTTCCCATAATCACACAGTTAGGAAGGATCTGAAGTAAGATGTAAGCCCATGTCTCTCCTGACGCCAAATCCATCTGTGAGCTCTCTGAGGGCAGAGACTGTCTTTTGCCTTAGCATAGTGCCAAGTACATAGTGGGCCCTTATTAAATGTTGACTGACTGATTAAGTCCAAAATTCTAAGTTTCCGTTGTTGTTTGAGATCCCCACGTTAGAGGCTTTTCATACTATAGTGGATAGAGTGCTGAGCTTGGAGTGAGGAAGACCTGGGGATTCGAACCCTGCCCCTCACACCAGCTGACTGAGCACAGGAAAGTTAAGGACACCTCAAACAACTCCCTAGGACTTATCTAGTTAAGTCATAGCTATTAGCTAGTCGTTTCAGTTGTGTTTGACTCTTGAAGACCCCACTTGGAGGTTTCTTAGCAAAGATACCGGAGTCGTTTGCCATTTCCTTCCCCAGCTCATTTTACAGATGAGGAAACTGAGGCAAACAAGGTTAAGTGACTTGCCCAGGGTCACACATCTACTAAGTATATGAGGCTGGTTTTGAACTCAGAAAGATGAGTCTTCCTGACTCCAGGCCTGGCACTCTATGCACTGTGGTGCCACCTAGTTGCCCAGTAAAAATGCTGTTGACTTGTTTCAGTCATGTCCGATTCTCCATGATCCCATTTGGGGTTTTCTTGACAAAGATACTGAAATGATTTGCCATTTCCTTCCCCAGCTCATTTTACAGATGAGGAAACTAAGGCAAACAGGGCAGGGTCACACAGCTAGTAAGTGTCTGAGGCTGGATTTGAACTCAGGTCTTCCTGACTCCAGACGCAGCACTCAGGTGAAGGGGAGTTCCCATACCAAGCATTTCTCATGCTGACAAAAGTCACAGGTCTTTTGAGTATCTGGGTATACCCAAGCAGTTCCAAGCAGGAGGCTCCCCTAAGTGAGATGTCACCACGCCCATAACGAGCTGCCTCTCTGCCCGAAGGCTCCTTATTGTCCAAAGTGGCCAGTGCATCGGCACCAATTTCCCTCCACAGTCTCTTTAAAAAATGTCATCGTTACTCCACGTGGTCCTCTGGGATTCTGCCTCCCCTTTCCCCACGGCACCCTCTTGTGGGCACTTTTCCTAACATCCAGAGCCACTCAAATAATGGACCAGATTGGCCCTCTGACAGCCACTGACTGGGAATGAATGGTCATGTCATTTTCGAACCACAGTTCTTATGTCAGAAGATGGGGAAGAAAGTTATCTGAAGGCTCTCAACCTCAGAAACGGGAGGGGGCAAGCATTTATGAAGCACCTACTGTGTGCGCGGTCCTGTGCTAAGCCTTTACAAATATTAAACTTGTCTATATGCGTAGAGCTCAAGTCTATCCAGTAGAATAATAGAATACACTCAATAGAATGCAATCTCCTTGAGGGCAGGTTTTGTCTTTGTATCCCCAGTGCTTAGGATAGTGCCCCACACAGGGTAAGTGCTCGCTCATTGATTGATTGATTGATCAGAATAGCTGACCCTGTGAAGGTCTGTAAAGCACTTCATAGGGGCAGCTAGGTGGCGCCATAGTGGACAGAGCTGGCCTGGAGTCAGGAAGACTTCCTGAGTTCAAATCCGACCTCGGACACTTCCCAGTTGTGTGACCCTGGGCGAGTCACTTCACCCTATTTGCCTCAGTTTCCTCATCTGTAAAATGAGCTGGAGAAGGAAAAGGTAAAGCACTTCAGTATCTTTGCCAAGAAAACCCCACAGGGGGTCATGGAGAGTCAGACGTGACTGAAACGATCAAACAACAGCAAAGCACTTTAAATATATTACCCCACTTAGTCCCTACAACATCCCCCTTCCCCCCACCCCCATCACATACCACAGGTACTATGGCACCATTTTACAGGTGAGGAAACTGAGGCAGAGAGGGGTAAAGTGATCCACCCATAGTCACACGGCTAATATGTCAGAAACTGGCTCCTTTTCCCCCCACCCCCATCACATACCACAGGTACTATGGCACCATTTTACAGGCAAGGAAACTGAGGTGGAGAGAGGTAAAGTGATCCGCCCATAGTCACACAGCTAACATGTCAGAAACTGGCTCCTTCAAGTCCCAAGAGCATCCGGATTTCAGTTACCTTTAAACCTCCATCTTCATTATCATCATCATCTTCATCCTTCTTTTTCCGCTTGGATTTTTTCTCTTTCTTCTCTTTGAGTTTCTTCTTCTTCTTTTTATTAGGAGAATAGTCACTCCCCTCACTGTCAGATTTCTCTTCCATCTCCTCTTCATTATCAGACAGCTCATCATTGCTTCCCTAGAAGATAATAATAATAATAATAATAATGATGATGATAATGACAATAACATTACTTACATTTATAAAATGCTTTAAGGTCAACAGAGCGCCCGGCATACATGATCTCACTGAAGCCTCACAGCAAACCTGGGAGGTAAGTGATGAAGATGGTATTATCCTGTGCATAATAAGGATAATCCCTGTATGCCTGTATCCTGATTTTACAGAAAAGTAAGAAATTGAGGCTGAGAGGTTAAGGTACTCACCAGGGTCATCCAGCTAACAAGTATCTGAGGTAGAATTTTAATTGAGATCTTTCACTCCCTACCCGACATGCCAAGCTGCATTTTCCTAACATTGAGATCTACTCGGATAAAGGACCAGATTGCCCCTCTGACAGCGACTGACTGGGAATGAATGGTCATGTCATTTGGGAATAATTGGAAAAAGGTACCCCAAAAACTAACCACAATGCTGATGCCCCATTACTTTCCCTGTGGGCTTTCCTCTGGAAATACAAACAGACAAATACCAGTATTTGTCTCTGGTCTCGCCTAATCACCAGCTCAATCACTTCTCCCCAGACACCAAGTGGGCACTGACAACCAACAATCAAAGGAAACAGTCCAGCTTGGGCGCGATGAAGGTCTAAGCCAGGCCAGCTCGATGCAAGCTTTCTATTCTGGAGAGTGATTTGGCCAGCATGAAAAGGTAATACAGGCAGCCCTGAGACGCCTGTCTTTTGAAAGGGACTCCCCTGATGGGGAGGTTTTGCATATGTACACTCTTCTGTTCTCATCAGCCCAGGCTGATGATTGAGTTTTTACATACTTCTGAATTTTAACTAGTGTCCTCAGACTCCGCTCATGCCCTGGAGCTATCGCCACAAAGGATGGTAGGAATACACACACACACACACACACACACACACACACACACACACACACACACACACACACAGAGTCTCTGGACGTTTGGGCACATGCCCTTCCTTCCCCCCATCCCAGAATCTGGAGGTCTCCTGAAACCTTCACGTCCCGTGCGTGACGTCCCCCACCAAATGTTTGTCACCGTTCAGTCTGTTTCTATGGCAGAAGCCACCCCATTCCTGCTCTCGCCTGTCGACGCTGACACTCCCCCCTCCTTATGAGACAAGGTAATTTAGGTAGCTCTCAAGCTTGGCTTCCTGGATTTAGTTTCCTGTCTGTACAGGCGGAAAATGGCACATTTATATGTAGATAAGGGTGCTTAAAACCACAGTATTCCCACTGGGAAAAAAAACAAACAAAACAACACTGTCCCTTTGAGGGAGATGTTTACTCATCTCTCTTCACAGATGAGGCAAGGCAGATGATGGGAAAGATCCCATTCCCCACCCCCAACCTGATTAGGTTTGGGTGGGAAGGCTAGTGACCCTTTGATTTAGGAATGTTAATATCATTGTCATTAATATATAAGGTGAGGGGAGAGGGGGGAGGAGAAGGGGGAGGGGGAGAGAGAGAGAGAGAGAGAGAGAGAGAGAGAGAGAGAGAGAGAGAGAGAAGAGGGGTGGACAGGAGAGAAGAAGAGAGGAGAAAGATAGAGACAGGGAGGGAGGGAAAGAAGGGGGAGGAGAAGGAGGGAGGGGAGGGAGAGAAAAAGGAAAGAAGAAGAGAGGAGAAAGATAGAGACAGGAAGGGAGGGAAAGAAGAGGGGAGGAGAGGGAGAGAGGGGAGGGAGAGAAAGAGAGACAGAGACAGAGAGAAGACAGGAAAGAAGAGAGGAGAAAGAGACAGGGAGGCGGGGGATGAGAGGTTCAACCAACTCTATAGAGAGCTAAGAGAGATGGACAAAGAATAATGGAGAAGACAGAGCAACAGATTTGAGAAGAAGAAAAAAAAAACAGAGATTGAGATCAACCGATGTTCATTAGGTGAGTCAAGAGATGTTCATTAGGTGAGTCAAGAGAGAGAAGTGGAAAGACAAGTGGTCAGCCAATAAACACTGATGAAGTGCCTAATACGGGGCAGGCATTGTGCTAAGCACTGAGTATACGGAAAAAAAGACCAAGGAGAGAGGGCCCGCTCTCAAGGAGGTCACCCATGGCAGAGACAGCATAGAACAGCTATGGGAGCAATCTCCAGAGGGAAACCCTCGCAGTTAAGGGGGAATGGGAAAGGCTTCCTGTGGAAGGTGGGATCTCAGCCGGGACTTGGATGAAGCCAGGAAGCAGAGATGAGGAGGAAAAGCATTCGGGGCGTGGAGGACAGCCAAGGAAAATGCTCCGGGTCAGGAGATGAAGTGTCCTGTCCAAGGAACAGGAAAGAAGCCAGCATCTGGCTCTCACAATGCACAGAGCTAGAAGGTGTGGGAAGACTGGAAAGACGGAGGAGGGAGCAGCTTATGAAGAGCTTTGAATGCTAAACAGAGGATTTTAGATTTGGTGCTGAAGGTGATGGAGAGCCGCCAGAGCGTACTGAGGAGGGCGACACATGATGGGATCTTCACTTTAAGGAGTTCAATTTGACTGGTGAGAAGGTGGACTACAGTAAGGAGGGATCTCGATCTGTGGCAGGGAGTCCAACCAGCCTACTGCAATGATCCAGGCATGAGGCAATAAAGGTCTTCACCAGGGTAGCGGCAATGTCAGAGAGACAGACAGAAGTAGGGAGAGCTGCAGTTCTACAAACAGAGATTAGATGGATGTTAATAAATATTTCATCTATTTATTGGAGCAACTAGGTGGTGCAGCGGATAGAGGGATGGGCCTGAATTCAATTGCAGTCTCAGACACTTAGTAGCTGTATGACCCTGAGAAAGTCATTTAACCCTATTTGCCTCAGTTTCCTCATCTGTAAAATGAGCTGGAGAAGGAAATAGCAAACTACTCCAGTTTTTTGTTTTTGTTGGGGTTTTTTGCCAGGAAAGCCCCACACAGGGTCATGAAGAGTTGGACACAACTGAGCTATGGCAATCTGTTTGGTAGGGAGCTATGGCAATCTGTTTGGTAGGTAACATGATATCGTGGGGTGGGGGGGTCCGGGGTAGTGTGACATAGCAGACCGGGTTCACTACTTGATCAGTCATTCCCACCTAAAGTCAGAAAGACCTGAGTTCAAACCCTGCCTCTGATATCTCTAAGCTGTGTGACTCTGGTTACAAGTCACCCAACCTACCTCAGTTTCATCTTCTGTAAAATGGAGATTTCACCAAGTTGTGGTCAGACTTGAAAGAAATAGATGGGGTTTTTTTTTATATTTTAATAGGTTTTTTTAAGGTTCACAGTGAGCAAAGAGAAAAACAGGGAGGCAGGGAAAGGAGGAAATGAGGAGGAATGAGACAGAAAATGGGGAGAAAGAAGAGATCAAAAGGTTAGAAGCTGCTAGGATGGTCCATGAGATAGGACAGCAGCAGAAATCTCCTACTTTAGAAACTTCATACCTTAGGAGAGTCATGTAGCTGGTATATACACACATTCTCTGTCTCTGTCTCTGTCTCTCTCTTTCTCTTTCTCTCCCTCTCTCACACACTTTCCTATCTTCTCCCAGGTAGGTAGCTGAGAAGGAAGAACTCACAACAACTGGAGCATCTCCATTAATCACCTTAAAGAGAGGCAGGGTGCCCTGGACAGAAAGAAGAGGCATGGCTCCCTAACACACACACACACACACACACACACACACACACACACACACACACACACACACACACACACACACACACACACACACACACACACATACACCCATACTTCCCCTTACTCCAGCCCTCAAAAGGTGCCTTCTTAGGCTCTCTTGGGGAGTCTCCACTTCCTCCCCACCTCCACATGATGCTTGGATCTCCTGCTGAGAGCTCCCCAGTGGGAACCCTGCCTAGACTGACTGATTCAAACCTTTTCTCCCCACTAAAGCCAGACCCAGCCAGCACGTGGTCCCTGGGCTTCACCTCATTCTCCTCTTTCCCGTAACCAGGGTGCTTCCTGGACTGCTGACTCAGCCTGCCTGGCAATCTGGGAGGCTGATCTGGCCTGTCACTACCAACAGGACCCGTGGAGACAAGCCAGCTGCTCCAGGGAATCCTTGGTACCTGGGGAGTTGGGACGGGTACCAGAATGGGGCCGAGAATGATCCTAAGGTCAGAGAACCATCGATTTAGAGTTAAAAAGAGCCTCAGGTGCCAAGTAGTCCAATCACCTCATTTTGCAGACTGGGAAACTGAGGCCCCACAAAGGTTAAATCCCTTGCCCAAGATCACATGGAGACAGAGCTGGGATTTCATCCCGGCTCCTCTGCCTCAATTCCAGAGCTCTTTCCACAGCATCATGCTGTTTCTCTCCCTAGAGCAGGAGCTCCTGACCTTCTTTGTGTCATTCCCCGCCACTCTGGCCGTCTGGTGAAGCCTATGGACCCCTTCCCAGAATCATGTTCTTTAAGTCATAAAATACATCAGCTACAAAAGGAAGCCACTTAGATATTGAAAAACAGGTATTAAAAAAAATTGTAAGCAGCTTCACAGGCCCAGGTTAAGAACCTTGCATTAGAATAACTCCCAAATAATGCCACTTTCTCATTTCTCCAGCTGAGACGATGCTCAAACCATCCTACTTCCTCATTTGGCTTCTCCTTTAAATGTCCAGTGCAGGGATGGAAGCCTAGACCAGGCTCAGGTGGACCCAAGACTTCTCTCCCTCAGGTTTTCCTGCAGCACACTGTCTGGACTTCTCCTTTGCCCTCATCCCACCAATTCAACTAATATATTTTAATACCAGCTACAACAAATTCTCAGGTTCTCTGAGTTCTCTGAGGTCAGTGAGGAAGGAGAAAACCCTTTCATGGGACGCCCCATTCCTTTCTAGGCTTCATTCCTTACTCTCTGGTGCTTCAAATCTCTTCATCCAAGATTCACTCATGCCTGGATGTCACACACTGGAAATTCCTTCTGCCCCAGGGCCTCTCCCTCTGATTGGCTGGTTTCTCCCAGACCCTTCATTTTAAGGAGGCAGCCCAGGCCAACCACTCCACAGAACACCCCCCTTTCCT